GAGAATGTCCAGTGTTGTTTCTTTGTCCCAGCAGCTTCCCCCTGAAATCATTTTGCCCTGAACAGCAACTAATCTAATTAACAACAAAGAGTCTTGTGGCACCTTAAAAGACAAACAAATTATTATGACATAAGTTCAAGTTCCATTCTTCAGATGCATGAAGCATTATCAGTTTGCAGGGTTATTCATTCACATCTACACATGGTGAGCAGTTGTAAGCCGTGAACTCAGAGGGAGATGAAATGCAACAAGTGCAAGCAGTGGCAATTCATTCGGGGCTTGGAATATACGTAAAACAAGCATAGTGTCCTTTCACAAACGATAACACAAATGATAATGTTAGAAGCTTAGCAATGCTGAGTTAATTAACTTCCGTAGTGGGACAGGAAACCATTGCCTTTTATTCAGACTCAGATGAACAGAATAAAACTTATGACTATCCAGGATTTCCCCTTTGAGATTCCTTTGTTTTAGGACCAGTAGCAGATCGGCAACAGAATATCCTGGTAGAGAGAAATAGTCTCAGACTGTTTTCAAAATAGTGCCATCTGAAAGTACAATAGTAGGTGAATACTTCAACCAACTAGGACACTGGTAAGGTAAGCTTGGAAGGCGCTAAAGAAATACGTCTTCCAACCGGCTTATTTGTAAATCGTTACTGATATTTCATGGCCTGAATTGTGGTTTATTACTGTGAGAAGTGTTTTTCTTGGCCTGTTGAGTACTGCCTGTTCTCTCAAGGGGAAGGGGGCTTTCTAGTTCTTGTATTGCTGATACTTTGACATTTCTATTATAAAGGTAGAAAAAATAAAGGTAAAGAACTCCTGGATAGTTAAGTCCAGTCAAACTTGACTATGGGGTGCAGCACTCATCTCCACTTGCAGGCCAAGGGAGCCAGCATTTGTCTGCAGACAGCTTCCACAGGTCATGTGGCCAGCATGATTAAACTGCTTCTGGCGCACTGAGCACCGTGATGAGTGCCAGAGTGCATGGAAATGCCGTTTACCTTCCTGCAGCAGCACCCACTGTACTCTCTCAAAATTAAACATGTGCCCACTGGTCCATTCCCTGCTTTGCAGCCTTGGTTCTTTCCTATCTTACTTACTTTGCACATTTCCCAACTCTGAAATCCTTTCAAGGCGAGCCAAGCAGAATCAGCCAGCCAGCCAGTCGACAGATCCTATCCTGCCTTTCCACCCTGTAGATCTGCAAGGTGGCTTACAAGCAGCTTTGCATACATTTGTTTTGCACATGTAGATCTTCCGCCTTAGTGTAAGCCAACAGAATTCCTCACTTGGCATGTGATGTCTGCTGTGGAGGGCCAGTACCCTCAGGCACTGCCTGTAGGAAGATAAACAACTAGTCCTCCCCCAAAGCACCTGCCAATCTGGGAGTAGATAATAATGTTAAGGTCAGGGCCTCCTCGCAAGCAGAAACTTGAAGCAACTGTAATTGCTATTCCAGATGTGTCAGTATTATCAGTTTCTGCAAAGGGAAAGGCGTTAAGTAATGGCTGTTGTATTTTCAGTCTTCTTCCTAACAATCCCAAACATTGCATTTGTCTTTTTCACCACCACTGAGTTGAGGCTCTCATTGTGCTAACCCCAAGACAAGCACGTAGCCCTGATGCTAGATCGAATGAAAGGTGGCCTGCCAGAAGCTTCTGGAAACCCCACATGGCAACAGCCCTTACCCCAGGCTTTCTCAACTCCAATGATCCCTAGCTAGCAGGACCAGTGGTCAGGGATGCTGGGAATTGTAGTTTCAAAACATCTGGAGGGCTGAGGTTGAGGAAGCCTGCCTTACCCCATATTTGCTCCCCAGGTCTTGGAGTGACCAGGAAACAACACACATATGAAAGCATCAAAACATACAGGTAGTTGCCCCACTTCAGCCTTCAAAAAGGGACAGGAAGGGCACTGCTCCTACCTATGTTTCCCCCTCAAATGGGATGACAGGTTTTCCTCCTGCCAGAGAAAATAGGAAGAGAACCATGCATACCACCTTGGGAAACTTGGAAGGAAAGTGGAACATAACTGTCAGAAATAAATGATAATAAATAAACTCCCTACCCTAGAATATGACAGAATGCTGTGACTTATTTATATAGATTATATAGAATAGGGTAGACTTAGGGGTGTGTTGGAATTTGCATGATTTCATACCTGACAATTTGGAAGTCTTTGCTGATTTTCAAAATCTGGTTGATTGAATCCTGGTTTGACTGGTTTGGCTTCACTTTAAGTGGAGTAAGTAAGGAATGACTCAGAAAAGATTAGCATTTCAAAGCCCTGCTGGGGGAAAAGAAAGAAAATTCTTTGTGGTGATGTTTGAATTTTACAAGGTGTGTGTTTAAAATTGCACATGCCCAAAGAGTGTGTGTGGCAACAGAGAAACAGGTGCTGGAGCTGCTAGAATGTTATAGTTTTGGTCTTGGAGCAGGCAGATCGGATTCCCCTCTCCTTTCAGGTATGGATGATACTAGATGGCCTTGGGCCAATCATTGTCTTTTAGCCTAAACTGTGTTGCAAGGTTGTTGTGAAGCTAAAATAGAGGGGGAGGGGAGAGCTATGTGTCTTGCCCCCAGTTCCTTCGTAGGATGTATAATAATTTCATCTTAAGCCTATTAGAGTGCTAGGACTTACACAGTGTATGTTGATTCTGATATTAAGTGTCTCACTGTATGGAACTTGTCAGCTCGTGAGAGATTTGATGAGTTTTGATAATCAGGTGCATAGATTATTATTTGCTTCTGGCATTTTATGAATTTAAAATTGCGACACACACTTCACTTTTACACTCCCAAGCTATTCCTTGCATACTGACATCAAATACTAGAAATGTACATTGCAAATTTATTATTTTGTTTAAAAAAATTGTCACAGAGCTTCATATATGTTACTAGTGAGGAGTGCCCAATGCTGCCTGGGTATATTTTTGAAACAAAAAATGTGATTTTAAAATGAATAGTGCAATTTGAGAATTTGGACCCATCAAGCCCAATATTGGGTAAAATCAATCCAAAGTCATGTTTTGGTATGCCATATTGATTGAAAATTGTACCTGGCATCCAAACATGGATAAAGACCACTACTCCCATCTGGGGAACCCTTATGCCAAGTTTGACCTCTCAAAAAATCATCTCCAAACTTGTTCCTGAGGTGGAAGTGGTGGGACAGAAAACATCCACTTTCAAAAATACAGATTTCAGTATTCCTTACTGCCCTTGAAGCTTGTCTAATACCATGATCCTCATATTGTGGATGAGGGGCAGCTGCTGGGAGAAAATTGGCTCTCCCAAGGCCACCTAGTAGTGAGTTCATGGCAAGAAGAGGATTTGAACCAGGGACAATAGCACATGAAAGCAACCCTTAGGCTATTGCCTCAGGAAGGCAGGAGATCCTGTCAGGCAAGTTTCCAGCTGAGCTGTACTTGCTTGAAGAAAGCAACTGATTTGTATCAGTGTGGGTGCTATATGGATGGCAATTACCATTTCGATGATGCATGCGAAGACAGGCTCCGGTGAATTGAGCAGGCAAAACCAATATTGGGTCCAGTGGTCAATAAGAGTTTCTGCATGTGCTGTACAGAGAAGTGAGGAACAGATAGGGCTCATCAACCTAGGAAAGTAGCCCATCTAGGAGAAGGAAAACTTGTATTCCAAGCGTTCACTGACTTGTGGAATGTCTTCAGAAGAAAAGGCTAAGGAGTAAACCCTACACAAATCCAGCATGGAGTCCCCAAGATGGTTGGATGGTGCCTTGTATGCCTCCTTCTGCTAACTCCTGCAGCCAAGCTGGTGCTCTGCTTTCCTCTGGACCACAACAGTGAGGTATTGTGGCTTGGGCAGCCCAGCACCTCTATACACACTGCCCCAGAGAGGTCACTTTATGCTGCTAACACAGCAGTTTGGCTTCACCCCTGGAGGCACACACTGTCATTTCTTGGGACTTTGTGCAACAGGCAGGGCTGGTTGGCAATAAACTGGTGCCCTAGGCACAGAATCAGCAAAGTATCCCATATATGAATTAGCACAAGACCCAATTCACAAGAAAGTTCTCTTGCACAATCCCTACTTAAATAAATAGCTCAAATTGGGGACAATTTCACAGACTTTAGATGTGTGGGTGACTCCAGGAAGGGAACAAGAAACTTCCCCCCAATGAACTTCCTTCCATTCAAGTATCTTAGGATCTAAACCATTGTATGTTTCAGCTAGACTGGTTTACCAGAATAGGGCTTAAAGGTAGAGCAGACCAAGGAAGAAGTGGAGAAAGAAGGCAGTCCTTGCATTCTCTTCCTCTTTTCTATATGTTAGAAATAATGCGAGTGAGCTCTCATCACTCTTAGTGCTATTTATATTCAATTTATATCACCCCTTCCAAAGGAGCTCAAATGCTAGCTGTAGAACAATGCAGCTATTTTGATACTAAGGTAAATCATAGCCACTGCAAAGAGAAACTTGAATGGCCTCATCATGGTAAATACGAATATATCTGTGAAGTTGTCTTTCATGCAAACAGACCAGAACTGTAAAAGGTAATTCGAGTATGGTCTCATAGAATTGTGTTTGGTAGGCATCCATCTGTCTCATGAGATAATGGAAGAGTGCACCTTCAGGGGAGAAGTCAAACTGTTGGAGAGTTACAGCGCCTGCTGTAGAGACCGATAGGGGAAAGACATGATTTCTTGCAGCTGAGACATTAGAATAGTGGTAGTTTTCAATCCCTTTCCTAATGAACCCTAGCATGGAATTCACCTTTTGCATATCTGCCACACCCTGGGTCAATATCTTAACAGAGGTATCTGCTAAAACCCCAAGGTCTCATTCCATGTCAGTAACCACCAGTCTGGACCCCATGAGTATGTGAAGATACACAGGACAGAAGCAAAAGGAGAGCCTATGAGGGCCGGGCTTCCTCAATAAAGCTCCAGGCCCTTCTCCCCACATGTTCAAAATCCTGTAGTGAAAAAATAATTATTTCCTTTACTCAGTTTTAGCTTTGCACATATTAACATTAGTTCTGCATTTTATTTCAATGTTTGCTGCTTATTATTTGTCAACTGTGCTTATTTACTGAGTTAAACATACAGCAAAAAGAGAGCATGGAAACTGCTGAATAAAAGGCAACAATACAGACGCAGAGTTCCAAACCCATTCTCTTTACTGTTAAATCTGTTAGATGTCTGATCAATGGAAAAAATGCAGAGTGGACTAGAGCATCAGTAATGCTAAACCCAACCATGTCTCAGTTCTGGGTAGTACAACAACAGCAGGACCAGGGGAGAAGCAAATCGGCTGCATTTTTTGCTGTGTACCTGCATGTTTGTTCATTCACACTAAGCCAACCTTTGACTTAACATTATGTGCAAACCAAGCCAGTTCCACTATCTCCATTCAATACATTATTCTTTTCCACATAGGAAAGCAGTTTATAAACAACCATCCAGAAGATCACAACTATCAAATCTATAAAGTAGTGTTTTTTTAAAGAATGGCTGTCAATTTAATGCAGGACACTGGATTTTTCAATTAAATTAATCCAGTTCTTATGATTTCATATACCTATTCCATTAGCCATTGTCTCTAGTGTTAAAGGAGTTATTAAATGAAGAAATCAGTTACTTTGACACAGTCTTAAATCCAAAGTATGAAGATTTTTTACCATGCAAACATTTTGGGTTTTTCTCCCCCTCACAGGAGTGGAAGGAGAACCAAGACAACAGTCACAACTGTACTCTCAGTAAGAGTAAAAGGTTGTGTACAAGGAACTAGTAACAATATAATTATATTCAGCAGAATGAAGGGCATGAAGAAAGATATCAATGAACACATGTACAAAGTCTATTATCGCACCCAAATTCTATCATATGAAAAGATAGCCCTCTGATGCAGCAAGGGAAGCAACTTACAGGGAAGTTCTATTCTGCACAAGGACCTGATTTTTTAAAACTAGTTTTTATTAAAGTTTTTTTTTGTTACAAAACAGAAAAACAGGGAAAGGTACACCTATCGTCTCCACTTTGCATTCATAAGTCTTTTTCACAGTTCGTTTGCCTTTAGTGAAATACATTTTTGTCATAGACATCTTGCAGTTGAGGGGAAAAGGGAGTTGGGGAGATTGTTCTTTCGTTCTGTTGTCTAGTCCTAGTGTAGGGCTTTGTGTCAGCATCATGTGGGTAGGACAAGGACCTGATGTTGATGAAATCCACATTATGGTGCTCATCTAGGTGAATTGGCTGGATATGTCATTTGATGATATATTACTGTGTACAACTAATGTGATTCTTGCATTGCAGGGGGTTGGGCTAGATGACCCTTGGGACCCTTCCAACTCTACAGTTCTGTGATTCTATGTACTAGTGGCCTATGACCAGAACTGGTTAGGGTCAAGGTCTACAATTATATGTATACCTGGAAACAAGCTCCACTGAACTCAATGGGTTGTAGCCAATTGAATCCACTGATTTCAATGGGTCTACTCAAACTATGACTAAGTTGAATGCAAACCAAATAAGACTGACTTACTTTTAAAACCCCATGCATGTCTATTCTTGTGTTTTCACCCCAAAACCAAATAAAAACAAGTTAAAGCAGTTTTTTCAAAGATGTAGATATGCCATTTCCTAGTTATTATCCCCATTGTTATTTCCATGTTATTATCCCCAGAAAGCAAACTGGAATTCTCAAACTTTCACTTCTGTTTTTTACTTATCAGGCATAAAGGTAACTATCCACAAAGGTCCTTCTCTCCCACCCACCCTTCTCTATCCTCCCCCCCCCTACTTTGAAATCTGTCCCTTGTTTCAAGGTTGACTGATGGAGGGTTCTGTTACAAGCTCATCAAGAAGTACAGATGCTTCTGCCACTAAGAAGAACTTTTTGTCCCACTACAGAACCCTTTTATTTGGAAGGAACGAATCTAAAAGATGTTTTTCCGTAAAATGATCAAGAAATAGAGTTTAACCTTATACTGTAACTGCTACTAAGATTATAACAGCTAAAAATTGGGGAGGGGGAAAAGCATATCTCTCACTATATCTGAATGGATAGAGAAAATTTGGTACAATAGTTACTATGATTATGGTTTATGGGGAAATGGGTATTTTTAGCAACATTTTGGAACAAGTTTAATGAGAAGATTCGCCTTCATGCTGCTTTCAACCTGCTGTAATAGTATTTCTTCATGCTCTTTATTTTTGGTTTTTTTGGTTTTTTAAAAAAATGTTGCCCATTGTAAATTATGGTTTACTCAGAAATGTACCATTGTTTTCAATGGGACTTAATGGTTTCAGACAGAATTTGTGTCCGCTTCTTGTTTTTCTATTCTAAGCAATTATCCAAAACAACTCCCGAAATCTAAAACTATATATTAAAGTTCAAACTCGAATACACATATGTGTAACTGAATCCAAAGATGAACTTTTACAAAGCCAAGCCTAAAACAGGTTTCAAAATTGTTGGAAAGAATTTTAAAGAATTGCTGGAAAGTTGTTTTTATTCACACACTCAAGCAGATCAGGAACTTTATCTCCTTTTTGTGCCTCCAAAACCTAAGAGAGAAAGAGAAAGATGATCAGTCAATGGGTAATACTTTTGAGAACAGATTGAAGAAATCATTTTATATTATATACATAAATTCTATTAATGTTTACTTGTTTTTAAATTATTCCCCACTCCACCCTTTGTTTTCAACTGTTCTTATTTTATCTGTAAGTGGCCTTATGTCACTGTCAGAGAAAAAGGCAAGGAAGAAATAAATAAATAAATAAATATATAACAACCACCACCAATAAACAATTAAACATTACTACAAATGTGTTGTGTGGTGTGTAGGTGTATCCTCTCTCATCTATTACAATGTTTAATAGAACTCCATTTGAGTAAATATTGTACATGTAAGACAAGACCTTTTGAAAATAGGTGGAAAGCAGTTCTACTCGCATATTTTAATATACAAATTTTCTATATGCCAGATGCGAGGCAGTAATATGGGAGAGAATTAAATTATGTGTGCTTTCTCCTACATTATGTTGTACAGTCCATACAGGTTTATCAGCTTGGTGAAAACTAAGCCTAAATCCTATGAAAAGTGAGGCAGATGACTTGTCACTTATCTACCCCCAAAGATTTAAACAGGAATTACATTACAGAATGGGAATGTGTGGAAGAATATATGACAAAACATCGTTCCAAAACAAATTTATTTATATGCATTGACTAAATTTTGTAAAGCTAAAATATTGACAGACGTCTTATGGGGGAAACAGAAGCAATATACACAACACAATACAAAAAGAAACAAAAACAAAAGAACCTGTAAAGTGGTGGAGGGAAGTCACGGATAGGAATAAGGAAAATATATAAACATAGAGATTTACACATATAGTATTGAAAACAATAATTTGGAATGTATTGCTAAGAATGTTAAAATGTGTAACTGAATGTAATAATGCAAATAAAATAAAAATATCATGAAAAAACAAAATTAAAATTAAACAGGAATTAAATGCAATCAATTTCTCTGGACTGCAATGAAGTGATTAAAGTCACTGCCCCTGAGGTTCACCAGGAAAATAAAGATAACATGGCTTATAACTTACCTGAGGTGGACTTTGTCCCTGAATAAGACGTTGAAGAGCTGTTTGAAGCACCAAATGTAGGAGGTGGAGCAGTTGGACCAGCCCACGTATTATGGTAAGGTGAATATCGGTTATACGTAGATGACCTGTGGTGGGGAGAAATCGATTAAACTATTTTAGTGACAAATGTCATTTCCCCACCACATGCAATAGCAGTAGTAATATAAATGTTTAAAGAAACAGATAAGCTAGTATAGAAGTGGGGAGGTAAAAATATTTTCCCCCTATAGATTTTATTCAAGTTTGAAAGAAAATTAAAAAGATATTGGATGTTTGATACGAACCTTTGTATCAAAAAAGCAAAAACAAAACTAATCTAAATAAAAACAATCCAAAATTAATAAAAGAAAAAAGAACTGCTGATTCTTTGTCTGTTAGCTATATATAGAAAATTATTCCAAAGATTCACTCTAAGGTAACACCCTACAATTACACTTTCTATAAACCAGTATTTTCTTCAATCCTTAAACCCAGATATCACATGTTCATGTTCTTTTTCAGGCAAAAAGTCTATAAGGAGTCTGGTTTTTTTAAAGTGGAAGGTCATATAATGTGAAACTCCTCACCAACAACAAAGGCACTGTGAACCCAGAAACCACCCCTTTCTTTTAAAAAGGTCACTATAGGAAAAACACATTCATATATGCAAGTGGATATTCAGTAATTCTGGAAAGAGCCATAGCACAGTGACAGATTCTATATCCAGCATCCTGAGGTAGGGCTGGGAGAGAACCCTGCCTCAAACCCTAGAGATATGCTACCAGTCAGTGTTGAGAATACAGAGGTAGGTCTGACATATAAAGCAGCTTTCTAGTTCCTAACAGCAACAAATTACAAGTAAACTTTCCTATGGTTCCATTAAAATAATGCACTTCAATTTAACAAAGAACAAGATTGCCAAGGATGGTACTGAGCAATTTATTGTTAATTTTCAAACACAGGAAGTTGATGAACACCCCTAAATCCACCAATGTAACTCTTAATAAAAACTGTCCAAAGAAACAAACTTAGCTTCAGCTTAGAGGAACCTGTTGCCTGCACAGAACAGGGTAAATCTTGCCAGAAGACAGTAATTCCCATGAGTAGCTTTGGGATTTTATCTAGTCTCTTACATGTTAATCAAGGCAGAACCACCACAATAGGTTGCAGAGATATAAACAGCATCAAATACTCAAAAGTCTTTTAGATTCAGTGCAAAACCAAGGTCACACAGCCAGTGTAAATAATAGTATTACTGTACCTAAGAACCTAAGAAATAAAGTGTCTGTACAAAAGCAGATTAGAAGACTGTGCTCAGTGAGTTCTTGGCAAATACTAAAAATAATTAAACATTGCAGGAAAATGCCAAAACAAATTGTTGCAAACTCACTTAAATAAGAATCTTAAGCCTTTTTTCTTTTTTTAAAGGAAGAGACTTAATATGGTTACTGAGTTGTCATCAACTTCCTTTTTCCTCTGATTTACATGGGCTGGGATCTTGGCTGTATTTTACACTGATAACTGAGCACTGATAAGCTGTTACTTAAATTTCATTCCTTTTGAAGCAGCAGTTAATCAACTATACTACAAAACAATTATGTGGGGGAAAGCACAAAGGGAAATGGAGAGAAAAGGGAGGCTTGATAAGCAAAAGGAGCCAAAGAAACCAGAGTCTGGGAAGGAATAACCTGGAATGTAAGATGAGCTAAGAGGAGCTGGAGATCAAATAAGTACCGCTAATTAACAGAATTATACCTGGATCTGGTAATGGAAAGTAGCTAGTTCATAACAAACGAAACTGAAGAAACATTACTGTACAGTAGTTGTATACAGTGGTGCCCCGCAAGACGAATGCCTCGCAAGACGGAAAACTCGCTAGACGAAAGAGTTTTCCGTTTTGGAGGTGCCTCGCAAAACGAATCTGCTATGGGCTTGCTTCGCAAGACGAAAATGTCTTGCGAGTTCCTGGGTTTTTTTTCCCCTTTCCCCCCTCTTTTTCTAAGTCGCTAAGCCGCTTATCTGCTTATCAGATAAGCTGATAAGCTGCTAAAAGCCGCTAAAAGCCGCTAAAAGCCGCTAATAGCGCTAATAGCGCTAATCCGCTAATCCCATCAATGGGCTTGCTTCGCAAGACGAAAAAACCGCTAGACGAAGAGACTCCCAGAACGGATTCTTTTCGTCTTGCGAGGCACCACTGTATTGGAATAGGCAGGCCACAGGAATGCAAGAAAAATATTAGACGCTTATGTTAGAAAGAAGGAAGACCAGCTTAAATACGATTTATAGTAACTTGACCTTTGAATTATTTTATATTTATTTTCAAATGTACCCCTCTCCTTTTTGTTTTTTAGAACTCCCCAAAACAAAAGATAATATGCAACAAGCAAAACACAATTTAAGAATTTTTAGTATTTGAAATGTTCTGTTATTTGAAAGCAAAGACCACCATTTAACACCTCAGTTCTCTTGAAGCTGCTGCTTTACTATAAACAGGGTAGCAGGAATTTCTTCACTGAATGATGCAATGTTATGCAACTGCAAAGCAAGGAGCCTAATTAAAAGAGCATTGTATCAAGAATAGCCGATTTCTGTATTCTCTGGTGGCCAATCTAGTTTCCAGACTGTGGCCCTGAAGAATACTTTGCACACAACTTAACTCCTTCATGGCTACTATAATAAAGTCTCCAAGTGACTACAGGCTAGATCACTATGAACAGAGATCACTTCTAGTACAAGATAAATATTTCTCATAACTTTAAAGCATTTTTTCCTTTTGAAACTGTAGCATGCTTAATAAAATATTACAAATATTACAAATCATATCACATCAAATGCTGGAAATGCGATCTAAATCCTGCAGATTTTATGCATCTGTGGAAGATATATATTCCAAATTGAATGAGAACAGATTCTGGAAGTTTTTGGCCTTACGTTAGGGATTAATTTTACTATAGATGTTAGGGCTCGTGATTGATTTTGAATATATTGATTGCAGCTATGATTGTTTTAGCTATACATCAGAAAATTCCAGTTATTCCCCTAATTAAAGAATGGTTAATCAAAACTTTAAAAATTGAATAGATAAATTATTGGATGTTGCATGTAGAAGACAATCTCTCACTTTGGTTTCTTGTCCTTGGGAATGCCATTCCTTTCACCTCTCACACATTTTATGTAAATATATCACCCACCAGGCCCAGAAATTATTGTTGCCAAGAGAAAACAAGGTAGATAGTCTTAGAGCTTACCTTTGGTTGCCTGCCAGGTATCCCAGTAGCCCTCCAGCACCTAACCCAGTCCAAAATCCTGGCCCTGAGTTTGAATTTGAACCAGAATACGAGCCACCAGCATCACCTTAATCCAAATAAAATTATATAGATTTAGATTAAACAATCTTTGAAACAGAAGCAGTGCTATTTGCTTTGGAATGTCACTCAAGATCAAGGCATGCTCTCGAATGATTTCAGACGTTGAATCAAGGCCTGCTTAAAAACTCTGAAGGAATGAAGGGGAAGTACACTAACAGTTCACACATGCACACTCATAAATACTGTTACGTAATGATGGGTAATATGAAGGCAATTCATCTGATGTCAATTCATACATGCAAATCATTATGATGCTACAGTTAACAAGAGACTCCAAATTAAAAAACAATAACACTGCTATGTCAGCCAACACTAGGTCCCCGTTGCTAGAAACTGAAGGGTCTTTTAAATTTCTAACAGCCTGATCTCAAATATGTTTATTTAAAAGTAGATCTGGAGATGCCACTGGGGGTTACTTCCTAATAAGCTGCTTTTAATGTTTGATGTTTTGGGGCAACCCAGCCAGGTGGACAGGGTATTACTATCACTACTACTACTACTACTGTAGTACAATGGGACCTGCAATATTAGCAGAACAGGTACTACCAACAAGTTTTCCAGTTTGTTTGATGCCTTCTTTTTATTGACTCAGGATCTGCTAATAAAACCTTGTGTTTATTATTTCCAAGATGCAATGGAGTCATTCTTAATCATTCTTTGATCTTCTGAGATTACTCTACTCCATTTCATTGACTTGAGATTTGAAAGACAGTACTGTGACAACATAATATACCTGCATCACTACCAGCATTACATCTTGCCACAAATAGTTATAAATACAGAGGTAGTAATTAAGAGGGTATAGAAAAGATTATCTACAGAAAGCAAGCCACACCTACAAGCAATGAAGCATCCATGCTGATCTCCTTCTGCATTGCAGACTGGTAGAAGATAAGAGCTCAGGCCCACATGAGTGGCATACTCTATTTCATATCCTCTTACCCTCTCATGGGATTACGGTTTCCCACCCTTTTGGTTTAGAATAAAATGTCAAATCAAGAGTAGAAGGAACTCTCATAAGAATGAAGTTCTACAGAATATAATAATGTCTTTTACAGACCTGAGTGAGGACTGAGAACAAGAAATGAAGAAAATTCTACAATGTAGTACTACTTACTGTCCAGCTTTGGACAAGATCTCTCAATGCCTGTGTTCCTATTGTCATATACAAGAGAGAACTTTACCTGTGAAGTCTGATTTAAATCCTGGAGGAGGTGTGAAGTCTGATTTAAATCCTGGTGGAGGGGGACTTCGATTATCCTGCCCATAGGTTCCTGGATAACCATCACCGTGAGAGAAACCATGTTGTGGCCGGTTATCACAGAGGAATAGCTTGTAGACGCCGTAAACAAGGCCCACAAATAATATTAAGAGGATCACTCCAGCACCTGAGCCTAATGAATCATGAGATGTTGTGGAATAGTAACTCCCACCAAAGGAATTCGCTTTCTGCTGTCCTTCCTTGGTTAATTCTAATGTGTACTCCAAGCCACACGATCCTTTTAATATGTAAGGGTCATCCGGGTAATCGTAGCCTTCACAGCTTACTTCGATTTTTCCAAAGCGATATGAAATATCCATGTGTGCTTTACACTCCCACTGAAAAAGGAAACATCATTTGTTATTTTTGCTTCCTTTTAAGTAGAATAAAATAAACTACAGATACCAAATTGTGTCTGTCCACAGGTGGACTAGATATCCGTGGACTCCCCCTCCCTGCCCCTTAAATGTATGCTAGATGACCTTATGGAGATCTGACTGAGCATACAGAGAGAGAAGGAGAAGTCCTGTCATATGAGAGGACTTCTGCTCACATGACCATGGATCTCACCAATAATGTTATTTAAAAACAGTGTAACACACACAGCATTTCTATTTCCTGCAGATTGGGAGCAAGTTCTCAAAAGGAATTTCACAAGAAAGTAACACTAAATAATTAATAAATTTGGACCACATTCCTTGTAATAAGACTTTAAACATGTATTCTCTGAGTTCTGCAACAGTCAACGCCAACTGTTTGACTGCATATATATAGTACTTTTTGTTTATCCCTAGGGATTTTTAAATTTAATAGGATGCATATATCCTCAAAAGATTAAAACAGCATGTCATTTTTATTATTTTTAACGTTTAAAGTTTTAAACAAAAGTTGGCAGAGGGAGTGTCAGAGTGAAGTAGCATGGCTCTCAAACATTCTGTGTCAGCTTCTTCCCTGTCTGAGATAAAAAAAGTAAGCCAGAAATGAATATGCCCTTTAGAAGTCACATCCCTTTGGTAAGGAACTACAGTACGTCTCTGTTTCCTAATGACTTGGCACAATGCATTGTCCAATTACAAAAAAAGAAAACAAAAACAGTACTTGACTTTATTATATGCAGTAACTACTGTATTTTTGGCCTAATGAGTTCAATCTTCCAGGATTAAAAATATAATTACTTTAAAGAATGCAATGCAATAAAGAATTATCCTTATGGAGTTTACTCATAAAACATTCAGATCAGAATCGTCAGTCTACTTGTTGTTGAAGACCGCAAAATATTCTACTAATTCATTCTTGTGACTGAGGAAGCAGGTTGGTCAACAATCTTGTTCAGGGAATTTTTATTACAATTCAGCTTTTCTAAAAGCTGGTATTTTCAGAGTCCCATTAATGAGGGAAACATGTCTTTACCCACTTAACAGGATTCACAAAGTGGCTTGGGGAAGACTGTCAAACAGAAGTACTCTTTAATAGCACCGGAACATTGATTGGGTCTCCAAATTTCTCTTGAAAGTAATATGGACCCACTTTGTAGAGGAGCTAGCTTCTCTCAATCTGTTTTTTACCTCCTCCTACATCTGGCTGCAAAGGGAAGCATCAATGGCTCATCCTCCCTAAGTCCTGGCCATTTTGCCCTATCAAGGGAATATTCCTTTGTATGCCTTATCAAGGGAACATACAGCATTTTCTCACCCCAACACCAGGATTAATTAATTTATACAGATTCCCAAGTAACTATACCTGTACATCGTAGCCATCCCAGCCTTTGTTGTAACACTGGACGACCTCTGGTGTGTACGCTGCACATCCAGCTGAGCCACCAGTACAATGCAACTGGGGAACTGGAGATGTCCGTCGATAATTTGTAAACCTGCCTGGGTAGAGTGTCAGGGCTTGGATTTCTCGCAACAAAATTTTATCTGGAAGAATGTGTGAGTACAAAAATAGATTGAGAAACACTAGACAAAAATAGGAATGCAGACTTTTCTGTTTTTTAAAAAAATCCAGGATAATCACTAAAAGCCAACAGATAACTTCTCAGTAGAATAATTCCTGTTACCATTTTCCCAATATTTCCCAGCTGTCTCTGACAATCCCAAATACTGAGTTAACAAATAATATTACAAAGCTCTCTAGTGTCTGAAAACTAAGCACAGAAAAAAGGATTTTCTTTTCTTATGCTCTACATATATGCTGATGCATAATTACTGGAGGACAGGAAAGCACTGCCTTGTTGGATCAGGCCAATACCCCATATCTGCCTTTCTCAAACTTGGGTCCCCAATTGTTGTCGGACTACCAACACCCATCATCCTGGACCACTTGTCCTGGTAACTAGGGGTGATGGGAGTTGTAGTCCAACAACATCTGGGGAACCAAGTTTGAGAAAGGCTGTTCCATATTGTCAAGTATTTTGTTTCCAATATCTTTCAGCCAGGTGCTTCTGAAATCTCAGTAAGCAAGATACTGTATGTCTCTTATTTTCTATTTGCCCAGCATAATAATAATCAAATATATATAGTGTTTGGACATGGAGGTCCCATTTAATTTACAATCCTATCTACAATTACATGCAAATAAAGCCCACCGCACTGCAGCACATTGGATCTGAATTCCAAAGTCCATGAAATTCCCAGCACTGAGCTGTTACATTGAGGTTCAATTAGCCCACTACCTTATTCATAAGATGCCTTTGAAGGCTACAGCTTCCCCCTGGCCTGACTAGTGATTAGTATGCAGATACTGCTGCTGAATAGGAAGGTTTCCATGTTGTCACCACAATTACTGAGAATATGAAAAGACACTTGTTGGATCACACCAAATATTCACTTAGTGACCAGTCAGATGATTCTGGAACTCTTACAAAAAGACAACTGCTCTCCTGTTTATTTCTCTCTCCCACCCACACCCCAAAAACCCCAGTCATATTCAGAGACAAACTGCCTTGGAGCCTGCATCTTTCATTTATTAATTCATTAATTCATTAATTCATAGAATCACAGTACTGTTGAGTTGAAGGGGTTCTGTGGGCCATTTACTACTACTACTACTACTACTAAATTTGTATACTGCCCCATACCTACAGGACCCAAATATTTCACAAGATAAAACTGCAATATAAAAACATAAAATGGCCGGTCCCACTTCTGCCTGTCAAACCAGGAAGCTCCCAAGCAAGCAGGGCGCCGAGAGAGCCGCCCTCCCGCACCGAAGGCGTTTCTGAGGTAAACTGCTCTTGAGCCTGGAGGCCCCATTTCCCTGTCACGACTGACGACAGTAGCCTCTGACAGGATACTGCGGCCCTTCCCCACCCGCCCGCCGCTCCGGCCTGGCCTTACCCTGCTGGGTCCAGCCCCACGCCAGCCCGCTCCCCGTCAGCACCACCAACAGCGGCAGGAGCAGCGGCAGCCTCAGCGGCGCCACCATCGCGGCGCGTCCGCCGACGAGTCTTCTCTCTCAGCGGTTGTGGCGTCGGCGCTCTCCGCGTCTCTGATTGGTTCCCTCGCCGGCTCGCGGCTGCTGCCTTCTTCAAGGATCGAACCTTCTCGACGGCGCAACGGTGTTTTAACCGCCTCGCAGTCGGAGGGGGGGCGGGATTTTGTCGCCCGCCTTTCGCGACTGGAGGGTCATCCGACAAGGCGATGGGATGATTGGCCATTCCGCCCGTCGCCCGGCAATTCTATTCGCTGGCTGGAGAAGCTCCTCTCCTCTCATTGGCTCTGCTGGCCATGGGAGGCGGGGCAAAGCAAGCAGCAGTCGGGAACCAATGGGCTTGTGCTGGGTGTACATTAGAGTGTATTGTCTCTTCCGGTGAGTCAGTGTCAATAAACAAAGGCCGCTTACAGGGTCCCCAACTGTTGTTGGACTACAACTCCCATGAGCCCTTTCTAAGAGGACCAATCGTCACGGGTGATGGGTGTTGTAGTCCATCGACAGCTGGCGACCCAAGTTTGAGGAACAGGGGACCGAACACGGGAAAAGTTCCCCAGTAATAATGGATTAATGGATTGTGGCTGTTTGCTGGCAAGCAAGCTGGAGTCTTGTGGCACCTTACACACATTCAGCACAATGTGGCTTGAGCTGTTGTAGGCAGGGCTATACTTGTACAAATCCATGAAGGAAGCACAACAGACATATATGATGCAATCTATTACTCAGCTGTGCAATTCAGTTAAGGTTGCGAACAGTGGAGGCTTTTTAAAAAGAACCTGACCTTTTAGCAGCAGCTTGATCTATGGGTAGTGACATTATAGTAAAAGGTAAAGGACCCCTGGACGGTTAAGTCCAGTCAAAGGTGACTATGGGGTGTGGCACTCATCTCACGTTTCTCCACAGACAGCTTTCCAGGTCATGCGGCCAGCATGACTGAACTGCTTCTGGCGCAATGGGACACCGTGACGGAAACTAGAGTGCACGGAAACGCCGTTTACCTTCCTGCCACAGCGATACCTATTTATCTACTTGCACTGCTGTGCTTTCGAACTGCTAGGTTGGCAGGAGCTGGGACCGTCACCCCATCATGCAGATTTGAACCGCTGACCTTCTGATCAGCAAGTCCAAAAGGTTCAGTGGTTTAGAGCACAGCACCACCCTCTCCCTTCGACATTTACTTGAAAATTATAGTAAAAGGTGTTGGCTCCTTTATATTAAGTAATTGCAACAAAATGATTTTTCCAGTGCCATGGATATTTGACCTTTTATTCCCCACTCCCACACACATTCAATTGTATTAATTAATCTGTGCAGATTTACAACACGCTATGCCTTCCAATTGCTTTATAGAGCATACACAACGCCACCTTAAACAAAAACCCACAATAATTATACACATATATTTGTTGAGAGCTGTTGTGAATATCCTAGGCCAGGGAATCTCTGTATGCCTTCTGGACTTGGTGGATTGATCATTTACCTTGAATCATGGTGTGGTTTCCAAAAATAAGCTCAGACACTAGTACAATTTAAATGATTTTATCATTTGCATCTTGTTGCACACACAATTATGAAATGGCAAAGTTAAGTGTTACACAAACAATTTTAACTTGGTCTCACAGAAACCTGCTTAAACTATCAAATTAGTAAGAAGAAGCAGCCTATGAGCATGTTGAATGGTGATGAAGGGAAGTAATGAGGTTGGAGGGAAAAGGTATAAAAAGGAGGCAGGACAAAAGGTTGCATGAATTCCATTCCCTTTTGGTGTCTCGGCAGGACTGCATCATTCCCTGCTCTTATGAGATCCCTCCGCACCATCTCTACCTTTCAAATCATAAAGTTGTAGAGTTGGAAGGGATCCTGAGGGTCATCTAGTCCAACCCCTGCAATGCAGGATCTCAACTAAATCATACATGACAGAACAGTATTTCCCATGAGGTTCAAGGGTTGCCCACCTCCAAGTACATTCAATCAAAGAAATAAGAATATAAGCAGGTGAGTAACATACAGTATTTTATTGTCGGCGGGGGGGTCTTCCATATTCATGGTCGAAGCCATTTAAAAAAAATTACCCCAGGAAAAAGTGAAGGCTGCCTACCCAATAGACGAATCTAGAATATTAAAGTGTAGTAGGTATTATTGGGCACAAAGCCCCCCCTCCAAACACCACCACCAACAAAAGGCAGCTGCAAAGACAGGAGTTCACGCTGTTTCCAGCTCAGTTCTTATTTTACGTGAAAATTAACGCTGCTGTACTTGCCAACAAAGGTCCGTATAGTTAAAGCTATGGTTTTCCCAGTAGCGATGTATGGAAGTGAGAGCTGGGCCATAAAGAAGACTGATCGCCGAAGAATTGATGCTTTTGAATTCTGGTGCTGGAGGAGACTCTTGAGAGTCCCATGGACTGCAAGAAGATCAGACCCATCCATTCTGAAGGAAATCAGCCCTGAGTGCTGACTGGAAGGACAGATCCTGAAGCTGCGGCTTCAAGATTTTGGCCACCTCAAGAGAAGAGAAGACTCCCTGGAAAAGACCCTAATGTTGGGAAAGATGGAGTGCACAAGGAGAAGGGGACGACAGAGGACGAGATGGTTGGACAGTGTTCTCGAAGCTACCAGCATGAGTTTGACCAAGCTGAGGGAGGCAGTGGAAGACAGGAGTGCCTGGCCTGCTCTGGTCCATGGGGTCACGAAGAGTCGGACACGACTAAACGACTAAACAACAACAACAACAACTTCAATTCTCTTATCTCTATATTACAAGGTGGATGGGGCTGTATTTGGGAGAGAGTGACTGCTGAAGCTGGTTTAGATTTGCAATCAAAAGTCCCTTCCCCTTCTCTCTTTCATTCTGGCTTCCGTTGGATGAGCCAAGGTGCCGACGTGTCTTATTTCCGCCCTGGAGGAAGGAGCAGGCGAAACGCCCTACTGAACCTGCAAGTTGCGCCCTGCGTGTCCATCTACCCATTTTTAAGTCTGCGGTGCCATCCGGTTTCTGCCCGCCCGAAGTCCTCCTCTGGCCCGAAAGAGCGCTCACTTCCGGGTTCTGTCTGGCCGTCTTCCTCCCGCTCTGTGGTTGGCTGGGAGCGGCCTGTGCGCGACAATAACAGCAGCATCATGGCCGGCATCAAAGGTAGCGCCGCTGTGGCGGTTCTGAGGGGTGGCATGGAAAGGGCCGGGGAGCAAGGCGGGGCGAGAGGGGGGTCTTCCGTGCCAGGCCCGGGAAAGGACGTCGCCCCTCAGCCCTGGCGGTGACGTCTTCTGGCGAGGGGGGGGAGAAGAGGGACCGCGTTGTTTCCATGGCAACGTGCGCCTTCCCCGCCTGTGAGGATGCGCCGCTTGGCTAGAAAAGCGCGCAAACGGAGAGAGTGGCTCGTTTGTCTCTTTCTCTGCTGCCCCCAATACCTGGACCCACATTTGGAGGCCTGTGTGGGGTTGGCGCTCCCCACCCCTCACGTCCGTTTCCGACATCCCTAGGCATGGGCCGGGTCGCAAGGCGAGCCCAGTGTTGTTGCCGGAAGCAAGGCCCGTCTCACAGGAGTTTTAAATTTTCGAGTTAGCGGGTGTAGGAGATGCAGTTCCAGAGCATGTGCAGAGATAGTATCCCCCCCCCACTTCCCCCAGAGCCAGGTACTGGGGAAGAACAGGGAAGGGATGACATCTTAATGTTACTGTTAATTATTAAATTTGTATACTGCCCTTCTCATGCGTATGTTCACAACATAAAAATGAAATATAAAAAAACACAAAATTATTATTATTGTTACAGTGGTACCTCGGGTTACATACGCTTCAGGTTACAGACTCTGCTAACCCAGAAATAGTGCTTCAGGTTAAGAACTTTGCTTCATGATGAGAACAGAAATTGGGCTCCGGTGGCGCAGCAGCAACAGGAGGCTCCATTAGCTAAAGTGGTGCTTCAGGTTAAGAACGGACCTCCAGAACAAATTAAGTACTTAACCCGAGGTACCACTGTATTGCCCTTCTTGTCAGCTCTCCGAAGGTATCCCAGTTGTCATGCAAAATGAAAGCCTGGGCTCTGCAAACCTTTGGACCGCAACCCGATGCACACTCGTGGGAATGGGCATGGCTAAACTCTATCAGCCAAGCTTTGTGGTACAGTACCTTAAAATGCAATAAACATTGTGATCCTGTGCCTTTCCAGGCAGACGCAACGCCCCGCTGAGTGCAGTGGGGCTGCCAAATAAGTGCATGTAAGATTGCAGCTACACATTTATTGCAGCATAAACGATGAACCTGGTCTCTCCCACTAAAGATCCTGTCACAATGAATTGGTTAGTCTGAGGAGGGAAATGACTTTTTGATGGTTTTGTTGCATTAGACTATGCAGCTTCTTCTGGAATTCAGTACCATTTAGCTTGGAAGAATTTTCTGATTAAGTAACACACATAGGTTTGCCAATGTTTCTCAGACTCCTAGCTGTGGTTGGGCTACAACTCCCATCATCCCGGACCTGCTAGCTAGAGGTGATAGCTAGGGATGATAGGAGTTGTATACAACAACAGCTGGTTTGAGAAGCACTGAATCCATTCCAGTAAACTTGATCTTGCAACCTATTGAGTCTACAGTAAAAGTTACCAGATGCAAAGGAGGAAGATGAGGCTCCTGTGCATCTAAATAACTGTTTATTTGACACATTTCTTATTTGTCTCTCATCTTGAAGTGGTTCACAATGTTAATCTTACACCTTTAAATAGCAATATGCATACATACTTGGAGGGAGGCTGGGCTAAGTTTGGTAAATAGGAAGGAGATTTGGTACATTGCAAGCAAGAATAAAAGAAAGTGGAGCGGCTTTATGAGAAATGTCACTGATTTGGTCAGTGATACTGGGGCAGAAGGGACGCGGGTGGCGCTGTGGGAAGAGGTAGACGCCACCGTGGGAGCAGGGCCGGGGCGGGAGAGTGCTAGAGTCCTGTCTAGTCAAATTGCGTGGGATCAATTCCAATCTGTTACCTCCGAGGATGTGGACAGGCTGCTTGGGCGAGTGAAACCAGCCACCTGTCTCCTTGATCCTTGCCCATCCTGGCTTATAAAAGCTAGCCGGGAAGGGCTGGGCGATGGCCACATGACCCGTACGCCGGCTCCCTCGGCCAATAAAGCAAGATGAGCGCCGCAACCCCAGAATCAGTCACGACTGGACCTAATGGTCAGGGGTCCCGTTACCTTTACCTTTACTGGGCCAGACAACAGGGAAGTGCTGATACCTTAATACACAAACTTATATAAATTAACACAAAAGTAAGCCTTTTTGAGTTCAAAAATGAGACTTCATCTTATGTAAGTACATAGGATTTTGCTTTTGTCTTGAACTTGCTGGGTATACTTAGGTAAGCTACTTTGTCTCCGTGTCAGTCCCGGTCTGAAGTATGGAGAAAATAATATTCATCTACCTTAAAGAGATGTTGTAGGAATGACAGATGTAATTTTTGCGAGGTGCTATGAACAGTCATAAAAGGCTATATAAATGCTAACACTTTTGCAGTCTTAACAGTTAAGTCAATATCATTTAGTAATTTATTTACTGATGTCCTTCCTTTCCGTGAAATCAGCAGCAACCCAGCATAAAATTGGCTTCTCACCAGCAGTACTTAAATACAACAGAACAGTCATGAGATCCCCAATTATCAGCATCAAATTTATAAAGTGTAAATATAACTGTTTTTCATCTCACATAATGCATTACTTGTATTATTTTCATAAAGAACGTTCTACCAGGAGCTGTCAAAGCAGTTCACAGCTTATATAGATGTAATTTTTGGAAAGGGGGCTGTCTACACTATTTTGTATTGCCCCCCTCTTACTTTTTTCCCAAGCTGGAGTTGCATCTTTGCTATTGTATGGTATATTCAAAGTGACTGAATGAGAAGGCTATTGATGAGAGGAATAGAAGCAGTACTCTGGTCTCCCTTCTGCCCGCAGTTCTTGTTAGTAGAGGGGAAAAACTGATCAAATATTTTGGAGGACTGATACAGTTTTATGTCTGTCTTTACAGCTTTGATTAGCCTGTCCTTTGGGGGAGCTGTTGGACTAATGTTCCTGATGCTTGGTTGTGCCCTTCCGCAGTACAAGTAATGCATTTTCAAAAGCATATTCTTGTTTACTGTTGTCTTAGTTTCCTTTTTAATTTCTAACTCTCTTTTCTTACTTCGTAGCTATTGGGTTTAAATAAGCAAACAAAACCAACACCAATTCTGGCAAATCACCAGCACCCCTTTGTTGATACTTTTGAGTGAGAAAAAGAAACAAGCTATGGTCTTATGTCAAATCAGACAATTAGTCTGCAAAGTCAGTAACATCAGCATTAACAGCAGACTCTTTAGCGTTTCAGACTGTCTTCCAGACCTGTCTGTCAATGCCAGAGATTGAAACCAGGGTCTTCTGCCATAGCCCTTCCCAACATCTGCCAACTGAGCATAGACTCTAGCTATGTGATGAAATTCTAGTTGTAATTTGCAGCTACAAAGGTGCTCTGTTCATTATAATCCATATTGGATAGTTCAGGGTTAGCCAATTTGACCTCCCGGTGCTGCTGGACTATCCCATTATTTCTGCCTTTTTGCCGTACTAGCTGGAGTTTATGGGAGTTGGAGTCCAACAATATCTGAGGAGCACCACATTGACTTATCTTGGAATCGTGAATAGACTTGGAGATAGAAAGCCTCTCAGGTTGCAATCCAAAAAGTTTATTCTTCTGAAGAGTCCTAAAAGCAATAAACAGAGTGACTTCACAGCTTCAATCTGCCCTACAATATAGCTTTGGGTTCGAAAGCACGTGAAAATGCAAGTAGATAAATAGGTACCGCTCCGGCGGGAAGGTAAACGGCATTTCCGTGGACTGCTCTGGTTTGCCAGAAGCGGCTTAGTCATGCTGGCCACATGACCCAGAAGCTGTACACCAGCTCCCTTGGCCAAAAAGCGAGATGAGCGCCGCAACCCCAGAGTCAGTCACGACTGGACCTAATGGTCAGGGGTCCCTTTACCTTTACCTTTAACAGCCTGAACTATAAATTGAAACAAATCATATGACTTCATATTCCACTCTCTTCAATGCATCAATTTTGTTACTCCGGTTGAATAGTTGCTTATATGCTTAATAAATTTGTTCTCCTTAAGGTGGAGATACCAATGTTAAGAGATTATTTCAAAAACCGTCATATTAGGTCTGAGCATCAAACTCACCTGGGCTGATGTAAATCGGTAGTGCCTAAGCTTTCTTACCATGTATCTCATCTGGCCCTAAAAAAAATGGTCCCTCCTATCCCAAAGGGCACCAAGCCTTGGGTTAGATGTTTTGTTGGACTAGTATTTCCCCCAGCTGTCTTTGCACATGAGTTTTATTTGCATTATCATGAATTATTACATTGCTTATATATGGGTGTGGCAGTTTTATTGTGTTTTGCTGTGTATTGTAAAGGCAGACTTTATCTAAAGATACTCTGAGGACAAGAGGAAGAATACCTGTAAAATGTTATTTGCTTTCTTTTCTTCTAGCGAATATTGGCCTCTCTTTGTCCTGTTCTTCTACACCCTTTCTCCAATTCCATACTGCATAGCAAGAAGAGTCGTCGAAGACACAGATGCTACAAGTAATGCCTGCAAGGAACTTGCCATATTTCTTACGACGGGCATTGTTGTCTCAGCATTTGGGCTCCCAATTGTGTTTGCCAGAGCACTACTGGTTAGTAATTCCCCCTTTTGAACATATGTTTCACTGTGGTGTTCTATTTGTTTAAAAAGTGAGAAACACAGAACAGGTCAAATGATGTTGGGTATAAAGCTTGTAGGCAGGACTCTAGATTATTTGTCAGAGCATCTGGCAGATATAGAGCCCAGATTATGGTATCAGGCACATAAAACTGTTGAAACAAATAGGATTTGGCCCTAAACAGGATCTATTTGGGAAGCCACCTGGGAACCCTCCGAGCTCCTAAGAACAATGGGTTCCACATATAAGCAAATATTATAAATGTAAGAAGTGGCTTGCATCCAATGTAATCACTCTGTGAACGGAAGGAGCTTCTTCCATTCACAGAGCAATTACGTTGGTTGCAGCTCAATAGGTAGCATAATGTGTACGTGTTTGCTTGCTTCTTTTTATATGCCATGTAACTCTCCTTTCCCCCTCGACCATAGATTCGTTGGGGAGCCTGTGCGCTTGTCCTCACAGGAAACACAGTCATCTTTGCTACCATCCTAGGGTTTTTCTTGGTATTTGGCAGCAACGACGACTTCAGCTGGCAACAGTGGTGAAAAGAGTTGGAAAGAGAACTATCGGCATCTTGTGTCATTCAGTGGCCATCCATCTAACAGCAAGAACGGGCAATAAAGCGAATGTACTCTTTCCACAGAGGGACTCTAGGTGTAGGATACTCTGTAGTCACTTTTCCTCTCCTTTCACGTTCAACTTCTAACGTCTTGCTTGATTTAAATGTTATTAATTGTTGATGCTGTTTTAGTTTAATGCTTTACTTTAATGTGGGGATCAGAATGCTTAAATGTGATGTTTGAATCTGTGTTTTTCTTTTTTTCTGTTTTTTTTGAAGAACATAACTGCATTTAAATATGAAATTGATCTTTTGACCATGAATTATTTTTAAGCTACAATGTACAATCGTGTAACCAAACTGGCAGCAAACGGAGGTCACAGTCCAGTCATATGGAAGTGTTTTTGAAGCCCTATCCTGCACAGGTATTTTTTGAAGTAAGTCCCACTGAGTTCAATAGGGCTTACTCCCGAGCAAGTGTGCATAGGATTGTTCACATGTCCTATTGAACTTAGTAGTAGTGAAGCATGTGCTCAACACTCAACCCCTTTTGAAATAAATAGAAAGTGCTTAGATATAGCTGGCATGTGCTGTTTATTAGCAAATGTGAACATGGTTATGGGATTTTGGAAGTGAAGTGTAAAGAGCTGAAGGGAGAAGCACTTAGCAGCTGATTAATGGGTTGCTTGTTTCCATAGACAGCTGAAAATGTGATAATGCCAATAGTATGGGGATAGCTTTTAATAAGGGGATTTTTTTTATTATTTTGGAAGTTTATGCTCATTGTACAAATATTTTGCAAGTTTTTATTATTGACACTCCAAATGAGGAGGGGGAAACCTAATTTCTCAATGGGAAGTGGAAGACGTCTGACATTTAAAATCCACTTTTAAAAAAATCCCATTTTGAAATCTTTCTGTTTATATGTATTATACACTTTGAAAATCTATGAAGTCAACTCTTTATATGTTTTACCAAAGGGGAGGTAAAAGGAACACCCATGTAACTACTGATTATGGGCACAACTCAGCCAGAAGATCTCCTGCACAGGCCACGTAGAAATGAATGGTAGTGCTCTTGTCCAGCTCCCTTTTATTGTCACCGTGACATGTACAGGAGAACTACTCGGTGGATTGCACCCACTATGTTTGCAAAGTATAAAAGGAGAATTTCTGCTTCCCTTTTTAATTTATTTTATACATGGTATAAAAAGGCTTTTCAAATGTAGATTGAAACTTTTCACTGTAGGTAATAACTTACCTGACAGATCAATTATTGTTTTGATATACAGTCAAAGCTTGGCTACCTTGCAGATCTTTGACTATGAAGGTTTTATAGTGGTCCTGTCAATGTTCCGGTTTATGCATTAATAAATGTTAATCATAATTGTAGTTCTGTTAGAGTATATTACACGTACCATACAATATTTATATTTGTTGCATACCTCTTAATTGTCTTTTCCATTAACCATAAATAACTGTATTTTGTAGATCCAATTCTTTTGGAGTGGTGCTTTGCTGGTGACTCGTTAGTAAGATACTCAGATGTCTCTGTCTGTGCTCTCACACTGTGCAGTCATGCAAACTAGCCAAGTCTAGCCAAGTGATATAGTCACCTGAACACATTCATTCCACTCTTAATATAGCTATCTGCTGGCACAACTCAGTGGAGCTTTCTTCTTTCTTTCCCTGACTTGTTCATAGACATGCATGCTCCACAGTGAACCCCTGCATACGGATCTAGACATCACTCACCTCCCCAGCATCTTGGGAGGGTGAGGGGCATCTGGATAGAGATAAAGGCAGTGAGTATGTATTGGTCTCCCACTGCAAGTAAGAGAGTTGAATGGAAGCTCTTTGCTGCATCTTTCTACCGAGAGAACTCTGGCCATGGCAGGGAAGCTGCATCATGTCCTCCTTCATGTGCTGGCATCATAAAAAAGGGAGTTGATGAACAGATTGTAGTTATCAGGGCATCAGTCTACAGAAGCATAGACGATGAATGGGTTCTGTTTCTTAAAAATAATGTGATACCGACTTAAAATTTAAAACTAAGTCTGAGGGGTGATCTTGACGGTTACATCCCTATTGTAACTTCGAAAACATTTTTGTCCTGAGATTCAAGAGGAGAAGAGGGACATGTACAAAGTGATTGTGAAGTACTTGTGCCCAGTTATTTGAATCCTGGTCCAAGTTTTAAATGTCTGAACATTTTTCCAGGTCTTTCAAGAATGTTGAAGCATGACTTCTGCATGACACAGATATTTATGCTCTCAAATCCCTGAAATTCCTTTGGAAATTATTTACATTGACAGTGGAACAGTTGTAGCTGTCAAATAGATAACTCATTTAGTGATCCTTCCAATCATGTATTATAGCAAATGAGTTCTCTTCTCCCCTGTTGTACTGTTACTTTTCTTTGTGAAATTACTGGCTACTCTTCAGTTGGGCGCCAACTCTGTTATATTTAATAGTAGTGTATTTTCTGTGTATTAATTGTGTGGACAGCATTGTGGTGGTGATCTTGCTTATTTTTAGACATAGTGCTGTCTCCTATTATCAGGTTAGACATTTGAGAGGTATGTCTTTCTTCATGTAATATGCACTGAGCAGCATTGCCATCCTTCTACAAAGAGAAATTTTGATGAGAAAACAATAAAAAATTTAAATATCAGAATGTTTTGGCTTTTTAATGAGCATCTTCTCTTAATAACAGGATAGAAAACCAGCTTCACTATAACGTGTGAAGTAGTTTTTCATGCCTGGAGAGCAGCAAGTCAATTATCTAGTCCTGATATATAGACGTTAGTTGGTCTGATGAAATTGGCTCAGACAGTCAAATAGATCTATGGCTTGGCTCTCTTTAAGACTTGTGCCATCAGCTGAGCAGATAGACAGAGCTGTGTGTACTCCCCATCTAGAAAATAAAAATTCACTCCAAATTCTGTCTCCTCCACAAATTCACAAGTTGCAGAAACCCAATTTAGCAAAAGTAAAAGTGATATTGATGTAAACGTGTACAAAATAGTCCAATGAACTACAGATAATACAATAAGCTAAAAATAATACAAGCCAAGGTCACTGAATGTATACAAGCTAGTGCCACTATGTAAACCAAAACTAGAGGAACAAGATTTTCCATTCATAGAAAAGGGGTAAAAATGGTTTACATCAATGCCACTTTTATTTTTGTTCCTGTGACTTGGTATCTTTGTTACCTGCCATTGGAGACCCCTCCGGTGTTCATCACAAATTCACAAGACAGGGTATTACTTACCGTAACTGCAGATTGTTGGGAGGCTGTGGAGCATTACAGGAAAAACTAGATTGGAGGGCAGCAATGCCGCAGGCGAAAGGATCTTGGCCTTTCTTGCTTATTGCTATATAACAACAAAAGAAGCATGTGGACCAAGGGAAAAATGCAGCAGTTTAGGGCCAAGATTAGCCCAGCTTTGAAGTTTCAGTTTGAGAGAGGAAAAGGGGATGAGGCTGGAGTTTTATTGACCCATAGCAGTGTTTTTCAAACTTTACAGACCCTCCATGTGTCCCAGGGACAGTCCCGGATCTACAAAGGCCACCCCGGTCTCTGATTTGATTTCCTTAGGACGCCCTTATTTTAATCAGAGGGTATGGAGTTGTCTGACCCCGGAGCCATCTGAAAGCAGCCCTGTATAGGGAAGGGGTTTTGTTTTTTTAAATAAAAGAGTAATGTTTTATTATGTTTTTATATATGTTGAACCTGCCCAGAATGGCTGGAGCATCCCAGTCAGATGGGCAGGGTATAATAAAATTACTGATAATGGAATAGGATGTCCCTGTTTTCATCGGAGAAATGTTGGAGGGTATGAACTTAGGTCCCCAGCTGCTGTTGGACAACAAGTCCCATCAACCTTAGCTAGCAGGACCAGTGGTCAGGGTTGTAGTTCAACAACTGCTGGAAACCTAAGTTTGAGCAACACCGTGGGTCCCCAGATATCGTTGGACTACAACTCCCATTATCCCTGAGCTCTGGCCTTGCTAGCTAGGGGTGATGGGAGTTGTAGTTCAACAACATCTGGGGACCCACAGGTTGAGAAAGGCATTTTGAGGTAAAGGAATTCTGCCTATGCCCAGAAGCTCCCAGATTTAGGTGACAGGAAACGAGTAGGGAATAAGTGGGCAGGGGGTTGGACTAGATGACCCTCGGGACACCTGCCAACTCTATGATTCTGAGCCAAACCAGTCTCAACAACTCGCGCATGCGCCTTCGCTGTACTCCTGCTTGGGAGGCCCTAGCTCGTGGGCCCTGGAGACGCATGCGCATTGGGCTCGCCGTTTTCCTAGAGAGGTGCGCTTTTTTTTTGTACACGACGAAGGCTTAGAGTGTTACGTGGATGCACTTCCGGGTCGAAAGGCCATTGTCGGCGCCCCGCTTTCCCTGGCCTATCCTGCCCCCCCCCCCCGCCCTCCGCTGCTTCTCTCCCTCTGCCAAGATGGCGGCGGGCGCGGGTGGCGGAAGTGGTGCCGGCGCGGCCGGGGCTGCCTCGGTGGCCTCGCTGTGGAGCGAAGTGAACCGCTGCGGCCAGAACGGCGACTTCGGGCGCGCCCTCAAGTCGGTCAATAAAAGTGAGTGGAGGGCGACGGAAGTTGCACGGGGCGAGGGACGGGGCTTTGCCCCTGGCGTCGCCTCCTTTATTCTCTCTCTCCGGGGTGGGGGGCAGCCTGCAACTTTTTCTTAGTTAACCCCCCTTCCCTTCGAAACACTTTCCCAAGCGCTTCCTGTGCATTAGCTTCGCTGGAACCTTCACAACCACCCTGCAGAGCGGGAAGAACGGCTTGCCTCCGATTTGCTCGTGGCTGAGGGGTGGCTCATTTGCTTAGCCACTCCAGTAACACTTAAATGTGACCCGGCGGCAGGCGGTGCTCCTGTGCCCCTTTGTGCTGATCCTGCGTTAAGAAGGTCTCTCTTCTTCATGAGTGACAAGGCTTGGCTCACTCTTTTTCGTGGGTGGCGCCAGGCAAGCCCCTAGTCCTTCAACTTTAGCGCTGTTGCCCCGCTTCAGTATGGGAATGATGTTGGTGATGATAATAATAATAATTTTATTATTTATACTGCGTCCCCAGCCACTCTGGGCAGCTTCCATCACATCTTAAAAACATAAGGAAATGTCATACATTAAAAAAGGTTTACGACAATATCGGCCTGGTTTCTAGGGTGCTTGTAAAGACCGCAGTGAGGTAATGCTGGCGAAGTGTTTTGAATACAGTATTTAAAAGTGTGCTGTAACTTGAGTATTAGTAACAGTGCAGTTCAATTCAGTGGACTTACTCCCAGGTAAGTGAGGTTAGGATTGCAGCCACTTATTCCTCGAAGTGCTCTGTGGCTTTAACAGTTGTGTGACAGCCAGAAATACATGATGTGGTCATTCATGTCACTGTACTTGCATGCTTGGGAAAATCTTGCTTGCTGAATTGTTACTTGGTTGTACAGGGGATGTGCTAGGGAAAAACCTGCCACGTATGTAAAGAGGAAGAGGGTTGTGCAGTTATGCATCTGTAAGTTAAAGAATTGAATTGCTATATTGAATTGAGTTAGGATGCTAATCTATGAAACTGTCATATCACTTTGAAATAAGTCCTGCTATGTTCAGTGGGACTTAATGCCTAGAATGTGTGTTTAGGCTTGCAGCAAAGTATTCCCTCCTGCAGCTACACATTGCCCTCTCACTGTTGATCTTCCCTCGCAATCTGTCTTTCTACCATATTATCACAGACTTGTAGAGTTGGAAAGGAGCCCAAGGGTAATCTATTCCAACTGCAGGGCAGGGATCTCAGCTAAAGCATCCATGACAGATGGTCATCCACGCTCTGCTTAAAAACCTCCCAAGGAAGGAGGAAGAAAGAATATAATAAGTTTGCCTACCAAACTTCTCACTAAGGAGCCTTTAATAAGCTTCCAACTGGTATAATTTGGTTCCCTGGACCACAGTTGGAAAAGTGCTGTGATAATCTAAACTGGTTGTTTTCAAGGTACAAATAACAGTCCCTGGGTCCTCATTGTTTAATTCCTTGCTTTTGCTTTTCCTAGTACTGCAGATCAGCAAGGATGATGCAACTGCTCTTCACTGCAAAGTGGTATGCCTTATCCAAAACGGAAGTTTTAAGGAAGCTCTCAGTGTGATTAACACCCATACCAAAGTATTAACCAGGTGAGTGTTGAATATTAGCTGCTTATCAAACAACATGGCTTTCAGACAGTGCAAGAGTTCTTTCAGTTTTTCAAAATATGCAAACGGAAGCATTTACAAAATAAAGAAAAATACAGTTTCAAGAAAATCTTATTTCTTCTTAGTCAATTAATTCTCAAAGTGTAGGCTAAAAAAGTTTACATTTTGAGTGTGGGGTGGTAAAAAGTCCAGGATGTTACAGGAGTTATCCAGTTTGGTTTCTATGTGCATTACTGTAATGAGCATTCTTCCTAATTGGAAGGCCAGTAATTCCCCAACAAATTCACGTTGCAGCCTCTGCTGAGGGTGAGTAACACTGGTGAGTCTTCTGTATTAGAGCACAGTGGTGCCTCGCAAGACGAAATTAATCTGTTCCGCGAGTGTCTTCGTCTAGCGGTTTTTTCATCTTGCGAAGCAACCCTATTAGCGGCTTAGCGGTTTAGCGGCTATTAAAGGCTTAGCGGCTTAGCTGCTAAAAGGCTATTAGCGGCTTAGAAAAAGGGGGGGAAAGCGAAAAAAAAATCTCAAGACTTGCAAGACATTTTCGTCTTGCGAAGCAAGCCCATAGGGAAATTCGTCCTGCGAAGCAACTCAAAAACGGAAAACCCTTTCGTCTAGCGGGTTTTCCGTCTTGCGAGACATTCGTCTTGCGGGGCACCACTGTAACCATATCACACCCATACAGAGAGACAACAGAATTAGCTGCCGCCAGTGAAAGCTAATTGGGAAGAGGCAAGACCATGCAGAGGTGCAACAGGCAACCTCCAGTGTGAATGTGTGCTTTTAGGTGCACAGAGTGTTTTATTGTTGAATGAGTTTCTTGGTACACTAGAAGGTCTTTTGCAGCACACTAATATGTCCCAGCATGCAGCTGCATAATTGCTGACCTAAATCCTGTGTGTCTGTATGTATCAAAAAAGGTTTCCTAGTTGCATTGTGGGAAAAGAAGCTACAAGACAAGTCATAGAATCATAGAATTGTAGAGTTGGTAGGGAACCCGAGGGCCCTCTGGTCCAACCCCTGCAATGAAAGAATGTTAATATAGTGTTAATAAAAAAGCAGTTTATGGGATATCAAGAAAAATATCAATCCAGTAAAGATTGTATCAGTCAGTAAGCCAGCACTTTCAAAAGCAGTGTGGCGTGCAAAAGGAATGTGTGTTCAATGCACAAAATATAGACACACTTCTTTGTCTTGCTAATCAGATAAAAATTATTATTGCGAAGCCATTCTATTTTTGCTTTTTCTCTGTTGCAACATATCTGTTTTGTTAGAATATTGTTGCCATATTAGTCTGAGACAATGAGAAATTCATGAATATTAGCTCCTTTCTTGAAGCTTATCATATTATTTTACATAATTACAAACTTGGCACATGTCCAAAAATATGTCTTTATGATTTCTAAAGTATTAGTTCCCTTTTCTTGTGTTGTTTGGTTCAATATAATGTCAGTGTATATAGGATTCACTCTTCAGTAATGAGTCTTAGCAAACACAACTGCTTTTTGAAGAGTTGATAATGAGAAATCACATCCCACTTCCGGCTTATATGTTACAGTGATGTGATAGCCTTTGAGAAGGCTTACTGTGAATACAGGCTGAACAGGATTGAAAATGCTCTGAAGACCATTCAAGGAGCCAGTCAGCAGACAGACAAGCTAAAGGAGCTGTATGGACAAGTGGTAACTACTGCTTTGCAAACCCTTACTGCTTTTAATAACTGGATATAAGGCTTCAGGTGCTGTGGTGGTGGAGTTTTCTCAATCTAAATGTGTGCTCTTTTACGGCAGGTTAGCAATCCCCTAAATAGGTCAGCCACAGTCCAGTCCTGCAGCAATGGATGCTGACAGTCTACCAACACTGTGTTGAATAGTGAAGACTGATTATAATGGTTCTTGTTAATTAAGCAGACCTGTCCTTACTTTTTGCCATCTTTCTTGTCCTCGTGGATGGTCCTATGAAATGAGAACATTTCAAAATTGAAAATGCAGCTTAGCCACGTATTTTTCATTGTGCACAACATTATGAGTCCAGAATTTAATATGACTCTTCACTGGTATTTCACTTCACCTAAAGATCACTGATCTTTAAAACCAGCAGGTTATAATGCTGGAAATGTCAGTATAAGCAAGTGATAATATTTTTTTTCACTTATGGGGGAACTGCATATGTATAAATCCATTGGACTCTAATAATAATAATAATTAATAGTTAATTAATAATAAAGCCAAGAATAAAATTTTGATATTCTACTTGCTTTTCAGTATCTTCCTGGTTGAGGATTAAGGGGTGATAAAATGCTTTAGAGAAACATCTTATAGAAACTAGAATTGCCTGGGCTTAGCATGGAAATTTATTCCAGCAATTGTGAAGTGCCTCTCAGTGTTCTGGGAATTACCAAGAGGGATATTTTGTGATGGACAAAGTGCATTGGAGGAACAGTGTGTTTCCCATGACAGCTCTGGGTCTATAGGCACATGCTATGTTGTTGCTCTTCAGCCTAGAACTTTTGGCATTGATTTTCTCAACAACCAGAGGTGACAGTTTAGAATTGATGACCTTGGTAACTATTATACATTCACTCTTTCTTCTTGAAGAAAGTTGTTGCTTAGTGACATGGATGGGTCTTGGTCTTTGTTCAGTGTTTCTTCCATAACACTGTGCATGTTAGTGGTTATTCTTTTTCAATAAAGTTTTTTTCAAAAAAGAAGAATAACGGGGGTTAGATTTCATTGTAGTGTAAAGTGGGGTTTGCGTGTGCAGAACAAGGCCCACTCACACCATGGGATTTCCCCTGTGTGCCCCCTAAACTTGTTCTGGGGGTTCCCCAATATTCCAATGAAGATTTGGGGGACGCAAGGAAGAAGAGGAGGAAATCCCATTTTGCCACCTGACTGCATTCTGTGCATGCAGCAACTTAGTTGAATCCCGTCCAATACCTGCCTGGATTATAGGTATAGTATAAACATTACTGAGATATTATGGTTGCTATTTTATTTTGCAGACCTCGTTTTGACTGTTTTCTGGTCTGTTGAGCTGCTAATCCAGATTTTTCCTTCCAGTTGTACAGATTAGAACGTTATGATGACTGTTTAGCTGTGTACCGGGACCTCATACGCAACTCACAAGATGATTATGAAGAGGAACGGAAAACGAACCTCTCTGCAGTTATTGCTGCACAAAGCACATGGGAGAAAGTCGTGCCAGTAAGTAAGTTTGTGGCAGTGTGTATGTGTACGTGCGAGAGAGAAAGAGAGAGAGACTTCCTCCTTCATCTATTCTTGCTGTAAGTGAACTGCAGGTGAACTGCATAAACGCCATAAAATACAGGGAAGTGTCTTATTGGAACATTGACGTATGAAGCTGATATCTCTGTTATTCCCAAGTCTGGTAAAGACCAAACTAGTCCAAATTATAGGCCAATCACCTTAATTATTGTAGTCAGCAAGATAATAATAGGAGGCATTGCTAACCAGACTGTGATGGCTATAGTAGTACATTAATATTACTTGCCAAAGAGGGGGAGCAGATAATTTAAGGTTGGTAGGAAAAGGGGATGCTTCAAACAGTAAAAGAGTTGATGTGGCTGCAGTTATTTCCCTAGATGCCGAAAAGGCTTTTGTCAAACTACATTGACAGTTTATTTCTGTTACTTTGGGGGGGGGGGAAGGATTTCCTCAGGAAGTTATGGATTGGATTAGGAACTTATGCCTTTTCTCCCAATCACAGATAATTGGAACTTGGCACTTGAGGACATTCGTACACTTTTAAATTCCTGTAACGTGAGGACTGATAGACAACAAAAGTGGATTCTGCAATATTTTAGAAGACACCTGACTTTTAGAAGACATTCCCTGTTAAGGGAAGCTTTTAATGTTTAATAGACTATTGTATTTTAATATTCTGTTGGAAGCCGGCCATAGTGGCTGGGGAAACCCAGCCAGATGGCCAGGGTGTAAATAATAAATTATTATTATTATTTCAAGGCTGGAAGGATAAACACCCAGCTGCTGCTCACTTGACTCCCGGTTGGTTGTACCACTGCTGCTTACTGGGAGGTAGAGGGCAAGGTGCAAGGTCAGCACAGTGCAAATACACCAGCAGGAGTACCAGATTAGCTCTGGCAGTGCATTTGCACTGTATTGACTTCCCTGCTGCTGCCGCCTCTCGCAGTCCCTACCAAGCAGTAACATGACTGACCAGAGGTCAGATGCATGCCACAGCCCCATCGTGCCATCAGACACACACACACACACACACACACACACACACACACACACCATGAGAAGATACAGCAGGTGGAAACACAGGGTGGCCTCATCTGTGGTAGCTTTAAGACCATGGAGTGCCCCAAGGAAGCTTGCTTGAACCCAGGGTTGCATATATTTAAGTGGGCAGTTAAAAACAACAACAACTTGCATTTTCCTACAATCTTCCTTAGATACAGTTTTTAAAATTCTGATTGCCTTTTTATATTGGTATACTGGTGGTTACTTTTGCGTTTTTAATGTGGTTATTGTTTGATGCCGTAAATGTATGCCTTTGTTTAGTAATTTACTTAACATCTGTTTATATGCGAAAGAATCTTTATGCCACTACAACATCTTGCCGCCAATGTGTGCTAAGGAATGAAAGAAACGCTTGATGAAAGGAGCTTTGGGCTTCTAGAATCGTGTGATGATTTGCTTGCATATTGTTCTTTTGTGCCTCGTATATAGTTAGAAAGAAGGGTGTTCATACAGCTTCCTATTAGTATGTATCACCTGCTTGTGGCTTTTGAATTTACTGCATGTTAATTTAAGAACCCTTCATGCTTTGGAAGAATTGTTTTGATCTGCGTCTAGCCATCTGACCCAAAGTGTTCATGCAAACTGGTTCACACTGTAATTCAGAACGAGGTATCCCTTTATTTACTTCGTTATTTTTGCTCTGTCCAGGAGGATCTTGGCCTTCAAGAAGCCACATATGAGCTGAGTTACAATGCTGCTTGTTCTTTGGTTGGGCAGGCCAGGCTGAACGAGGCAATGAAAAGCCTACAAAGAGCGGAAGGTAATGAATGAGAAGATTAATTTGTCCTTTCCTTGTAACCCGTTGTGCTGCTTTTGTGGAAGGACGTCACAAGATCTAAATCCTTTAATAAATGAAATTGAGAAAATAGACATGGGGATTATTGTGTCCCTAAATTTATTCTCTGCATCTGCAAATGTATTTCAAGAATGCCTTTACAGCCACCAGTAACCTGTCGTTCCTATAGACTGCACAGGATTTCCTCCCTGCACTAATTTGCATTCATTTTGGTAAGAAAAATCAAGTTTCGAATAGCTAGATCCCATTCCCGCCCCCCCCCCCGGCAGCAACTTGGAAAAACAAGCAAAGACCAAACAAAATTGAACTGAAGGGAGATGTGGGGAGAACTCAAGATGGTTAAATTGATAGTACTACTAAGAAATCCATAATTGTATCATGTATCGACATGCAGTTGGAAACTTAGGATCTAGTATATTAAGGGCAGATTAGGAATTAAGATATGCGGAGAATGATTATAGGATGCTGTCAAATACAGTCATACCTCGTGTTACGTTTGCTTCATGTTGCAGCTTTCCAGGTTACAAACGTGGTAAACCCAGAAGTGTTTACTTCCAGGCTCGCTGCATGCACAGAAGTGATCTGTGTGCTTTGCACATGCGCAGAAGCGCTCTTTCGCACACTCGCAATAGCAGCACTCTACTTATGGACTTTTCAGGGTGCGAACGGCACCCCGAAATGGATCGCGTTCGTAAATAGAGATACCACTGTATAGAGAAATATCAGGCATCCTTGCACTTCTGTGATGCAAATGAAGTTTCTATAGGCAGGTGTTAATCAGTGGTGGAACCTTGATTGGTGGCTCATATCTATGGCAAAATGTGTGCTACCTCCACTGTCAGAGGCAATATGACTCTGAATACCAGTTTTTGGGCAGCACGAGTGGGAAGAGTGCTGCTGCACTCCTACCTATAGGCTTCCTGTATGCATCTTGTTCACCACTGTGAGAACAAGGGGCTGGAATGGATGGGCCTTCGGTCAGATCCAGTAGGGCTCTTCTTATGTCCAAAATTAATTTGTCACACTTTCATTGTAGATCTGTGTCGCCAGTCTCTCTCAGAAGATTCGGTGAGTCACTAGTGTTACACCGAGAATACTTTTTCCGCTCGGCAGGTTTTAATATTCTCAGTATGTGTGCATGTAAGCTAATTGCATAAATCTGCTTGGTTATGTGTTATCTGCCTGCTTTCCTTCATCACACTGGATTTCAAGTGTTCTCCATCAGCACTTTTCTTTTTACTTCTGTGCCATTAAATAGCAGTGTGCCTCTTTTCACATGAATGGCTTCACCGAGAAGTGTTAACAGTGTAGAATTAAACTTTGTGAATTCTGTAGCAAGGGCCATTGCTGATATTACCAATTTAAATATCCAGAGCTTCCATTATCCGCTGAAGCCATTTAAAAAAGTATTCTTAGTGAACACAATAATGGCAAAGTAAGGCAGTTTTATGTCCTGTTGATTTCAATGGATGAGATTTGCATGCTTGCGTGACTCACCCAATGAGAGAAATGGTACCAGGAGTGCAATCCAATGCATATTTTCTCTGTTCAATGGGGCTTGCTCTCTAGCTGTGTTACTAATAAGTACTAGTTACCAATAGATATATTTGCAGGTTTGGGTGATACTAAATTCCAGCATGCATAATTTGGATTTACCCTTTCTCTCCCCTTCCCCTCCCTGGCAACCCCAGGAATACCTCCCCACAAAATCTGCTCTGGGGGGTTAGGGTCCACTGACTTGACATTGGATTCCATCCATTGATCTGTGGATATTACATAACCGGTGCAAGGTTTCAAGGTTGTGTGTTAACTTTTTTTTTTACTGTTTCCTTTTAGGATGTTACCGAAGAAGACATTGAGGCTGAACTGGCTATTATTCACGGTCAGATGGCTTATATCTTGCAGTTGCAAGGTCACACAGAGGAAGCCCTGCAACTTTACAATCAGATAATCAAACTGAAGTAAGTGACTTCTGTAAAATGGTGGCATTGGTGGTCTTGGCATCTTTTTAAAAAAGAAGACATATTTACAAGTGCACATGCATGCTCTGTTCTGTGCAGGCCAACAGATGTCGGGTTGCTTGCTGTCATCGCCAACAACATCATTACCATTAACAAGGTATGGCATTATCCTAGTAATTCCTCAAGCATGTTTTGCAGAAGAAATTGCATAAAAGGAGCGTGATGTGTCTTAATTGCAGCAAGCAACCTGGGAAACATCATGTTCCTGTTGACTGAGTTATGCATCTTGGGATGCTGTCTTTCACAGGACCAAAACGTCTTTGACTCAAAGAAAAAGGTGAAACTGACCAACGCTGAGGGTGTTGAGCATAAACTCTCAAAGAAACAGCTCCAAGCAATAGAATTCAATAAAGCTCTGCTGGCCATGTACACCAACCAGGTAATGTTATGCCACTTCAGTTGCTTTGATGCATGGTTTGTTATCAAGGAGGGCAGGGAGCAGCTTGGTTTGTTGGCTTACACTTCTAAATCCTGCCTTCTCTCTGTAGAATCAGCATTCCTAACCAGCTAATCTTTTTCTCTTGTTCCTTAGGCAGATCAGTGTCGCAAACTGGCATCAAGTTTACAGTCACAGAGTCCCGAACATCTCCTCCCCGTGCTAATCCAGGCAGCACAGTTGTGTCGAGAGAAACAGCATACCAAGGCAATAGAGCTGCTACAGGTAGGCTGTGGTTCACTGCTTGAGGAAATATGCAGGAGATGACAAAGCTCTGAATCATTGTTCATCTAGATGAGGTTGAGGAGGAAGGGAATTCATGAACCTGCTGGGCACTGGGAGTCATAGTTAGATTTGACAGTGTTATTTTTGCAACAGCCCAAGCATTCAGTGAAACTATGGATTAGCTTGTTGAGCTAAGCCTTTTCCCAAAAAGTTAGGTATGGTAATACACTAGTGAGATCTGCTTGTCTGAGATCTGCAAGCAGTGAGAGATTTAGAGAGACAAGAGAACTGCCTTAAGTGTGGCTTGGTATAGGTGCAGTACATAAACGTGCCTGGTTGAAAACTATAGTTCTAAGGTGCACTGCAAATCATGGTTTAGACTTAAGCATATTTTAGGTAATGGCATAGCAAATGGGACCCTTTATTAACATATTGCTGTGTATCCCTGTCCCCTAATAGAAGAGCTTCTGTTCAAGGGACTCGGAGTTTGTTACAGGAGAGTCAAGAGACATAAGACTCCACAGTGCAAAAACTATTCATTGCAAGGTCCCTGTTCTGGAAATTCTGAAGCTGATTCTGTTTGAAAGCCTCCTGATTTGTGTTTCCATTTCTGACCTGTAGGAGTTTGCCGATCAGCACCCAGAGAAAGCAGCAGAGATTAAGCTGACGATGGCACAGTTGAAAGTTGCTCAAGGTACTGTAGCCTCACTTCCTTTGGAAAGAAGCTTCCTGAGCATTCAGCTACAGTTTCATACTGTTTCCATATACTACAATGAGCACTCTCATTCTTAACTCATTTTTTTCTCAAAGGGAGGCTGCCTTCTGGGGGAGCTTAGGTTAAAGGCAGGAAGGGGCAATACCTGAAGTCTTCACCATCTAGAAAGCTTGCAAGTTGAACAAATTTGTATGATTTTCTTACAGAGCAGTGGTGGTGATGATGATAGCATTTTTGCATAATTCAAGTTTTACTAATTAGGAAAAATATGGAGCCCTGAACCCTCTCAGCTGTGACCAGTGAAATTCTTATTTAAACATTCCTTTAGCTTTTGATACTTCAGTTATTTCCCACATGTTTTCATGCATATTTTTTGCAGTCATAAGGGCTAGCACCTTTCGCTCTTTAAATAAAAGGCTGAGTTTCTCATGAAGCTGGCTTCTGCAGAATCGTGGCAAGCATGCAGCCCTGATTGATGGTTTCTATAATCGCTCCTTTTTATCTGTCTAATAAAAAGAGAGTTGCTTGATGGTAGAACAGATGTCCTAGCACAGAGGAGTGGAGCCAGTTGCCAATAACCACACTTTTTGTTCTCCTTCCCTTCCCCTTTCTCTCTCTCTCTCAAAGGCAGTGTCACGAAAGCATGTATCATCCTGAGGTCTATAGAAGAGTTAAGGCACAAACCAGGCATGGTAGGTTGCAGCTAAATCTAAACACACACAGAGTTTTATGCATCCTATTGACACCACCCCCAGTGTCATATTCTTCTCCTAGCATGCCATTCTGACCCTAGGTTGGGTGGTTAGACTACTTTTTCTTTTTGACATGTCTGTCTGTCTCAAGAGACAATGGAGCGTTTGTGGGTGGGGAGTCAAACCACTGTGTTAGCAGCACCGAAGTGACCTGCCCAGGGCACAAGCCAGGGCAGTGTTTTTGGAGGTCCTGGGCTGCCCAGATTACAAGACACCACTCTCAGCCTCGCTGATATGGTTCAAAGGAAAGCAGAGCAATATGTTTGGCGTCATCTTTGCTACAGGAGTTGCTGGTATACAAGGCACCATCCAACCATTTTAGGGACTCCACGCTGGATTTGTGTAGGGTTTACTCCTTGGCCTTTTCTTCTCCTGAAGACATCCCACAAGGCAGTGGAGGTTTAGGATTAGAGCTTTCGTTCTCCTGGATGGGCTGCCTTCCCAGGTTGACAAGTCCCATCATGGCTGGACTACAAGTTGCTCATTTGCCTCTTTATTTTGTATGCGTAAGTTCTGTTTGGACTCTTGATCAGTAATATGTTTGGTCCACAGGACTTAGCAATAACAGACATCTTGATCTCTTCTGCCTCCTGTTGCTAGAGGTGTGTAACTCAACAACATGAATCTTTGGCTACTAATCTAGCAGCGATTGTGAACTTGGCCCTGAAGCAAGCTTGTAAATATCCAAAATTTTGCGCCAAGATATCACATATGTTATGGTCTTATATAAATAGTTTCCATGACTTGCTTAATTTCTAAGTTGTGTGAATATTTCAGGCTTTTCGTGCTCTTCCAATATGGAAATGACAATATTTAAATCCTGCTTTCTGCTAAAAGAAGCATACAACACAAAACTACTCAATGCAATTGAGCAAAAGTACAACTAATAGCCAATTTCTAAAAGCAGTAACAAATAGTAAATTAGGGTGTTACACATTAAAAGCCTGCCAGAATAAAAGTTCATTCAGTTTTGGGTGAAATAATTTCATTTGGGAGAGTATTTCAGAGCTGCAGCACTACCACCAAAAAGGCCCTGTCTCTTGTTTGCTCACTAAATTTTCTAAGATGGCACTGCAAAACAATGCCTCCAACATGCATCTTAATCAAGGTTCTCCCAATATGGGAGCAAGCAGTGCAGAAAGTTTTGATATAGCTTACCTTAAAGGTAAAGGGACCCCTGACCATTAGGTCCAGTCGTGACTGACTCTGGGGTTGCGGCGCTCATCTCGCTTTACTGGCCGAGGGAGCCGGCATACAGCTTCCGGGTCATGTGGCCAGCATGACTAAGCCGCTTCTGGCAAACCAGAGCAGCGCACGGAAACGCCGTTTACCTTCCCGCCTGAGCGGTACCTATTTATCTACTTGTACTTTGATGTGCTTTCGAACTGCATGGTGGCTATAAGGAATATTAACAAAATGTAAGTGAAATGCTAGGACACTTTGAAAAAGTGCTGTGTAGATGCCATGTGTTGGAGAGAGCAAAGCACATAACAGCAAGGTTGATTCTTATTTAAGAAAACTTGCACTCTTTCTTGTCGTGTTAAGCCAAGGCTGCTTTATCCCTTGAGTGCTGTCACTTGACTCCACTACTTTTGAAGAAATGTAGTAAAAGAGAAGTAAATATTGCTTCAGTGTGTGTGCGCTTTCATGTGGTGACAGTATTCTACTTAATGAAATAATAAAGTTACATTTATAATTTTTAAAAAATGTGGCCCTGGCATACATTCCAGTACTTATTGCTCGCTAAAAATATTTCTGACTTTAATGTTGTGTTCTAAACTGTTACAGGTATCTGCATTAGTGACAATGTATAGCCATGAAGAAGATATTGATAGTGCTATAGAGGTCTTGGCTCAAGCAATTGAATGGTATCAAGAATTTCAGGCAAGTATTAGTCCGATGAGATGCCAACAGATAAGCTGCTCGGTATTTTGTGTTCAACTTGCATTACATCCCTGATAAAATAGTAGAAATATGATCAGTACATCACAGCTCTTTATAATGTAAAAAGACATTTATTATCTGAATTTGCTAGCCAGTTGTATTCGTAAATGGTTTGTAACTGCTACTGTGCTGCAAGAAATAAATTAAATAATTCAAGTTTCCCATGAGCCCCAAATCTCAACTGCAGTGGAGAGGCTGCCTGTTGCCTCTCTGCATGATTGCCTGTTCTGTTCTTGTCTCCTTCACTGGAGCAGTTCTCCAGTTTATCTGTCAGTAGATGTCATTTGGATCATCCAAAAACTTCTGATGCAGAGTCCATGGAATTAACTGACCTGAAAGAGATGGATGCAAAAATCCAGGAGAGATCCCCTAGTGTGGGGTAGCTCTCACATTCACAAGTCAAGATTTGCTTAAGTCAAGTAGTGGCCTTCCCTGACACCTGTAGTGCCCACCCCTCCTCTGAAATCAGAATTGAAAGAGGAATTCTGTTGCAGCCATTAGAACAGATGCATTGTACATATGGTGCCTGTGACAGCTTCTCGGTTTGAAAATATGCTCAAGGCTCCAAAACGTTAGCAGCTCCTGCTCTAAGTGCAGACTTCTTTGTGTGCACAAGGTGAAATGTGCCCTCAGGTTTAATTGAGGGGAAGTGTGCTGTGCCTCAGCTGTTTGGAAGTCTGCAAAAAAATTGTTTTGTAGAATTTTCCTGATTTTATCCGTATTTTGTGGGAAGACTCGGTTACGCATTGGAGTAGTTATAATTCCACAGCTGTTGAAAGTCAGTATTCTGAGCTTGATAGTGTGATTGCAGTCTTGCAGCTCATAACAGACAAATACGCCATTGCAGTTGTATCCCATCAAAGTTGTCCTGTTCACACAAGGACTTCCAGTGGCTCAGTGGAACTTCTTGCCCTTCTGTGTGTCCCCATCTGATGTGGAGGGTGGAGGAGGAACCCAGAACAGATTTGAGGGTGCGCAGGGGGAATTTCTTGTACGAATGATACACCTTTGTTACCTACAACCGCTGCTCTTAGGAGTCCCCTAAACTCTCATGGCTCCAAGTGTGAATCGGTCTCTTCAGTGGGTTAAAAAAGAGAGTGATCACTCATGTCATTGTTTTAGTTGTTTTCAAACTTAACTTTAAGCAAACCTTTTTTCACCCCCAGCCAAAGTCTCCAGTTCATTTGTCGTTAATTAGGGAAGCTGTCAACTTCAAGCTAAAACACGGACGGAAGAAGGAAGCCATCAGCGATCTAGAGGAGCTGTGGAAGTAAGTCCCTTCCTGAGAGCTAATAAGTGAGTTTTACTGCAAAAGACTCAGTGGCCCCACTAACTTTTGAAACAGAAGTTGACAGTTACTTCAGTAGTGTTAAAAATGTATTTATGCAGCAAATGAGATAAGGCATATTAAAAATGGGTTGTGCCCAGTGTTACATGAACAGCATCCCACTTGTGCAGTGGGACTTACCTTTCCAGTATACCTGAAGGAGCATCTCCACCCCCATCGTTCAGCCCGGACACTGAGGTCCAGTGCCGAGGGCCTTCTGGCATTTCCCTCACTGCGAGAAGCAAAGTTACAGGGAACCAGGCAGAAGGCCTTCTCGGTAGTGGCTGCCACCCTGTGGTATGCCCTCCCATCAGTTGTCAAAGGAATAAATAACTATCTGACGTTAAGAAGGCATCTGAAGGCAGCCCTGTTTTGGGAAGTTTTTTAATGACTGGTGTTTTAATGTATTTTTAATCTGTTGGCCTAGAGTGGCTGGGGAAACCCAGCCAGATGGGCGGGGTATAAGTAATAAATTATTATTATTATTATTATTATTATTATTATTATTCCTCTCCTCTCACCACGTGCCCCCAAAATCTGCTTCAGTGGGTCCCTCTGGAGACTCTGCAGTGGGGGCTGTGTGAGAGAAGAGGGGAAAGTTGTGGTGTCTCTACCTGTGCTTTGGACACACTTTTTTCACCCTGCAATCCCCTATATATGTGGGCACACCTGGTTTTTGGCAAGCTATTGAAGCGAATGGGTGTTGCCCCAATGAGCTGCTGGAACATCCACAGAGTGAGCAACCTCTTCAATCATTAGATTCTCTTTTGGTCCCTTTCCCTACTCCTGCCACCCATCTCTAAGATGCAGCTTTTCTTGAGCCAGCGTGCACCTTGAAAATATTGTTTGTGGCGCCTATGGAAGGTGGAGGCAGGGTGCTTCATTTGCCTGCTTATATGAGGTGTCCTTCCTGTGGTGTGCAACACTGGGCTGACTGCTCTCTTTAGAACAGGCTAAAACTCTTGCACTTCTTTACTTTTGTAGGCAAAATCCAGATGATGTCCATACCCTGGCCCAGCTCATTTCTGCGTACTCCCTGGTGGATGGTGAGAAAGCTAAAGTGTATCCTTCCTTGTGTGGCTGAGGAAGGTGAGACAAGGAGGTATTCTTTGACCACTTCCTTATATCAGAGTAATTGCTGCAGTGATGCTTTTCAAAGTTTCCAGCTTTTGGAGTATGATGCCATGTTCTCTGCCAAAGAAATCCTGTGTCTTCTGGAATTCCCCTGTTCGTGTTATAAGACTTTCACATCTCACTGGCCTTTGAACCTCACTGTTGTCTCATAGGGTGCATACAACACACACATCCAACTAGGAAGTTCAGGTACAGCTGGGTTGGTGTTGTTGTTGTTTAGTCGTGTCTGACTCTTCATGACTCCATGGACCAAAGCACGCCAGGCACTCCTGTCTTCCACTGCCTCCCACAGTTTGGTCAAACTCATGCTGGTAGCTTCGAGAACACTATCTAACCATCTCGTCCTCTGACGTCCCCTTCTCCTTGTGCCCTCCATCTTTCCCAACATCAGGTTCTATTCCAGGGAGTCTTCTCTTCTCATGAGATGGCCAAAGTATTGGAGCCTCAGCTTCAGGATCTGTCCTTCCAGTGAGCACTCAGGGCTGATTTCCTTCAGAATGGATAGGTTTGATCTTCTTGCAGTCCATGGGACTCTCAAGAGTCTCCTCCAGCACCATAATTCAAAAGCATCAATTCTTCAGCGATCAGCATTCTTTATGGTCCAGGTTGGGTTGGTAGTCTTTCCTTTTAACTCCATGTTTTCATCAAGCAGAGGTACAAAAACACTATTCTACTGTTTTGATCCCCAAATGCCAAGCACCTCTGTTTCTTTTAGAAGCTCAGCCTCTCATGGTCACTCTGCCCATCCAGAAAGTAAAAAAGAAATTTGTTACCCCCATTATATAATGTTCCCAGCAGAATTCTTCCCAGTCTCCTAGCTTAGTTTTTCTCTGTCGTTATTGTACCCACTAAACTGCCTTTGAGATCCTGAGAATGATTTTCTCTCTTACTTGCTTAATGTGTTCATATTGATATTCCTTAACCCCTCCTTCACAATAGACTTAGCAAACACTTGCCTTCTTCGGACACCATGTCTCTGAAAGTAGATGTGGATGCTCTTGAAAACTCGCATGGGGCTACATACATTCGGAAGAAAGGAGGGAAACCCGCGGTTGAGAACCAGCAGAAAGAACAAGGGTAAAGAAGCTTTTTAAGTAATCCTTGACATCCTGAGTCAGTGTTAATATGAAGAAGTCCAGCTCAGCGACCGAAATAAGTTTTCTGTCTTCCAGCTACAAGCTTGCCCTATTTCTTTCTCCTGTACAAAGCCATTAGATATGCTCCCCTTGGCATCCATTAACTCTGTTCTTTGTGCTGCATCTCAAGCAGGCTCATGTGTGTTCATGTGCTGTTGTTGTTTTTCCAGCCAAGGTGACGTCAAGAAGAAGAAGAAGAAAAAGAAGGGTGAGTGTTGTTAGCAATGGCTGTATAGCTGTTTGGAGTTCAAAAGTGCTTCTGGAGAAGTTGGCTAAAACTATCTAAGCCAGGAGTCGAGAACCTGTGACCTTCCAGATGTTGTTGGACTTTGTCTCCCAGAAGGTTCAATCCCCAGTGTCTCCAAGTAGGTCTGGGAAGGACTTACTTTGGAGACCTTAAAATCAGCTGCTAGCCAGTGTAGACGGTAATGAACTAGATGGACCAATTGTTCTGAACCCCAGGCCCAAAGGAGGACTTGTGGGAGTGAGTGGTTGGGTGCAGGGATACCAAAGAAGGATGTCAAAACACCAGAGTGATCATTTCTAGTGCTTTATTAAAAGAAAGGTATAGACTTACAGCAGATCAGCCTGCTGGGTCTCCCAGCCTTTGCAGACGAGGGATGAGCACTGCAGCAAGGAGATGTCTTGTCCATGCCCAAGCAAACATTCATTCATTCTTTATACACAAAGCAGCAAAAGGCACTTTGGCCAGGACTTTCCACCACTCCACCTGACCAGATAAAGGCATAGGTGGCAAATACCCAAATCTCTCAGATAAGATTCCCCTTTCTGGGCTTAGAGCCCACCCCAAAGATAAGGATAGCATCAAAGCAAACCAATTAGCCTATATCAAAGCAAGTGAATATATGAACTCAGTGCTACAACAACTACCAATTAATTTTGTCGTTACCTTGACTACCAGGATGGCATTAGCAGAGCTTCTGGAATAGTCCACCTTTGGTTCAACACACCAAGGGACTAGCCCGGTATAAGTCAGTTTCTCATGTGTCTGTTATTTATTAAAATATTTTAAATACATACTTTATTTATTAAAGTTAAACATTTATCAACTGCTAGGTATCTCTGCCCATTAGCAGTGCTGCCTAGGGCAGATAGGAGTTGGGAGTGCAACAGCTACATGTTCCTCATCTCAACACTGCTGTACTAGGGTGGAATTTTTAAAAAACGACTCAAGAAGCTAAGTTCAAATTAAGTTGACTTTCAGCCAGGAAATCCCAGCAATCGTGTGACATTAATGGTAGCGTCCTGGACTTCTTGTTTCGACGCAGCATGCTTCTTAATACCAGTTGCAGGGATTAAAAGCAGGGATAGGCTGTTGCCTTCATTTTCTGCACGCATTTTGCAGGCCACTGTCAGAGACAAAAATAGATGGATATTTTGGGGACTGATCTAAGAGTGCTTTTCTAACACAAACCTTTTGATTAGGTCTCCATGCTATTACATGAAGTCGGTTCTCCACAGTATTTAAAGTCTAGGCATAGCTTGCTAATTGCAACAACCCAATTTTTGTTGTTGCAAGGAAAAGTTAAAACATGTCAGCATAAAGGTATTTGTGGTTTGCGCACAATGAGAGCGTTCTCTGTCTCCGACCATGGAAGTGCTGTACAGCTTTGGCTGATAAGGCGTTTACCTGCAGTGCAGCTGTTCTTAAATCATGACGAGTCTCCCATGCTGAATACTCCTTAGTATTCAGGAATATTCTTTTTTTTTAACCTACTCCTTAGGAAAACTGCCAAAGAACTATGACCCTAAAGTTGCTCCTGACCCTGAGCGCTGGCTTCCAATGCGGGAACGCTCCTATTATCGCGGGCGGAAGAAGGGCAAGAAGAAGGACCAGATTGGGAAAGGAACCCAAGGAGCAACAACAGCAGCTTCTTCTGAATTGTGAGTAACAGGACCCAGCCTTGCGAGACTTGATTCTAGAGCCCTCTCAGTGTCCCAGGGCAAGTATCGTAATCAAAGAGAGATTTGTTGTTGTTTAGTCGTTTAGTCGTGTCCAACTCTTCGTGACCCCATGGACCAGAGCACGCCAGGCACTCCTGTCTTCCACTGCTTCCCACAGTTTGGTCAAACTCATGCTGGTAGCTTCAAGAACACTGTCCAACCATCTCGTCCTCTGTCGTCCCCTTCTCCTTGTGCCCTCCATCTTTCCCAACATCAGGGTCTTTTCCAGGGAGTCTTCTCTTCTCATGAGGTGGCCAAAGTTTTGGAGCCTCAGCTTCAGGATCTGCCCTTCCAGTGAGCACTCGGGGCTGAGTTCCTTCAGAATGGATAGGTTTGATCTTCTTGCAGTCCATGGGACTCTCAAGAGTCTCCTCCAGCACCATAATTCAAAAGCATCAGTTCTTCGGCAATCACGGCAGTGGCAGTGAGAGGCCCCATTAGCTAAAGTGGTGCTTCAGGTTAAGAACAGTCCTCCGGAACGAATTAAGTTCGTAACCCAAGGTACCACTGTATCTTGGTCGGTTCATATGGAGAGAGGCAGTCATGCTACAGGAGGATGAAAGAGTGCAGGAAGATGAGCAGGCTTTGTGGGCCTGGGAAAGTTGAAGAGACGAAGGCAATAGAGTTGTCTGCTTTGCTCAAGTCATCTGAAGGGCTGGAACTTAGGAACTCATTTGGTAACTGAAGATCTCAATCTCTCTTGGCAGTCCTACAGGAATCAGGATTTTACTTGAATGTGTCTGTATGCAGGCATCCTAGAGGGAAAGTATCCAGCTCCTAGAAAAGAGTGACGACACCCCCCCAGCCCCATGTTCTCCAAGAATAAAAAAATTATCCCAAAGCATTATATATGAATGGCATGCTGATGTATATATTGTAGCACCTGCAGTATACAGTCGTACCTTGGAAGTCGAACAGAATCCGTTCTGGAAGTCTGTTTGAATTCCAAAACGTTTGGAAACTAAAGCATGGCTTCTGATTGGCTACAGGAAGCTCCTGCAGCCAATCGGAAGCCCTGCCGGACGTTTGGGTTCCAAAGAACGTTTGCAAACCAGAACACTCACTTCCGGGTTTGCAGCGTTCGTGAGCCAAAGTGTCTGAGTACCAAGGCATTCGGGATCCAAGGTACAACTGTACTAGCTAGCAGTGGCTCAATTCTGCCCACAGCTTATTGTAAAAAAAAAAAGGGGGGAGCTAGAATTTCTAAGCGGTGTTCTTCTGTTATGTAAAGGAATGAATTCTTCACTGCAAGCAGTAATATATGACATGTGCATGAGGTTTAACCTGTTTGTTTTGTTTTTGTTGCTGACAGGAGGAAAGATATACCGTACATCTAAGCTCTGTGTGATAATAATCCCATTTGTCTCTTCCTTGTCTACAGGGATGCTAGCAAGACTGCAAGTAGTCCACCTACATCCCCAAGGCCTGGCACCGTAACGGCCGTTCCATCTGCATCAACAAGCAACATGATACCGCCAAGGCATCAAAAGCCTGTTGGCGCAGCTGCCACAAAGAAGAAACAGCAGCAGAAGAAAAAGAAAGGTGGGAAAGGAGGCTGGTGATCATGGCAAGCAGGCTGTTTAAATTGAAATTGCCTGTCTTCCTTTCATTTTCTTTTTTTCCAATTGCGAATGCCAAGAGCGGAATAAAGGTCAAACAAAAAGCAGGGTGGATATGTGTCCTTTTGTTCTCCTTTTGAATATATATATATATATATATATATATATATATATATATATTTGTTCTCCGTAGTGATATTGGAGATATTATTACTCCTCATAACAATATCTATGCATGGTGGCATTGTCTGTTCATTCCAGGCTTTAAGGAAACGGTTTTCTCATCTTACATGGGTTTTCCTACATGAGGCCATCACTGAAGGGTGATCAGAAATTGCAGCTGGTGCAAAACTGTCATCAAGTGTGCACTTTATGGAACCACAACACTAGTCTTGCATCAACTACACTTGTTTGTTTTCAAGAACAATTCAGGGTGCTGGTTCTTACCTATAAAGCTCTAAATGCTTTGTGGCCAGGATATCTTTTCCTCCTGTATGAGCAGGTCCAAAAATTATTGCCCTCATCAGAGGCCCTGTTGTGTGTACCACCATGGAGAGATGCTAGTTTGGTGGATACCTTGGGTGGGGTCTTTTCTGTAGCATTGTGGAATTCCTCCCCTGGGAGGTCAGCTTGGCCCAGTCTTGCCTATTTTTTAAGGTGGGCTGTAAAAACTTGTTTTGTTCTGCCTGGCTTTTTGATGCATTTATAGTTCTGTGGTTTTGTTTTAATGATAGTCCTCTGCTGCTTTTAATTGGTGTTTTTGATATGTATTGTTTGTGCTTGCTCTATGTTGCCTTGGAGACCCTTGTGGGCAGAAAAGCAATGCATACTTTTAATAAATAATAACAACTAAGATTTTTCTCTTGGAGACCAAGGATTGTTGTATCTATTAATCTGCAGACAAAGCAAACAGTTTGCCTACTGTCTCAGTGCATAGAAATGTCGTGCTCAAGGTCTCCATCTGCAGGATCTGCTAGTAATTTATCGTTGCTAGACTTTTCTAGGAGAGAAAAACAGCCTTTGCTTAGCAATGTAGCACATTTCTCTTAGTTTAGCTTTCTGGACTGCTTTAGTGACCCTGATACTAAAATGGTGCAAACATCTCTGGTACCTAGTAATAAATATTGGATATGTGGAAGGTACAGTTGAACCGAATTTTCACATATGCTCCATTTTATATTTTGACACCCATAATTTTAACTGTTAAATTTTTAGGTTTGGGTTTATAAGCGCCTCCAAACATGTGTGCCAGTAATACTCTTTTTTATAATTATTTGCATCTTCCCCCACTGTAAGCTATCCAGAAAACTCCAGTTTTAGGATCACATATAAATGTCATAATCTCATTTTCTCAATTGTCAAATAATAAATTCTGCCACATACTACTTCTCATACTGTCAGTGTTAAATTGAGATGGAAACTTGTTGGATGTCACAAGAATATTTGATGCCAAAATTCAAAGAACGTGAGGAACAAACCTCTTTTAGCTCCAGTCTTTACCATACCCATCTTCGCACAGGAACAATACTTTAAAGAAATATGTCCTAACTCTGTCTCCCTCAGTGTGTATCTTTGCCTTCTGTGAATTTTTTTTATCAATTTCTATGCCACCACATTTGTGTTCCTTTTCATGCAAAACTAACAGTGAATTTCAGTAGGGACAAATGTAAGGTTCTACATTTGGGCAGAAATAGCCAGCTGCACAGATATAAGATGGGGTTTACCTGGATTGCCATTAGTATATGTGATGCAGCAGCAAAAAAAGCTAATGCTATCCTTGGCTGCATCAACAGGAATATGGTATCCTGCTCAATGAAAGTAATCGTCCTGCTCTTATTCTACCTTGGTCTGACAACTCCTGTGGATACTGTCCAATTCTGGGTGCCACAATTTCAGAAGGATATTGACAGGCTGGAATGTGTGCAGAGGAGGGTGACCAAGATGATCAAGGGTCTGGAAATCAAGCCTTTTGATGGAGTTTGGCATGTTTAGCCTGGAAAGGGGTCACATGGAAGATGGAGCAAGCCTGTTTTCTCCTACTCCGGAGGGTAGGAACTGAACCAGTAGAGTCAAGTTACAAGAAAGGAGTCCAGGTGAACATCAAGAAGAACTTTCCCCCAATATGTTATTCCACAACAGGTGCAAGAATTTTAGCTGGATAGCTCACTCACCCCAAGGTTGCAGGTTTGATCTCCTCCGTAAGGGGACAGCTGCATATTCCTGCATTGCAGGGCGTTGGGCTACATCAGGGTTTCCCAAATTTGGGTCTCCTGCTGTTTTTTTGACAACTAATCCCATCATCCCTGACCACTGATCCTGCTAGCTAGATATGATGGGAGTTGTAGCCCCAAAATAGCTGGAGACCTAAGTTTGGGAAACGCTGGCCTAGAGCATCAGGGTCCCTTCCAATGCTATGATTCTGTGACATTGGGTTCCGCTGCCCCTGTAGATCCTGCCACCTGAGGCAGTCACCTCACCTTGCTTCATGGGTGGGCTAGCCCATATTAACTTGGAAGGAAGTGAGCCTTCCCTCTGGCGCAGGGGTGCCCACTTGAATAAAATATATTTTTTGGGGGGGGAGGAGATAAGCTCCGCCCCACACAAATGAGCACATGATGTGGCACACGCACACTATTTGAATGGCATTGTCCATCAACTTTGGAGGGGGAGGCACCCTCAAATATTTTATTGGATGGGGGGCAATGGGTCCTCGGCATCTAGGAGTTGGCTCCTATGCTTTGATGGACTAAACTGCTATAAAATATTTGAGGAGTGCAGCTCCCCCCTCCGCACCCCCTCAATATTGAGGGAGATTCCCATTCAAATGGGGTGGATGGGTGGCATGCGATCGCTTATGCAGGCTTACATGCCCCTCCCCAGGGCCAGATTTAGGTTTGATAAGGCCCAAAGCTACTGAAGGTAATGGTGCCTTTTATATGTCAAGCTGTCCCTTGTCAACAACAAACTGCCACCCTTTTTTGTGTTGAATATGGTCATTTATGGACCTAATATGTATCTCAAGCCATTTGCACATAACAAATAAGAGCCTACACAACACAAAACACTTGCTGTGTGTAGGTTTTATTTTGTTTTTTTATCTTATATTTTGGAACTGTACATCCAGTTTTTTCTCCTTTAAATTTCTTGGGGGCCTCCAAGAGAGTGGGGCCCTAAGCTATAGCTTATCTACCTCATACGTAAATCTCCCCTGCCCTCCGCCCCCCAAATATTTTATTCAACTCGGCCCTCCTGGTAGAGAGGACACCACTGTGGTGAGAGGGGAGCAATGCGGAGCGAGGCGGGAAGAGAGAGGGACTCCGACTCGGGACGGAGCAGGGGGAAAGGCCGGCCTAGCGGCCTCTGAGGGAGCGCCAGAACGCGCGCGGCGGGTGCGCGCCCTCCTCCGGCCGGCGCCCCTTCGCTCCCTTCCTTGGCCTGGGCGACGATGCCTCACGGCAGGGGCGGCGCCATGAGCCGCCTCCTTCCTCCTCCTCCTCCTCCTCCTCCTGCTGCTGACTATGGCGGGCAGCCCGCGGCAGGTCGCTCTGGTGGGGACGGCCGTTGCTGTCGCCGGCGGGGTCGCCTACGCGGTGTGGAGGAGCTATTTCCCCTCAGAAGCTGCTCAGGGGCCCGAGGAGCAACAGCAAGAGCAGCAGCCCTTACTCTGCTCTCAAGAAAGCGCCGCCCTGGGCTGCGCAAGGGCCCCCGAGAACCAGGTAAGCACATATATATATATATAGCTAACCCACGGCGTTTTCCCCGATATATCTCGGAATTTTCTTAGGCCCGGTTCTCACGTGCAGCTAGCACGGAAGTTAGAACGCGTGTCTGGCCCTGCCTGCGCGCGTTTCAGGCTCGCCTGGGCGAAATAAATCCCAGCGCACAGAAAGGGAAAGGCAGCATTACTCCATATAGACTTCTGCTTAGGTTTCTGTCGCGTGAGACTCTCCATCCTACATTTCGAAAGAGGTGCAAGCCAGACGCGGGTGGGTCGCCTCCCGTGTGCGAGAATTACATTTGCCATCGTTGCACGAAATGCAGTCTAGACACTTGGAAGGTTTCACGCACACCCACAAATTTCCCTTTCATGGTTGTCGCTCCCCGTCCCCACCATAAAACTACTGTTTTTTTGCGCGGGGAAGAGCAGTGTTAGGTCCTAGTTTGGGAAGATCTGCTGCTGCTTTTGCTGCTAATATTGTACTTTGGAGGGTTTAATTCCGCTACATTGTCTGCTTTGCCTAGCTGGGAAAGAGGAAATGCTAGACAGCGTGTCTGTTTTTGGAAGGAGGAGTGGCAAAAGTTGCAGGAACCGAAGATCGCTTTATCTGCTGAAGTTGAATGCACAGGTTGTCACAAACCTTCTTTAATTCAGTGAGATATGCTTCTGAATGAATGTGAATCTGATCCAGCTACGTTTATATCCCACTTTTTATCCAAGGAGCTTAAATTTTGCATCATTCTGCCCTTCTCACCTTTATTCTCCCAGCAACCCTATGGGGTAGGTTAGGTTGAAAGACAGTGACAGGCCCAAGGTCACCCTATGATTTGAACCCTTGTCTCCTAGGTCCTAGTCCAGCACTCTTAACGACTACACCAGGTTGGCTCTCTTGCAACTTCTGCTAATAAAAAAAAAGACCTATGTTTCTGTATCTGCCTGAGAGCTTTTGTAAAAAATAACAAAATGACTACACAAATGTGCAGATCCCATGTGGAGATTGTCATGCCTCTCCCCCGTGCAGTTTTTCTGCAGTTTCCTACATGCAGGTTCAATCCAAGCAAAGATCCAGTGGTATCAGATGAAATGAGGTCATAAAGAGGGGTATTGTGGAAGCACAGAAGCTCATTTTATAAATTCAGTTTGTCAGCAGTCGCTGGCCTGGGCCACAAAAAAACACATTTGCAGTGACCAAACTTAGGAGCTTTTGTAAACTGAAAGAAAGTTTGTTGTTTTCTGCCTATCAAAGTTAGACAAATGTCTTAGCATAGCTACACAGGTGAGACCTGCAACAAAATGTTGCAGTGTATGCTCCTCCCTTCCTGAATTGCTCCTTTTCAGCATGCCAGCCAAGCCCTTTCCAGGATGCTATGAGCAGAAAATAGCTGAAGCACAACATTCAATTCCCATTCTAGTTTTCTGCTTATTTTTCTGATACTCAGCATTCCATGACTACTGAGCCTGAGTCTTCAATGACTATCTGGGGCTTTTGTCTACCTAAGGTTATTTTGTTTGTAAAACAGCAACTTTTGCAAACCTCTGTATTTCCCACTTGATTCCCCGCATTGCTATTCCAGTTATATAGCTTTTGGCACACACTGCATTAGTTTGCTATTAGAGGGAGTAAGGGCAGGTGAGCTGGTAAAAAAATACCTGTTGATTGGTTTGCAGGGAAGAGGGGAAGAACCTAGCATAAAATAAGGGGCTAACTTCAATTTCTGGAAACATTTGGTAGCTTTTATAGTTCTCTTCATGTTCACTCTGATACTGAGGCATAAACATTGTGCTCTGCGGACTTCAGCGATGCTTTGAGGCCAGGGTTGGATTACACTAAAACCAGCAAGGTGGAATCCTATTAATGTCGTAGAGAGGAAAGAGATTAGAATAGAAACCCCCCTGAGGGTGGCTCTCCACCTTGGCAGGAATCAGTTAAGGCAGGCAGAGCCGACTTGGTGATGATTCATGTTCAGCCGTTTTGTTCTTTGCAGATTGCGTCTTCCCTCCTTCCCTTTTCTTCCTCTGTCAACTAATCTTCTTACCACCGGATTAAAGATCTGCCCCAATGAAATGAAGTCACAGAAGATTAAATTTAGTTTAGTAACTTGGGGGGTCAGGTTACCACTGCTGTTGTGTTACATTTTTAAAAAATAAAAAAACCCTCAAAAATTTTCCATTCCACCTTATTGCCCTTCCAGATATTTCCCCCCCACAGCTATATTTTACTAAATCATATACAGTGGTACCTCGGGTTAAGTACTTAATTCATTCCGGAGGTCCGTTCTTAACCTGAAACTGTTCTTAACCTGAAGCACTACTTTAGCTAATGGGACCTCCTGCTGCTGCCGCACCACCAGAGCACTATTTCTGTTCTCATCCTGAAGCAAAGTTCTTAACCCGAGGTACTATTTCTGGGCTAGCAGAGTCTGTAACCTGAAGCGTATGTAACCTGAAGCGTATGTAACCCGAGGTACCACTGTACTGTAGTGACTTTCCCTTATTAACTTATTAACAGTTTCTCTTTTTTATGAAAGTAAAATCTTACTGTTAGGCAGTTTGGTTGAAGAAATCAGGGTGGTTAAGGAAGCTCTGTTGCTATCTGTTGTTATTGACAGTTATGGAGCCAGAAGGCATTTTACTGTTGCCTAATGTGAAATTTCCTTCTCATTTCCCCCTCTTTTCTGCCACACACAACCCCACCCTTGATGGCACCCCCCCAGGAAACATACAGTGCGTATGTCCATCTGGCCGGTATGTATCTCTGGCATGATCTGTTGGTTGTTTTGCCTTGTAGGATGTACCACCAAGTAAGCAAATCCTGGTTCTGGGTTTGGATGGAGCTGGAAAAACCAGTGTGCTGCACTCACTAGCAACTAACCAAGTGAAGCGCAGCACAGCTCCCACGGAGGGCTTCAATGCCGTGTGTGTCAGCACAGAAGAAATGAAGATGGAATTTCTAGAAAGTAAGCATAGGTATCTAATGAGAAACATTTTTTTGCATCCTTTATTATAACGTTTTGCTTAAGGAGACTCCTCCTACTGGTAGCAGCTTTCTAAGATCTTGAGGAAGAGCCTTTTACATTGCTGCCACCTGAGATCCTGTTGGTTATTTTAGAATGTCAGATATTGAACCTCAGAGTGTCTCCATGCAAATTGTGTCCTCTGTTGGCCCAGAAAACACTCTGACGATTAATTGCATCTGGAATTGACATAGTAAATAACCCTTGACTCTTTCATCTCAACGCTTTTTTGCGTGGCAAATATACATGGCATGGCATTTGTTTATGGAACTCTCCCCCCAGGGAAGTAGTTAGCGAAAATAGCACTTTATAAAAACAAATCCCAGACTTTTATCACCGTTAAATGACTATTTTCTTGCTGGATGTTTTTCTCCACAATTTTATGCTTTTTAAAATTATTTTTTATCTTACAATATTATTTAGGTGTTTATGAAATTTTAAACATTGTAAGCCAGCCTGAGTGGTGCTTTTGCAGTGGAAGAACAGAGTGTAAATGTTTTATGTATATAAAGATAGGTGCTGGGTCAGGAATACAAGAATGAAGAACTTATCAGAAAATGTCTGTTTGGTATAGTAACTGAATGGTTAATAAGTGAATGACAAAGGGAATGGATATGATCTGTCTAAAGACTAATATGAGATACAAGACCCCAAAACTGTCCACTAAAAAGAAGTCCCAAATTAATTGAGTGCCCTGGTTTGCACATGACACTAAGACATGCTTTGTTTATCAGATCATGAGCTAACCGCAAGTTGTCCCCCAGCCAGTCAAACAAATAATGAAAGCATGTTTTGTTTTTTAGCTTCATGCCTTTGCAGCTTAATAAGCATCTGGAATGGGGTGGCCAAACAAATCATAATTAAGGAAGAATGCTGGGTTCACAAACAATGCCAAGCCATAGTGAAGACAAATCAAAATTCAAACAGCAACCACTGACTTCATATGGTGGTTATCTGGCAGTAAATTAACCATACTTAAGCTGCTAGGCAGGAGATCAGGCTTATCAAAGAAAGCATGGTTTGATAAACAACAGCCATGGCCTAATGTTTTGAGTGAATGCGTACTGCATTCAGTATTTTCCTGCAGCTATATGTATTGTAAGAGATGACAGGTGGTGGTGGGAAACTGTTCAGGGAATTTGTCCCTTAAGTTTTTTATGAATTCCTGAGTCCCCCCCCCCCCCAAAAAAAACCATTTGAAAGCAGATGTTCCAGGAATACAGACAAGGGTTTGATGAACAATTGGGGGCTTTAATTTGCAAGTTTGCTGATTCATTGTCTTCCTTCTCTGTTGACTTGCAGTTGGAGGCAGTGAGTCTTTACGGGACTATTGGAAGAAGTACTTGCCAAGAATCCTGCTACTAATCTATGTTGTGGACTCAGCAGATCATAAACGCTTGCCTGTTGCAAAGAAGCTTCTGCATCAGTTGGTCCAGAGTAACTCCACCTTACCTCTTATGATTCTAGCCAATAAGCAGGTAAATGTGAACTCTAGAACTTGGAGTAAAATTTGTAGTTTTGTCTTTTGAAAGTGTGTCATTGTAGAATGTACATGGCTCCCCTGGGGGACAATTTCTAAGCTGATCAATTGTGAGTTGTGCATCTCAGTTTCTGGTAATAACAGAGTTTCACTTTGGTGTCTTGCACACAGAGACTGAGACTCTTTTGTTTAGCAAGCTTCACCTTTCTTTCTATCCCTGCTCCCTCTTTTATTTTGTTGGTGGTTTGTGCTCCTTGCTTTAATACCTTACTAGGATAGGTGGCGCTGTGGGTTAAACCACAGAGCCTAGGACTTGCCGATCAGAAGGTCGGCGATTCGAATCCCCGTGACGGGGTGAGCTCCCATTGCTCAGTCCCTGCTCCTGCCAACCTAGCAGTTCGAAAGTACGTCAAAGTGCAAGTAGATAAATAGGTACCGCTCCGGCGGGAAGGTAAACGGCGTTTCTGTGCGCTACTCTGGTTTGCCAGAAGCGGCTTAGTCATGCTGGCCACATGACCCAGAAGCTGTACGCTGGCTCCCTCAGCCAATAAAGCGAGATGAGCGCCTTAACCCCAGAGTCGGTCACGACTGGACCTTTACCTTTTTAGGATAGGTTGTTTTTGTTGTAATCAATTTAAATCCTGCCATTCCTCCCAAAGTTCAAGGTGGCAAACCACATCCATTTTTTAAAAAATGTTTTTAAAAATTCTGAAAGCAGTTACAATAAAAAATAGCATTCTAAAATCAGTTTTAAACATTCTCTCATCCAGTCATCTCAGGGTTGCTAGCATTAGTGTCTTTCAGCCATCAAATGCCTGGGTATGCCTCGGCATATTTTCAAATTATTTGTAAAAGTTAATAGTGAGGGAGATAGGCACACCTTGTCAGAGAGAGCATTCTACGAACAGGGAACCACCATTGAAAAGGCCCTGTCATGGGTCACGGCCAGCTGGGTAGTGGGAGCACCACTAACAAGGTCTCAGTTGCCAATTGCAGGGTCCAGGATGGTTGATATTGCTAGCATTCCAAATGTGCCATTTTCTAATGGGGTCACAATGTGCTCTTTGTTCTGCAGTTCTCCAGGTAGCAGGTGTTACTTTGAAGAAAACACGGATAGGTAGATTAAGGTATAACCTTTTCCATTTCTCTTGGACAGGATATTGAAGGTGCATACTGTATCACAGACATTCATGATGCTTTGGCATTATCTGAAATTGGAGATGAGAGAAAGATGTTCCTGATCGGGACTCATGTGGCAGAAGATGGCTTCGAGATCTCTTCCAGCTTGAAAGACACACGGGAACTGATTGCACAGCTGGTGTCAGAAGTTGTGTGATGGAAACTGGAATAGGGTACCATGTTAGGACCTAGAGTATTCCTGTCTTGCCAGCTTGCAGCCATAAATAGAGCTATTTTAAATTCAGATTTTATGGTGGTGGTGGTGATTCCTTGGGTATGGAATTGCAGTGAAGATGATTTCAAAGTCGTGAGGAACCTTGTGGTTTAAGTTGAAACTCCCAAGTTAAGACGCCAAATACTGTATAGACAACTGCTGTTGCCATCAGTTGAGGCTCTGTTGTGTGGTGGTTTATACTGAATGAGAGGCTGACTTATGGAAAAGCAGCACAAATTTACATAGGAAGGTGCTTTTGCTCAGAACGTAGATCTACAATCCAAAGAACTAGTTGTGTGTACCCTGACACAGGGAGGCACTGGGTTTCATGTTTCTGAAGAACTTCATGTATGTTTTCTCTTAGGCTCACTTTCTTAATCAGAAGGATTTTTTAAAAATCAGTGTAAGAGATTTTCCTATTCTTTTGATTCTGCAACACTTTCACTATTCTTTTTCTTCTTTCTGATATGTAGATTGAGAGTATTATAGCCTCTTTTTAAAGAGGGTTTTGACATAAAATTGTTCATTCAGAGAACCATGAGACTTCCCAGTTCACTCACCTGTTTTCTTTGCCATGATGAAGGGAGTGAGAGAGAGCGGGAGATACCACAACCCCTTCATGGTCTCTGCAGAATAATCCCAGGGAGGAACACTATCTAACAGAACCACTGTCCTTAACCCTTAGTATTTTCCTGCTTTTGTTAACTAGTAGTACTGGGGAAATCTAGACAAAGACAGAATGAATTGTTGGACTTTTCTTGTAGTCTACATACTTTAGTGTGGCCCTTTTGGCCAGTTGATCTGAGTGGAGCCGGTGAGTCAGTTAATTAGCTAACTGGCCATTTTTCTCTGCACTGATAAACAGAAGGGAGGGCATTCTTGCTTTTTGATTGAGACTCAGGGGAGGACTTTTTACAAGGATTTCTAATTCTTTGCCAGCTCTGTGGCAAGAGGACAGGAAGAGCCATTTCAGGGAGAGAGAGCAGAGACAGTGGCAAAGGGATACTCTTTCCTCTGTTGAGAGCTCCAGGGGATGAGAATGGAGGAAGCAGAAATGCCAGCCTAGCTTGCTTGACCTCTCAATTTATTCTGGGCTGCATTGGGCAGGGGACATCATGCCACTTTTATTTACTAATCAGGGCTCAATGAACTTGTGTTTGAAATCTTGGATCTGCTGCCATCACATATAATTTCACCCTGAAAATGGTAGCTTCCCCCCTCATAGGTCCAAAACAGTGTTATCAGGTGCCAGGATTAGTAAAACAAAATTCATGTCTCCCTCCCCCTCCCCCGGCTTAATACATTTCTCAGGTGATGTTAATGCAGACCAACCTGTATTGACAGTGACAAGATAAGGAAAACTACTTAAATACTGCACCTCTTATTACACTGAAGGAAATACTGTGTGTACATATATCCCTATTGCTATAGATGCCTTTCAATGTTTTTGTTAACAGTAGAAATTGTACAGATGTTTTCTAGCAATGTCTCTCCTCCAGTTGTATGCTGAAGCACTTCCGTTATATAAAGACAGAATATTTTTATTCTACTTTGCTGTCTTGGCTTAATTAACATTGTCGTGGTGTTTGTGATGCCCCTTCTGATTACCTGTAGTTCCCCTTCCCCACTAAGATGAGAGAGAGAGGTGCGCCCTCAAAAGTTAGGGGAAGAGGAAATTATTGGTATGACTTTTGCACCAGTTGGTGGATCTCGGAGTTCTAGTTGAGGGGGGAAATCCCACAAACCTGAAGTCTGCCCATTCATGGAGTGCAATATATGATCATTACGCTACTTTTACTGGTAACCAACAGGGTTGTTCTTATTCAATCACAAGCAGAAAACACTGGTCCAGATTCTTCAGTGCCACATTTCTCTGTAAACATAGGTAAAGGTAAAGGGACCCCTGACCATTAGGTCCAGTCGTGACTGACTGGGGTTGCGGTGCTCATCTCGCTTTATTGGCCAAGGGAGCCGGCGTACAGCTTCTGGGTCATGTGGCCAGCATGACTAAGCTGCTTCTGGCGAACCAGAGCAGCGCACGGAAACGCCGTTTACCTTCCCGCTGGAGCCGTACCTATTTATCTACTTGCACTTTGACGTGCTTTCAAACTGCTAGGTTGGCAGGAGCATGGACTGAGCCACGGGAGCTCGCCCCGCCGCAGGGATTCGAACTGCCGACCTTCTGATCGGCAAGTCCTAGGCTCTGTGGTTTAACCCACAGCGCCACCCGTGTCCCTTCTGTAAATATAACTGCCATCAAAAGTTTGTGAGCTCACAGGTCTCTGTAAGACAGGGTGGTTTTTGGTTTTTTTAGTGGTGGTGATCAGTGTTGTATTCTTTGAACTCAACAAAACGTACATCCACTTGCCTAAGGTGTCCCCTGCAGTATGTAGAAACCTTTGCCTTATTTTTGGGTAGCCCCATTTTGCTTCCAAACTGATAGGCACCCAGCCACCTGAGTTAGATGGTGTTGTTGAACCGTCAAACAAAATGTTAATAGTGTACCCTCCCTCCTACAAGGTGCTCCTATTTAGGGTTCCAGGCCATTTCCTCAAGAGCATTCCTACATGCACACACCATTTCTCCCTTTCCCAGCTGTTACTGCACATTCTACTACTACCCTAAATCAGTATTTTTGGTTAACCGCTACCCTTAGGTGTTTTTTTGTTTTATTAAAATACGTTTGCTGTACCTACAAACTTCAAGGTTACCCTGAACATGCCGATACCTCCCTCTTGTTTCTCTCTGCCTCCTTGTTGACTCCAGTCCTGTCAACATTCATCACCTGCGTTTGCTGTCAAGTTTCATCAGCTTTTGATGGAATGGAGATGACAGATTTGTATCACTACATGTGTTAATCATCTTATCAGTGCTGTGTCAGCATATTAATTCCCACTGCAATTATATATTTTTATGTAATTACCACTACCTCTCTTTTTTGCATTTTGTTTCCCTCTGACCTGCTTATTTTTTGCCCAACTGCTTCACAACTATGTGTGTGTATATATGCCTGTCAATTTAGGATTACATTTCATGCATCTGATGTTCTGGACTCCATTCCACAACAGCTTATGCCGTAATAAATTCCATAGCCTTCAAGGTATCACAAGACCATTTATTGTTCTTGTCTCCAGTATTATTTCTCGTCCCCTATGATCCCATCTGTACTATATCCTATCACTTTAAACTGTTGTGGCTTCCCCCACAAAATCCTGGGCAGTGTGGGTTGTTAAGGGTGCTGAGAGTTGTTAGGAGACTCCCATTTCCCTCAGAGAGCTACAGTTTCTGGAGCAGTTTAGCAGTCAATCTCTCTTCCTAGGAAACTGGGAATTGTAACTCTTTGCGAGGAACGGGGGCCTCCTAGCAACTCTCAGCCGACTTAGAACACAGTACTTCCCAGAACTCTTTGGAGGGGAAGCCATGGCAGTTTAAGTGGTATGAAAGTGCTTTAAATGTATAGTGCATATGGGGCCTATTTATACACTCTCATTTACTCAGCATCCAGTGTGCCCCCACCACTGTATTCAACACAAAGTCATGTAATAGCAGCACACAATCACAGACAAAATAGGAAATGGGGAGGGCTTTATAAAGATACCATTGAAGGACAAAGATGGCAATGTTACTTAGCCAGCTGATCCACCCGCCTCTCCTGACTCTCTCATCTGAACTGGTTCCTGTCTCCTTGGGCGCAGCCCACAAGCACCTTTTCTGTTCTTGAGCAGCTTGCATTTATTTCAGCGAGACACGTGGCGCAGACTATGCTGGTGCGGCCTTTGCCAAATCAGTACCAGTTGTAGCCCAAAACATCTGGTGGGCACTCAAGTTGGGAAGGGCTGCCCTTGTGGATTGTACCGATTGTTCCCTCCCAGAACATGGGAGCAAAATCAAGGCGTAGGGGTCATTGAAACTGAATTGAAAGCCTGCACGGGGTGGAGAAAAATCTCTTATTTAATAAAGTCCAAAAGCTATACAGTGGTACCTCAGGTTAAGTACTTAATTCGTTCTGGAGGTCCATTCTTAACCTGAAACTGTTCTTAACCTGAAGCACCATTTTAGCTAATGGGGCCTCCTGCTGCCGCCGCGCTGCTGGAGCACGATTTCTGTTCTCATCCTGAAGCAATGTTCTTAACCCGAGGTACTATTTCTGGGTTAGTGGAGTCTGTAACCTGAAGCGTATGTAACCTGAAGTGTATGTAACCCGAGGTACCACTGTAATGTCAGGGAAAAGGGTCCAGCCTAGTGATTCTCCTCTCATACCATTTTATGTGCAGGAAGGTTTATCTGTGAGGAAGGAAGCACTCCCACATGCACCTTCATATTAACATACACGCAAGCAACACTACAGTTGACAATAATTTGGTCGATATAAAATCAAGAGCATCTTCCACCCAGTATCCTGCTTGTGCTCAAACCTTCAACATAGCATGCAAATCCAGCTAGCCAAATGCTATGCTATGCACAAGGTCAACATTTGTCCCCAGTTGGACCAGGCTGAGCAACGTTGCTACTGGGGAGAGGGGAGAGCAGTAATGGCTCTAGGTTTTGGGGGGGCATTCAGCAAGATGACTTTAGTTGGTGAAGGGGGGGCTCTTCCTGCGTGCTTGCCCTTTCGCCCTGGGCCCAACCCCCAGCTGCCAAGGGGTCAGTTTCCATTGCAACATCTCTCCTTCGAAGAACACGTGAACAGGGAGTGGGAGCAAGGAGGAGGGGCAAGGTCAGGAGACCCTGGTGGTCTACCATGTCTGATGCTGACCCTTGAAGCAAGCATCATATTCACTCAAAAGTTAATAGGTGCTGACATGCTGTGCAAGAAACTTGCCCTCCCAATATGGTTACAGTTGGCCGGATTTAGGTTTGATGAGACCCTAAGCTACTGAAGGTAAAGGTAAAGGGACCCCTGACCGTTAGGTCCAGTCGTGAACGACTCTGGGGTTGCAGCACTCATCTCGCTTTATTGGCCGAGGGAGCCAGTGTACAGCTTCCAGGTCATGTGGCCAGCATGACTAAGTCACTTCTGGCGAACCAGAGCAGCGCATGGAAACACCGTTTACCTTCCTGCCGGAAGGCATTCAAACTGCTAGGTTGGAAGCAGGGACCGAGCAACGGGAGCTCACCCCGTGGTGGGGATTCGAACCGCCAACCTTCTGATCGGCAAGTCCTAGGCTCTGTGGTTTAACCCACAGCGCCACCCGCATCCCACTACTGAAGATAATGGGGCCCTTTATGTGTCCTGCTGTCCTTTGTCAACAACAAATTGTCGCTGTTTTTTGTACTGAATATATGCTATATGGTCATTTATGGACTGAATAGGTATCTAAAGCCATTTGTCCATGCAGAATGTAGGCACCCTATAGAAATGAGCAAACCAGTGATATTTTAGGGAGCAGGCTAGCAGGTGGGGCCCATTACTTGCACCACAGGAGCCTACACAACACAAAACACTGTTGCTGTGTGTAGGTTTTATTTGTTTTTTATCTTATATTTTGGAAATGTACATCCAGTTTTTTTCCCCTTTAAATTTTTTGGGGGCCCCCAAGAGAGTGGGGCCCTAAGCTATCGCTTGTTTAGCTTATAGTAAATCCGGGCACTGGTTACAGTACGTGTTTTAAGTTGAAGGCAAGTCCTGCTCACTTCAGTGAGGCTTCCTTGGGAGGTTTTTAAGGAGAGGTTGGATGGCCATCTGTCATGGATGCTTTAGCTGAGATTCCTGTATGGCACGGGGTTGGACTAGATGATCATCAGGGTCCCTTTCCAACTCTTTTTCTGATTCTATGTGTAAGGTCATAACTTTTATATGCCTATTGTCATTGTCCATGGAGTTTTCTTGGCAGGGATACTGGAGTGGCTTGCTGGTATGGAAGTGAGAGCTGGACCATCAAGAAGGCTGATCGCCGAAGAATTGATGCTTTTGAATTCTGGTGCTGGAGGAGACTCTTGAGAGTCCCACGGACTGCAAGAAGATCAAATCTATCCACTCTTTTAAGGAAATCAGCCCTGAGTGCTCACTGGAAGGACAGATCCTGAAGCTGAGGCTCCAATACTTTGGCCACCTCATGAGAAGAGAAGACTCCCTGGAAAAGACCCTGATGTTGAGAAAGATGGAGGGCGCAAGGAGAAGGGGATGACAGAGGACGAGATGGTTGGATAGTGTTCTCGAAGCTACCAGCATGAGTTTGACCAAACTGCGGGAGGCAGTGGAAGACAGAAGTGCCTGCCGTGCTCTGGTCCATGGGGTCATGAAGAGTCGGACACGACTAAACGACTCAACAACATTTGTAAGGTAATCAGAGAAGATAAAGCAGTCGGAGCGCCCTCTGGCGGCTGGCTAAGCGCATGGCGGCCATTGCAGAAGGCCCGGAGGGAGCGAGGGCTAGAAGCGCGTGAGTCGCTGGTTACCCGGGCAACCGAAACAAACAGGGGCGCGCCGGCAGAGCGCGTGCGTGTCTCTTCTCTCTTTTTTTTTTTTGCAGCGGGGAGATCTAGAAGAGGCGCCTTCAGTGCAGGATGGTGCAGGCAGAGGAAGGTGCGTGAAAAGAAGACTCCGCAGAGCCGCAGTTCCTTCCGGGAGAAAATTCTGGCACCTGGAGGAATTTGCCTCTGCGCATATGCAGAGTGCATATCCTCTCTTAAGAGAGCAACGTTGTTGTTTGAAAAAAACGGCTTAAAGTGGGTGTGATTTGTGAGCATTTGCAGAGCGCGCTCTGTTTCCAACTTTCTCAGCCAATCGCTCGGAGCAGGAGCAGAAAGTTCCCTTCTCTTTTTGGAAATATTTCCGTTTTATCGGAAGGAAAGTAGAAGAATACAACGGAAACAATGTGGGCGAGAAAGAGACCAGGCTGGTGTTTGTAGAGGAAGGGATGAGATACTTTTCCCTTTCTTTCCACATCTGCCCAGGATGCTACTGAGAGAGCCAGGGTAGTGGCCAGATACAAAAGAGGACAATGTCCTTGTAATACGTGTGCGGAAGTAGTAGTAGTAGTAGTAGTAGTAATAGTAATAGTAATAATAATAATAATTATTATTCAAAGTAAGGTGCAAGTCAGGTAATCCAAATGCTGTCCCATGAAAGTTGTCACTTCTCATTGTACAGAATTTCTAAAATAAAAACAACAGCCTCATCCCAGTATACCTGAAGGAGCACCTCCACCCCATCACTTAGCCCAGACACTGAGGTGTACCTTCGATGGTCTTCTGGTGGTTCCCTCACTACGAAGTGTGAAGTTACATGGAACCAGGCAGAGGGCCTTCTCGGTAGTGGCACCCTCCCTGTGGAACGCCCACCCTTCAGATGTCAAGGAGATGAAGAACTACATAACCTTTAAAAGACATCTGAGAGCAACCCTGTATTGTGAAGTTTTTAATGTGTGATGTTTTATTATATTTATTATGGGTTATTGGGTTGTTGTTTTCATTTTGATTATATATTTTGTGGTTTTGTGTTCTGGTTTTGTTCTGTGAGCCGCCCTGAGATGTCTGTGTATAGGGTGGTACAGTCATACCTCGGGTTACAGACGCTTTGGGTTGCGCAATTTTGGGTTACGCACTGCACCGAACCCGGAAGTACTGGAACGGATTACTTCCAGGTTTCGGCGCCTGCGCATGTGCAGTAGCACCGAATTGCGACCCGCGCATGTGCAGACGCAGCACTGCGGGTTGCGAACGTGCTTCCCGCACGGATCATGTTCGCAACCCGAGCATGCACTGTATATAAATTCAATAAATAAATAATAAGTAATAATAATATATATGCTTTAAGTCGCCCAGAGTGGCTGGAGAAACCCAGCCAGATGACCTGGGTATAAGTAATAAAATTATTATTATTATTATTATTATTATTTATTTATTTATTTATATGCTCCCTATCTGACTGGGTTGCCCCAGCCACTCTGGGCAGCTCCCAACAGAATATTAAAAACACAATAAAGCATCAAACATTAAAAACCTCCTGATTTCAGCTGGTGTAGGTGTATCTGGGGCAGTGTGCGAATTCAAAAGGTAGAATTGCGTTCTGACAGTGTACCCTGGTTCTCATTCCGATACCCTGATATTCAAGGGAGATGCTGGGTTGCCAGCAGTCGCAACACGCAAAATGCCAAAGCCATCGCTTTGCTGGAACAAAGTAACCTTTAATTAGGTGGAAAAACTCCTTGTTAGTTAAAAGACAGTGCACAGGGAGCATTTGTTCTGCATGTAATTGCTGGTAATTTGAGGTTTGAGTGCGCAGGTTGCAGACATTAAAACCCACCTGCTCTTTCTGCTTCCATTGCAGTTTCTCTCCCTGGTTTTCAATCAGGTGAAAGGTAAGAGAGAACTTCCAGGGCCTCTGTGGTTATCTGCTGCAAATTCTGTAACCATCGCTCGCTTTCTCCTTGACTGCAGCTTCTTAGACGAGCTTTCTGCTGAGTGTGATTTTAATTGTTGCTTGGGACATGCATTTTACAATATCCGGCCTGCAAGATATTTCAGCAACCCTAGAAAACAAAAATGAGAGGAGAGCAGAACTCACGCATTATAACCCCACCTGTAACTTCTACATATTAATGACGTTGGGCAAAGTATATGAATAATGATTTCACTTTTTTTCTTTCCGAACAAAATCTTACTCGATGCCTGTTATTAGGAATATATTGTTTTTGAAGTTGAGCCCTCCCGATCTACTGTTGCACCAGCCACAAAACTTGTGGCACCTTTTTAAAGCATTTATTTACATTTGTATCCCATCTCTCCTCCATAGAGCTGAAAGCAGAGTATGTGGTTCTCTTTTCCCATTTTATTCTCAGCGCAATCTGAAGGGAAGAGTAGGCTGAGTAGACACAAAGTCACTCAGCTCTCTTCGTGGCTGACAGGGTCTTCCCAGTCCTATTATTCTGTGCTAATCTGTGTTTTTAGGAGACGCGGGTGGCGCTGTGGGTTAAACCACAGAGCCTAGGGCTTGCCGATCAGAAGGTCGGCGGTTGAAATCCCCATGACGGGGTGAGCTCCCGTTGCTCAGTCCCTGCTCCTGCCAACCTAGTAGTTCGAAAGCACGTCAAAGTGCAAGTAGATAAATAGGTACCGCTCTGGCGGGAAGGTAAATGGCATTTCCGTGCACTGCTCTGGTTCGCCAGAAATGGCTTAGTCATGCTGGCCACATGACCCGGAAGCTGTACGCCGGCTCCCTCGGCCAATAAAGCGAGATGAGCGCCGCAACCCCAGAGTCGTCCGCGACTGGACCTAATGGTCAGGGATCCCTTTACCCTTTACCTTTAATCTGTGTTTATCTCTCCTGTAGCAGCCGATTGTCCATGGAGGTGGGAGGAGGGACAAAGGCAGGTGATGATACTGGCTATGATACTAGATTTTCATTGGGGTGTAGTCCTGGGGAAGAATGCATATGACAAATAGCAAATAAACCCGGGAGGGCTTCATGTATCAAGCAAGAAAAGGGTGTGTCTGAATTCTCCTGTCAAAGTAATTATCTGACAGTATGTTTAGGTTTGGCTCTTTTCTAATGCACTCCCTCCCCATTTACACTGTCCCACATAAGAAAACAAGAACGTCTGCAGATAAATTCAGTGGGGCTCACTCCCGGTTTAGCAGGCATATTGCATCTTTACTTTCTCTATTATGTATGTCAGGCTGATAGCTCAGTCAGAACCGTAGCTGTCAACTTTTCCCTTTTCTTGCGAGGAATCCTATTCGGAATAAGGGAATTTGCCTTAAAAAAGGGAAAAGTTGACAGCTATGGTCGGAACAGTTTGAGACTCTTCGTCTGAGGGTTGTGCGTTCTAGCCCCACCTTGCAGGGTGCTGGGCCTCCTCGAACCCACAACCCTACAATTCTGTGATTCTATACTCCTTAGTAACATTCTAGGACTGCCTGTGCACCTAAGCCCAGTCACAAAAACTGCTTTATATCTTTCAACTTCTAGGTGTTGGATTGTACAGCAATGATGGAAGCAAACCTGGAAGCAAATCAGGAAGGAATAGGAAAAAGGTATCTGTTTACATACAGAGTTTTGGAGCTATCTTGGCCAGTTTTGTGGTTCTAGATTACCCCAGTTTGTCATTACTAGCACGTCAACAATCTGTGCTAGGATCGCCACACAGTTTCTGCCTGACTGGGCTAAGTACAGCCAAATATCTGGCTAGAAGGCGGCCAGCAAAATAGGAGCCTGGTCACCTGCAAATCCTTTGAAGAAAGTTGACTGTAGGAAGGGTATTTTTTTAAAAAAATTGTCGGGATCTGTCAGGGATAGAACCACAGAACTTATCCATAGCTGGGTCTTAGTCTCTAGTTGGGGCTGCCTGTACTTTTGCCTTGTGTGCTTGTTGTTGTTGTTGTTTAGTCGTTTAGTCGTGTCCGACTCTTCATGACCCCATGGACCAGAGCACGCCAGGCACTCCTGTCTTCCACCACCTCCCGCAGTTTGGTCAAACTCATGCTGGTAGCTTCAGGAACACTGTCCAACCATCTCGTCCTCTGTCGTCCCCTTCTCCTTGTGCCCTCCATCTTTCCCAGCATCAGGGTCTTTTCCAGGGAGTCTTCTCTACTCATGAGGTGGCCAAAGTATTGGAGTCATCTTCAGGATCTGTCCTTCCAGTGAGCACTCAGGGCTGATTTCCTTCAGAATGGAGAGGTTTGATCTTCTTGCAGTCCATGGGACTCTCAAGAGTCTCCTCCAGCACCATAATTCAAAAGCATCAATTCTTCGGCGATCAGCCTGCCTTGTGTGCTACAGATGTGCAATATCAGCCTCTGTGATTGATAGACGGTCTCAATTACAAGGAAATCCTAGATACTTGATCTCCCCACCTTGCCAGGTCAACAGCTACTCTCAGCAAGACTGTGGGATGGAGAACGCCCCACCCACACCAGGTCTGGTCCCTGACTGCGCTGTACTTAACTTTCCTGCCTTTTTAACAAACTGCTGAAAAGGGAGGGAATGCAGAGCTTTCTCATTCTCTCTTTCTCTCTTGGTATTTACTCTCCTGCCCCTGTCTGTCAAGAAAACATCATCATAAGCCCTGCTTGGTTGGGAGGCTGTTTGCTTATAAAAAGTGCCTTGGCTTGTCCTGGCTTGAAGAAAAGGCCTATCGCCTCAGGTGCAAAGGTGTCTCTCAATGCCTTTGCCTAGGAGCAAGTTTTGTACATGACGGAATGACTTTGGAGTTCAAATGTAATTAGCTAAGTCCATTATCGGGTGGTTGGTGTTTTTTTTGCATGAAATCAACATAATAACCTGTCATCTTCTTGTCAGTTTTCTGTAAGCGTTCTCAAGGCAGAGCAGTAGGAACAGGGAAGTAGGAATACAGGAACCCCCAAGACTCCAGCCTGCTTCTGGAAATGCAAATAATAAAAATAAAACAGAATAAGCTCTTTGACTGGAATTCTAATAAGAACATTTTGCATAGACTGTCTGGTGTTCTGATCCCAAACATTTGCACTGGTATAATAGGCTTGCAGGTGACGCGGGTGGCGCTGTGGTCTAAACCACTGAGCCTCTTGGGCTTGCCGATCAGAAGGTCGGCGGTTCGAATCCCCACGACGGGGTGAGCTCCCGTTGCTCGGTCCCAGCTCCTGTCAACTTAGCAGTTTGAAAGCACGCCAAAAAGTGTAAGTAGATAAATAGGTACTGCTCCGGCGGGAAGGTAAACAGCGTTTCCGTGCACTGCTCTGGTTTCGGTGTTCTGTTGCACCAGAAGCGGCTTAGTTATGCTGGTCACATGACCTGGAAAAACTGTCTGCAGACAAACACCAGCTCCCTCGCCTGTAAAGCAAGATGAGCGCCGGAACCCCAGAGTCGTCCGCGACTGGACTTAACTGTCAGGGGTCCTTTACCTTTTTTTAATATGCTTGCAGTCTTGCTTGCCTGGGTGGAGGTCTCTGTGTGTGGAAATGCCTGGTTTTTGCCTGGTTAGAATGTAGGAAATTGTACAAACGTAAGAGGCACATTGTTCGCCACACCGACTTTGGTTTCTGGCCACACTCGCCATGTGGTGTCCCAGAAAGGGAATGCGGAAAAGAAAGGTTTCTTATCCCTGGCAGGGAACTTACACTTTATGCACGGTGGTTTTATCCACCTATGTGTTTCTTGTTTGTTTTGCAACTGTACAAGTTTTCAGTTCCAGGTTGGAAGAGCTTGCAAAACCAAAGGAGATCAAAGACGTGTGGAACTTTTTCCGGTAAGATTGTGTGGCTTCATAAAGGATGTGAATCACAATAAGAATTATTCGCATTTGGCACCTTAACGTGCTCATTGTCATAGGCCTCATCTGCATTATGCATTTAAAGTGGTTTCATACCACTTTTATTCCCTCAAAGAATTCTGGGAACTGTGGTTTGGCCTCACAGAGTCCCCTGGGAAGAGGGATTGAGAATTAAGACTTGTTCTTCAAAGTGAGGGGAATGTGAGGAGAATATGGGTCTCCTAACTTCTCTCAGCACTCTTAACAAACCAGTTCCCAGGATTCTTTGGGGGAAGCCATGACGGTTGAAAGTGGTATGATAGTTCTTTAAATGTATAGTGCAGATGGAGCCTTAGCTGCCGCATTATCTTATGACAGACTTGTACTAAAGACCCATTTTATCATCTCCGTATTTTACTTCATTAGCTATTGAAAGCAAGGGCAGGCTTGTGGAGTAGAGATCCCAAATATTTTTCTTTCCGTATATTCTGGATGGGTAATGAATTTTGGAGAAAATTAGGTTGGAGGAGGTGATCTTGTTTATTGGGTAGAATATTATTATTATTACGTGATCTAGAGATAATTTGGGGGGAGGCAATTGAAGGAGAATCAAACTGATTTGGACCAGGATCTGTTGAGAATTGAATTGGGGGGTAAATGAATTGATTAGGTGATTTGGAGTAGGGTGCAAATTAATTGAATAATTTATATGGGCTGATTTGAAAGGCAAATTAGCCTGCCTCCTGTGACATTTAAAACCTAAATCTGCATTTATACTTACTTATTTATTACATCGATATCCCGCCTTTCTCCTTCATGGAACTGAAAGTGCAAGGATCCTGCCCCATAGACCTTCAAACTGTGCCCTTCAAATTTTTAACAGTTATATAGCCTGGTGTATTCTGGGTAGCTTGAAAACCATCAGAAGATGGATCACGGGTTATTTGGAAGGATATTTAGTGGTCCTTTTGACTATATTTGAAAGTGCTGGTCACCATGGTTTCAGAATTTCGGCATTTTGCTTTGGAGTGACTCTACCCTTATTGGTGCATTTCAAGCTCACTTTGGTTGGATTGCTCCAAAGTAAATACAGTGGCGTAGGGATGTGGGTGGCGCTGTGGGTTAAACCACAGAGCCTAGGACTTGCCGATCAGAAGATTGGCGGTTCGAATCCCCGCGACGAGGTGAGCTCCCGTTGCTCGGTCCCTGCTCCTGCCAACCTAGTAGTTTGAAAGCATGTCAAAGTGCAAGTAGATAAATAGGTACCACTCCAGTGGGAAGGTAAACGGCGTTTCCGTGCGCTGCTCTGGTTCGCCAGAAGTGGCTTAGTCATGCTGGCCACATGACCCGGAAGCTGTACGCCGGCTCCCTCGGCCAATAAAGTGAGATGAGCGCCGCAACCCCAGAGTCGGCCACGACTGGACCTAATGCTCAGGGGTCCCTTTACCTTTACCTTTAAGTACAGTGGTACCTCAGGTTACAGACGCTTCAGGTTACAGACTCCGCTAACCCAGAAATAGTACCTCGGGTTAAGAACTTTACCTCAGGATGAGAACAGAAATCGCGTGGTGGCGGCATCGGGAGGCCCCATTAGCTAAAGTGGTACCTCAGGTTAAGAACAGTTTCAGGTTAAGAACGGACCTCTAGAACGAATTAAGTTCTTAACCCGAGGTACCACTGTACACTGAGAACATAAGAACAGCCCTGTTAGGCCCAGTCAAAGCATCTTGTTCTCACGGTGGCCAACCAGATGTCTATGAGAAACCCACGACTTGGACCTGAGCACAACAGTACCCTGCCCGGTTGTGATTCTCAGGAACTGGTGACCTCCCAAGGAATATAGGGTTTAGGACCGGGATACTTGAAAAGCCGCGTCCCAACGCCATGTCTTCTCTGAGACAGTGACCAGGCTTAGAATTTCCTGTTTGTCTGACTCCATCATTGTTGACATTTTTGCACCTTCTGGCTGTGAGCACAAGGCATTGAGACCTGAATTCTATTTCTGCCTTTTCCCTTGAAAGAATTTTTGGCTTTACTTAAAAAAAAAAAGTGATTTTTTTTTTAATAGTACAGTGGTACCTCAGGTTACATACGCTTCAGGTGACATATGCTTCAGGTTACACACTCCGTTAACCCAGAAATAGTGCTTCAGGTTAAGAACTTTGCTTCAGGATGAGAACAGAAATTGTGCTCTGGCGGCGCAGCAGCAGCAGGAGGCCCCATTAGCTAAAGTGGTGCTTCAGGTTAAGAACAGTTTCAGGTTAAGAACGGACCTCCGGAACGAATTAAGTACTTAACCCAAGGTACCACTGTATTGCTTTTATTTCCTGCTCTTAGCTGTCTCAAAGATCTTGTAAGGTGGACAGAAAGTGTGGGATAGATGTATAAATTAATGGTAGCCAGCCAAATCGGTGAACCACAGCCATCAAATGAAAGATCTCCCGTTGTAAAATCACCGTTAATCAGTTTGCTCCTAGAAAGTCAAAGATCTTTATAGATATTTTGGGTGAGAACAACTATAACAGCATACGTGTGTGTGAGTGATTTGCGTAATATAAGAATAGATGCTTAATACGATAACCTATGGTTGTGTGCAAGAGTTTCTAACCATGGTTTGAGTGGCACTTTTGTTTTTATTCGTAACAGTAAGTTAGTCTGGGGAAACCAAGATACGATATGGCCCCTTTCCTCACGTGCTCTGATGTGTCGGCCAACTTCAAGAGTCTTAGGCCTGGCAAAACCCAAGAAACTAGATGCAAATCTCCCGCGCAGGTTTGTCATTCTTACTTTCCCTCATTTAAAAGCGTACAGGAGCTGAGTGGGTTCAGGCCAAAATCAAGGATTGTACTTCTGATTCCCTGCGGAGCTTTGGATTTGTGCTTCCTGAACAGCAGCTTCCCATGCTGTTCATGGCAAGCCTCTTTTGAAACCAAGCGGAAAGGTTTGGGAGGAATAATATATCATAATCATAATAATTTATTATTTATACCCCGCCCACCTGGCTGGGTTTCCTCAGCCACTCTGGGCGGCTCCCAACCGAATATTAAAAACACAACACAGAATTAAACATTAAAAGCTTCCCTAAACAGGGCTGCCTTCAGATGTCTTTTGAAAGTAAGATAGTTGCTTATTGCCTTGACATCTGGTGGGAGGGTGTTCCACAGGGCAGGCGCCACTACCGAGAAGGCCCTCTGCCTGGTTCCCTGTAACCTCACTTCTCACAGTGAGGGAATCACCAGAAGGCCCTCGGAGCTGGCCCTCAGTGGAAGGGTGGGATATGAATTATTATTGTTGTTGTTGTTGTTGTTGTTATAATTTACCTTGCTATATGGCATATTAGACTGCTCAGCAAAGAAGCAAAGCTATACGTTTAAGGCAGATGTGGGGAAACGTGGGACCACAGCTGAACTACAAGTCCCATCTGCCCCAGCAAATATAGTCAATGGCCAGGGATGATGGGAATTGTAGTTCAGCACCGTCTGGAACACCAAAGGTTCCCCACACACGATTTAATGGCTTCCATTTGGGACGGTGCAGACTTTGAAATGCGTCTGTGATGCCGTGAGACAAGGAGGCTGCTATATCTCCTCCCGCTTATTCCCTGCGCTGAGGCCTTCTCTCCTCTCCAGCACCCGCTGTGACAAGCAGGACTCTAGGTGTGCCGCACGGCAGATGGTGTGGGAGACAGACAATACGCTGTGGGTGTCAGTAGGCCTTTGAGCCGATGCCGACAACTGGGCTCAATAGCTGGATCTGCCACAACTAGGCTAGGCGACTGGAGCACTTCCAGAGACCTTCCAGTCCTGGAAATCAGGTCTAAGTGCCCTGGACCCACAACTGTCCATTGTGAGCACCAGACTCAGCAGAGTATGAACAGCACGGAAGAAAGCTGTGAAGTGTTAAGTTGTGGGTGAACATATCAGACGACACAGCGATTCTTCAAACAGCTCTTGTTTATTCACAGGCCAGGACAGAACAGAACTGAAGGGTTCAGTCAGCCTGATTATATAGAGCTCCAGTCCAACGTAACTGTAACAACTTTCTAAAACTATCCAATCACTGAACCTCACTTTCGATCCCTTATTTGCATAACTATCTACAGTATCCCCCTGCTGGCCCAGGGTGAGAACTTCAGTACATAACATGAAGCATAACTTCTTTTATTTCTAATAGCTACTGCAAACTAAAAACTAAAGAGCTACTGGCTTGCATGAGTGTTACATCTCTTACTCAGCCATCTAATCTCTACATAGATAACACTCAGACTCCCCACAGAGTCAGGCAGGAGCGGAAGAAGTGAAGAGCAGTTTCCGCTCCCTCCTTTCTGAAAACATCAGGAGATTCTTGCAATGGGAAGGGGTGAAAATATCAACAGTGGGGAGATGGGTAGCAGAAAGCCACAGCAGCTGGCAACCCACACCACATCGCTGGCAATAAGTGGTGCTGCTGTTTTTGGTGTTGCTTCTGAGCTTGGATACGGTGCTCCAAGACGGTACCTGCAGTGGCGAAGGAAGCCGCTTGGGCACCTGGGGCGAACTGCCCATAGGGGTGAGGCGAGGGTGGGGCGCACTGTGCGGCCTCCAGAGTCTGCCTGCCTCCTCCCACTCAGCCGCCCTACAGCTGTGGGGGGAGGCAGCGGGCGGACTGTTTGGGCAGCGCGGAGCCTGCATGCGCCCAAGCCACCGCCTCTCTCCCAGGAAAGATGCGTGGCTCAAGCACGCTGCAGGCCACGTGGTGAGTGTCGCCCAACATTTTGTCACCCCCCTCAGTGGTGACACCCAGGGTGGCCCGCACCCGCCGCAACCCCCTTCCTCCACCCCTGCGTACCTGTATCAGAGAAGTGAGGTTACAGGGAACCAGACAGAGGGCCTTCTCGGTAGTGGCGCCAGCCCTGTGGAACGCCCTCCCTTCAGATGTGAAGGAAATAAGCAGCTATCTTATCTTTAAAAGACATCTTAGGGAAGTTTTTAATATTTAATGCTGTACTGTTTTTAACACTCGATTGGAATCCGCCCAGAGTGGCTGGGGAAACTCAGCCAGATGGGCGGAGTATAAATAATTTATTATTATTATTATTATTATTATTATTATTATTATTACTGTCTTCATGACAATGTCCTCTTGCCAGTGCCTTAGAATTCCCAGGATTCTGTGGGGGAAGTCCTAACAGTGATAGAACCCTCCCAATATATATTTTGTAATGAAGACATGCCCAAAATTGGCCATTGCTTTCCCCAAGTGTTGGCCTCCTATTAATATCACCTTACGGCGCTGCAAAGGTGTCTCTCTAGGTGAAGTGAAGAAAGTCCGGCATGAATAATTATTCACGGCGTAAGTAATAATAAGGGCATTCAATATTAATTTTGGTTCTCCGTCAACAACTGGCAGGCAGAAGGGAGAGATCGTGGAAAGGGTGTCGCCATTATTCTCGGTTGCCAAGAGATCTGACTCACCAAGCAAGCAGCTGTTTGTGCTGGAATTGCAGGATGTTTTAATTTGAATTCCAGGCCCAACATTGGGGCACTTTTGACTGCCAGCTCCTCAGGCACAGTGGAACAATTCATGGAATGATTTAAGCACAGTCTATATAGTGCTGTGGGTTAAACCACAGAGCCTAGGACTTGCCGATCAGAAGGTTGGCAGTTCAAATCCCTGTGACGGGGTGAGCTCCGGTTGTTCGGTCCCTGCTCCTGCCAACCTAGGAGTTCGAAAGCACGTCAAAGTGCAAGTAGATAAATAGGTACCACTCCGGCGGGAAGGTAAACGGTGTTTCCGTGCGCTGCTCTGGTTCGCCAGGAGCGGCTTAGTCCTGCTGGTCACATGACCCGGAAGCTGTACGCTGGCTACCTTGGCTAGTAAAGCGAGATGAGCGCTGCAACCCCAGGGTCGGCCACAACTGGACCTAACGGTCAGGGGTCCCTTTACCTTTATATAGTGCATATTTCATGCCTTTGACTTGCCCCCTAGATTCCTGTTTGGGGCAAGAAATATCAGCTACAACTGAATGTGTGCATACAGCACTAGTGTTGTCATATCAATGACAATGTGTGTGTGTGTTGCCTTTCAGAGGGATACAGAAGTAGTGCGGAATACGCTGATGGCACAGAATTCAGCTTCCTAATAATCTCACTCCCCCCCCCCCCAAGAAAATTTCTAGCCAAGATGGCTATATGATTTTTCAATGCATAGGACAGTGATGGGGAACCTGTTCCACTCCGGAGGTTGCAAAGTAAGGGTTTTGGGGAGTTTGCAGGCAGGCACAGACCATACAATACCTGTTTGGATGAAATGACAAATAATGGGTTGCTGCAAACCAGAACTGGAGTTAGGAAATCACTGCAATGAGAGGAGGAAGGAGAATGAGGGAACACAGAAGTCCAAGGTCCCTTGTGGCTTCTTAATACAGTGCCCGCCAGTTTGGCACTATATTTGAGCAGAGGTCCCTTTAAAAGCAGCCTTTAATAAATTGCCACGATTCCCTTTTAAGAGGTTGTGTGTCTTTAATACATCTGTATTAAACTTGGATATTCTTTTAAATCAATACACTTTTTTTAAAAAAGTGGAATTTTGTTTGTTTGTTAAAATAACCATTTAAACTCCCCCCCCCCCCAAAAATTATTTTTTAAAAAATCTACAATGATGGAATGGAGAAGGCTAGCCTAGAACCCTTCTCTTTCTGGATGGTGCAGTTGTTCATATTAATCATATGAAGAAGCCCTGGGCTCCTTTGGGGGGAGAGGGGAAGTGGGATATAAATATAATAAAGAAATAAAATAAAGAAACCACGACGTAGAACCAGGATGAATAAAATAAGGTGGAACTCACACTTTTGACTTGCTGTTTGAATTAATGCCAAGCTCTGCCTCACCTCCACTGACGCCTTGCGGTTTTTCCAAGGTCCATCCATTTGTATAGTTGCGGCCGTTCGTCTGAGATCTGGCACCGCCCTCCTGGATTATATTCTATAATCCCGAGCCAACGGATATTACACCTGGCAGAACCTAGAAGATGCGCAGAAATGTACCTGAAAAAAAGGTGAGAGACTCGTGCTGCCAGCTGTGTTGATTGCTGGGCTGCCTGTAGGTTTCCAAAACTGAACTTGTAGAGGATCAGCTTTCCAAGGAAGGGGGAACGGTTTTCTTAAAGTGTGTGCTGAGATTTGAAAACAAAGCCAATTCGCACTAGCCACCACAGAAATGTGGGGGTTGCCTTCAGGATGGTGTGGTCCCACAACACACCTGCAGAGTGTTTAGGAGGGAACCATGTTGGAGTGGCCATTGATTGGGTTGCTCCTCACACGAATTGCAGTCTTCTTCCCAGGCAGGCAGTGTTTACATGGGAGGAAACTATATACCGTATTTTTCGCTCTATAACACGCACCCGACCATAACACGCACGTAGTTTTTAGAGGAGGAAAATCCGTAGGCATGCCACCCGTAGGCATTCCCTCCATAACACGCACAGACATTTCCCCTTACTTTTTAGGAGGAAAAAAGTGAGTGTTATGGTGCAAAAAATACGGTAAATGTCCCATTTACACCACAGTAGTAGCTGCCATGACATCCGTGGAAGGTTGATCTGTGCCTGGAGAGCTAGTCTTCCTAGCTGTTCTAACTTGCTGTCAGTTCCCAGGCATCAGAAGCCCATATGCACAGCCTTCGTAGCACCTCAAGAGTGCAGCTCTCAAAGAAAACATCATGTGTCTGAAAATGGGTAGAGGAAGGGCTATATTTTCACTGATCCCGACTCACAGTATGTTGACGTTAGCTGCTCATCTCTCCCTGCTGCACTTCAAACTGCAGTCGTTCAGTGTTGTTCACATCAGAGAAAGGGCAAGGATGCAGCGGTGGAACAAGTCAATCGGGCACCTGCGGTGGCGCGCATGCCCTGCAGCCAAGGGCAGGGCCAGCTGCCTGTGGGGTGGGGTGAGCCGGGGCTGGACGCTTCGCGGGGTCTCTGAGGAGTCTGCCTACCTCCTCCCACTTGGCCGCCCTACAGCTAAGGGGGAGGCGGTGGGCAGACTGTTTGGGGCAGCGCAGAGCCTGCGGGTGCCCAAACCACCGCGTCAATCCCAGGAGAGACGTGTGGCTCGGACTCGTTGCAGGCCGTGCAGTGAGTGCTGCCTGGGATTTTGTCACCCCCCTCAGTGGTGACACCCAGGGCGGACTGCCCCCACCGCCCTCCTTCCTCCGCCCCTGCAGGGATGTTGTCACCGTGATGCACACAGGCATTTTTGGTTTCCCTACCCCTGCAAACAGCAAATCGCCGCTCGGACTTCCTACTCGTGAAGCTCTCATCTGTGCATTTTCTAATGAGATTGAAGATGGTTTGAAGTGGGGGGGGGGAGGAGCATCATCAAACAGCAGTATTTGTCAAGAAGCGACAGGATCAATAGAGACCACATTAGACAAGCGTTTCAAAAAGCACGGGGGGAAATGCAGAGAATACTTCACAAAACAGTGCCCTAAAATACATACCTGGACTTGTTTCGATTAATGTCTGCAGGAGACTTTGTGGGTATATAAGTTATAATTAGAAAAATCTTAATAATTATTCATAAAGGAAACAGTTTATAAGAAGTAAATAAGGAGGCCAGATACAGGGTAAAGCAGGTCTTTTATTTGGTTGTTTGTATTGTTGTATGTTATGCTTATTGTATGTTATGTTCACATTTAATGAGGGTGGATTTCTGTATCGGGGGGTGTGGGTTTATGTTATGTTGTAAATAAAACTTCCAATATATATATTTTAAAAAAGGATCAATAGAGATTGGGGCTGACATTGTATGAATGCAGCTTCAAAAGGCAGCAGTGGGAACCCGCTAGATATAGAGTATGTGATAATGCAAACATAATTATAGACAAATCCTCAGAGACCATGGCCTGCTTTGGGTGTCACATTCCTCAGGAAATAAAATATTAACAACATTATATCTTACTTTCAAATTACTAAACCCCTGGTGGCAGAAACTGGGCAGAGACTGAGCGGAACCCAGTAACTTATAAGGGGAGCATCTTCTCCGTGGAGAAAGCAGTCATATGGACATGTGCAGTTAAAAAATTAAAAGTGAGTTTTAGTTAAAGGTGGTCCCTGGGCCTGAGAAGGTAGAGCTTTAGATCATATGGTTTTGACAATCTCAAACCGTCCAAGTGTCCCTGTTTTCCAGGGGCAGCCCCTGATTTAGAGAAGCCGCCCTGGTTTCTTATTTGATACCGGAATGTCTCTTTTCCTTTGGACGTCCCTATTTTCATCAGAGATATGTTAGAGGGTATGGAGTTTTCCAATCCCCTGAGCCATCTGAAGGCAACCCTGTACAGTGGTACCTCGGGTTACATACACTGCAGGTTACAGACTCCGCTAACCCACAAATAGTGCTTCAGGTTAAGAACTTTGCTTCAGGATGAGAACAGAAATCGTGCTCTGGTGGCATGGCAGCAGCAGGAGGCCCCATTAGCTAAAGTGGTGCTTCAGGTTAAGAACAGTTTCAGGTTAAGAACAGACCTCCGGAACAAATTAAGTTCTTAACCCGAGGTACCACTGTATAGGGAAGTTTTAAAAATGTTTTATTATGTTTTTATATATGTTGGAAGTTGCCCAGAGTGCTTGGGGCAACCCAGTCAGATGGGCAGGGTATAAAATAATAAAATTATTATTATGGAATGGGGTGTCCCTATTTTCATCGGAGAAAAGTTGGAGGGTATGCAATCTTCTCCCATTTTTCAACTTCACTTTCCCACAATTGCAAGTAAAAGTTGAGGGAGAAGTAGACGTGTAGAAAGAGGTGATGTCATGGAGAAAAACTGAAAGGGGAAAAGGATCCGAGCAGATGGAAATATGAAAATCTATAAATGGAAACCTGCAGTTCCCTCTTCAGCACGCACACACACACACACACACACACACACATACACACAAACAACTATGGCCTGAATCCTGAATTGGCTCAAATCCCTTTCAGAATCTCTATGCCATTTTTACAATAGCAAGAAGCAACTGATATTTTGGAGGGGTGCACTTTTCATTTGAAACTAGTAAAATGCCCATGATTAAGATAGGAGGGGTGGTCTCATGAAAGAATGACATTTATATTGGAGAGACACCTCAGGAAGTTGACACCAGTCAAGCTGCCAAACTTAATTTCATTTTCTATCGCACATGCGCACAAGCAGAACATTAGGTGTGATCTGCATTTCTAGCTGCAGGAACAGCAGCTGGTTATCATCACCCACTAACTGTTTGTATCATGTGATACAGAAGCCTAATTATGTTCACTTCTTCACTTGATAAGCAACTCAATAACATCTGGACCCTATCCATTTTGTCGGCTTGCTTTTTGGCCAGAATCACAGGCTGCCATAATTTTTTGCCATCATTTCTCTGTACAAACGCTTCAGTCGTTCATCATATACACAATAGTTCTCCCTCCTCACGTGTTTGGACCTTTTTTCGCTGATCTGCTGCCAGTTGAACGAGACGGTTGTCTACTCCCCTGTTCCCACCAGCTATAAAACTTGAGGGTGAGGCATGAAAAAGAAAGCAGCTTAGCAGAAGCAGTGGGGAAATTGGAAAGACCAGAGAAGAGGCCTAGGGATGGGAAGAGAACTGCTGCTAAACTGTCTTCATACACAGAGATCTCGGCCTCTTGGTCTTCGTCTTTGAAAGAAAGAAGGCAACGCTTTGGTGAGGGGGTAACCCGTCCCTGGACTGTATGAATTGCAGGGTGCTCACATGACTGAATGGGTGATAATGTAGAGAGAAATCCCTGCACGTAGAAAACAAGCATGTCAGGGTTGCTACATCCCTTCTCTTTAGCATCTGGTTTTCTGTGTGTAAGGAATTTTGTATGGAGGAGCATTCCAGTTGCAAGGGCCCCAAATATCATACCCTCCAATGTTTCTCCAATAAAAATAGGAAGGTCCTAAAGAAGGAGGAGGAGGAGGTTATGGTGGTGGTAAAGGATCCCTGGGTGGTTAAGTCCAGTCAAAGTCAACTATGGGGTGCGGTGCTCATCTCACTTCAGGCCAAGGGAGCTGGCATTTGTCCACAAACAGCTTTCTGGGTCATATGGCCAGTATGACTAAACCACCTATGGCGCAACGGGACACTATGACGGAAGCCAGAGTGCACGGAAATGCCATTTATCTTCCTGCTGGAGTGGTACCTACTGTATTTTTTGCTCTATAAGACTCACTTTTTCCCTCCTAAAAAGTAAGGGGAAATATGTGTGCGTCTTATGGAGCGAATGCAGGCTGCGCAGCTATCTCAGAAGCCAGAACAGCAAGAGGGATTGCTGCTTTCACTGCGCAGCGATCCCTCTTGCTGTTCTGGCTTCTGAGATTCAGAATATTTTTTTCTTGTTTTCCTCCTCCAAAAACTAGGTGCGTCTTGTGGTCTGGTGCGTTTTATAGAGCGAAAAATACGGTATTTATCTACTTGCATTGGTGTGCTTTCGAACTGCAAGGTTGCCAGGAGCTGGGACCGAACAATGGGAGCTCACACCGTCATGTGGATTTGAACCACCAACCTTCCGATCGACAAGCCCAAGAGGCTCAGTGGTTTAGGATACAGTACCACCCATTGTTGTTGTTGTTATATTTATACCCCACACATCTGACTCGGCATCTTCTAACATATATAAAAACATAATAAAACATTAAAACTTCCCTATACGGAGCTGCCTTCAGATGACTTCTAAAGGTTGTATAGTTACTTATCTCCTTGGCTCGGGAGTCACATAACCTCCAACACTTCTCTGATGAAAATAGGGCCATCCTAAGGGAAAGAAGGACATTCTGGGATCAAATCAGAAACTGGGATGGCTTCTGTAAATCCAAGTCTGTTCCTAGAAAGTAGGGGTACTTGGATGGTCCAAAATAGCAGCATTAAGTGATGGCAACCAGAAGGCAACACTGCTCTGTCAAGCATTACACAGTGAATGCTCGCTTGAACGGTGGGGCAGAAAAAGCCGCAGAGGCAGATGAAGCAACGGTAAATCAAAAACATTTTCAGAAACTTTAACATGCGGTTGAGACTTGTATGATTTTTCTTGCCTGTGTGTCCTTCCAGTCACCCCATGGCAGGGGTGGGGAACATTTTCCAGCCCAAAAGCCACCCTCCCTTCTGGGCAGCCTTCCAGGGGCAACGTGCTGAAGGCAAAAGAGGGTGGAGTGCTGAATGCGAGTCTTAGCTCTGCACCCGGGGCGGCTACCTTCATGCTCGCACAAGGCGCTCTCTATCCTCCTTCAGCCAGGCAAGCACAAAGCATGGGCAGAGTTAATGGGCACATTCCAGTCAGGCAAAAACGCCCAAGGAGGGCGCATGGCTGGGACAGTGAAGACGTGTGACTCTGGCCACATGTGACACCTAAGCATGAAGTTATCCTGCCCTGTGGGGTAGGGGGCAATGTTGTGTAGTGGTGAGTTTATATTGTGGTTGGCAGTCGTAGAATCATAGAATTGGAAGGGACCCGGGAGGCCTGGGCAGGCCGGGTCATCCTCTTATATACCTGCTGGGATTTACAAGGCATCTGACCCTCACCTGAATCTCATAGCTCTCCTGTAGCTGCCTCTGATTAGTTATCATTTAACTCTTTGTTCTTGTTTAGTCGTTTAGTCGTGTCTGCCTCTTCGTGACCCCATGGACCAGAGCACGCCAGGCACTCCTGTCTTCCACTGCCTCCCGCAGTTTGGTCAAACTCATGCTGGTAGCTTCGAGAACACTGTCCAACCATCTCGTCCTCTGTCATCCCCTTCTCCTTGTGCCCTCCATCTTTCCCAACATCAGGGTCTTTTCCAGGGAGTCTTCTCTTCTCATGAGGTGGCCAAAGTATTGGAGCCTCAGCTTCACGATCTGTCCTTCCAGTGAGCACTCAGGGCTCATTTCCTTCAGAATGGATAGGTTTGATCTTCTTGCAGTCCATGGGACTCTCAAGAGTCTCCTCCAGCACCATAAATCAAAAGCATCAATTCTTCGGCGATCAGCCTTCTTTATGGTCCAGGGGGAAATAATTAGCATCACATGTCATGTGCATGGAAGTTGAGAATTCCGTTCCACCTTAAGGAACAGGCATGTGGAATTGCTGCATGTCACATGTCTGTTTACATTCCAGCACAGGTTGCTGGGAACTTCTGTTTGTGTATAGCTTTTGCTGTTCTCTCCGAGACAACATGAGAGAGAGAGACGACATGTTTCTTTGTTCTGATTTATGTTTAATAAATCTGTCGCTGTAGCATGACTTACGTCTCATGCCTACTTCTGTGTGCGCAGTACACTCTGCTAATTGCGTGCCCTGGCTTTTGAAGTTCGGGTCGCTGATTTGCATCGGAGTATAGGCCGATGGAAGGAGACGTCCGAGCTGGGCTTGCCAGCTGGCCTCCCTGCCCCTCTGCATGTTGACACCCCCTGCAATACAGGAATCTTAACTAAAGCATCCAGGACATCTAACCTCCGAGGAAGGAGAGCCCTCCACCCTCCAAGAGAGACCGTTCCACCATTTAACAGCTATTACAGTTCTTCCTGTTGTTTAGTCAGGTCTTGGCTTCCAGAGCAGGAGAAAAGAAGCTTGCTCCATCCTCCATGTGGCAGCCCTTTAGATACTTGAAGATGGATTTCATATCTCCTCTCAGTCTCCTTTTTACCAGGCTTAACATACCCAGCTCCCTCAGCCGTTCCTCATAAGGCTTTGTTTCCAGACCCTTGATCATCTTGGTTGCCCTCCTCTGCACATGTTCCAGCTTGTCAATGTCCTTCTTTAATTGTGGTGTCTAGTACTGGACATAGTACTCCAGTATGGTCTGACCAAGGCAGAATAGAGTAGGACTATTACTCTTCTTGATCGGGGTACAATACTTCTGTTGATGCACCCTAGAATATCATCCGTCTGTTATATCTGTTATTATTATTGTTATAACTGTCTCAGGAGATAATGGAGTGTGCCTCCGAGAGTGAAATCAAAGCACTGCATTAGCACCTCCCTGGGTTGCAAGCCTGGGCAGTGTGTATGGAGCTCCTGGGCTGCCCAGATATCAAGACCCACCTCTCAGCTTCGCTGATGTGATCCAGAGGAAAGCAGAGCAATACATTTGGCACCAGCTTGGCTGTAGGAGTTGATGGAAAGAGGTGTACAAGGCGTCATCCAACTGTCTTAGGGACTCTACTCTAGATTTGTGAAGGGTTTACTCCTTAGCCTTTTCTTCTCCTGAAGATATCCTGCAAGGCAGCGGAGGTTTAGGATCAGAGTTTTATTTTTCCTAGATGGGCTACCTTCCCAGGTTGATGAGCCCCATCTGCCCCACCCTTCCCTCTACGCATGCAGAAACCTTATTCTATGGTCTCGTCTGCTCTATCCACTGGAGCCTGTCTTCGCTAGCAGGGGAAGCCCTTAACTCACCCAGGGTGTGAGACCCATCAGCTTTCCTCACCTGGTTTAGCCAGCCAGTCAAAGTCATTCCTGGGGTGTGGCCGCTGTCACATGGTGACAGCTGACTGCAGGGCAGGGACCAAAGGTGGACAAACCATCTCATAAAGCATAAAGCCAACTCCTAAGAGACTGCGATCTACTCACAGAATAAAAAACTGGCAGTGATGTACCCCTTTTGGGGAGATCGTGGAGGGCAGGGCGAGGGGGCGGGGCCTGATTCTATTTTACCACCACTGAGGAAAGGGAACCAGCAATAGACTGTGATCTACCAAAACCTCCCGGGGATCTACCAGTAGATTGCGATCGACCTGTTGGACATCCCTGTCATAAAGGATCACACACTCAAAGTACCAACACCCCAATACACACCTGATTTTATATTAGGTGTAGCCAGTGCTATTTTTCTAGAAAAATAGGTTCTGGAACTCACCATGAATACCTCCCTTGTTCTCTTATAATGCCAATGGCGCCCACCTGAGAGGTGCCGGAACTGAGTTCCAGTGAGTTCCGGCTAGAAAAAGCCCTGGGTGTCGCATATAAAAGAGCATTTTCAATACACACATCACTACAGACATTATATAAACATTATGCTTGCCACTCGCATGTATGAGTTGCAGTTCTGTCAGGTAGCTATAGAACTCGCATCTAGCTACACGCTGGTGGGGGGTGGGTTGTGGGGGCAGTGAGGAGTTACCAGGCAGTTGCTAATGGTCCCCTGTTTGTGTTTGCTTGCAGGCCCCGTAGTTCCCCGCAGTGGCCTGTCAGTAGCGCAGCACTTTGTTGGGAAGCTTCCCCAAGGATTTTGAGCCTCTCACATCCGCGAAGCCTGCCCTCATCCTTCTCCTTTCCAAAAGAGGTAATCGATGATGATGCTGAACCAGAGAACACCATCAACAATGACAATTTCAACAAGCGTTTCCATACACAGGCTCTGCCTGTCCTGTGAAGTCTTCTGTGCTTCTCTCCGCACTACAAAGGAGGCCCCAGGGTTCTGCCACTGCTTGGGGGAAAGTTGCCCACCGCTTGCCCTCCTTGCTGCAGCTGAACTGTTTTCAAAGAGCTGAGCCCAGCAAGTGGGCTTGGTGTTTTTGGTTGCTCCCATTCCTCTGAGTTTGTAAGACCAGCTTAATCCAAACAGTCAGGAGCACTGACTTGGGCCCCAGCTGATGGGTGGCCAACGGCGCCACGACATAACGTGTCATTGTGATGTTGTGATGTCACGTTATGTCTGTGGCACCGCTGCAGCGCTTCGTTTAAAGGGGTGTAAAGTTTAAAGGGGGATTTTTGTGTGCCTGTTTCCTTTCCTCACTCCGATTGATGGCAAAATTAAAAGGGAGCCAGTGTGGTGTAGTGGTTAAGAGCGGTAGTCTTGTAATCTGGTGAACTGGGTTCGCTTCCCCGCTCCTCCACACGCAGCTGCTGGGTGACCTTGGGCCAGTTACACTTCTTTGAAGTCTCTCAGCCCCACTCACCTCACAGAGTGTTTGTTGTGGGGGAGGAAGGGAAAGGAGAATGTTAGCCGCTTTGAGACTCCTTAAAGGGAGTGAAAGGTGGGATATCAAATCCAAACTCTTCCAAGGCCTTGCAAGACCTCCGACGCAACTTTCAGTTTATACCGGAAGTCGCGTTCAGAGGCCTGGCATGTCCTGAATGTTGCCGAGGAGGTTGTGTCAGGACTCTGACATGACTTCCGGTCAAATCCGGAAGTCGTGTCGGAGCCCCACAGTGTGGGCGCCCTGGCACCCAGGGCCCCCTAGAGTTGGTGCCTCTGCGAACAGTGAACTATAACCAACCAGCTACAAAAAAGAATAAATCACTTCTGGTTTGGGGCTACATGCCCTCTGATAAAGTGGTCCAGGATAATGGGAAGCCTCTGTTGTTAGGTAATGTGGAAATATGGAGGCTGATGTTGGCTGAACTTTCAGCCCATGCAAGAGGAATGAAGGAGGAGGAGACTGAAAATGGTGGCAGTCTTGAGTGCTGTTGCCTGGGGAATCTAATTTTGCCAGAAGCCTCTTAACTCTGTCTTGGATTCAGTTTCCTCCAGATGACAAGGTCTAGCTGAGTCGGGAACTTTTAACTTTCATTGTTATGGGGGCTTTCCATCCCTGACCTTTTTTTTAATTATTATTTTAAGCAAGCCTCTTTGTGATGTGGACAGGCATTGTGATTTTTTAATGTGGAAAATAATGTTCTTAGAAGTATTGTCTGGAACCACCATTCTAGGGACCCCTCCAGATGTCCCGTTATTTTATTGTACATTCATGACCATTTTTGCTCATGGCAATCTTGCTTACAATCCTATTAGGGCCTGTAACCCTTTTGTGGCTGTCATACGTCTTCATGTCCCGTCAGCGCATATCCTGTCACTTCCAGCTGAAACCTCTTAACTTTACCCAGTGCTTTTTTTCTTTAAAAAATGTTTAGGGGTACTCTCATTTTCCTACTCATATTGAAATACTGCCCCTCAATGAGACTAAACTTAGATTCACAAAATGTTTAGGGATATGCATACCCCTGTGTACCCCCAGAAAAAAGCACTGACTTTACCACAAATGTCCTCTGTTTATTTTTGTCCCCCTTATGTTGTGCTGTAGCATCTGCAGACAGCAATAAAGTGGTTGCGCTGGGGAAGTATCACAGAACAAACTAATGCAGAATAAGTCCACAACTAGCACACTATTAGGGACGTGGGTAGCGTTGTGGGTTAAACCACAGAGCCTAGGACTTGCCAATCAGAAGGTCGGCGGTTCGGATCCCCATGACGGGATGAGCTCCCGTTGCTCGGTCCCTGCTCCTGCCAACCTAGCAGTTCAAAAGCATGTCAAAGTGCAAGTAGATAAATAGGTACCGCTCCGGCGGGAAGGTAAACGGCGTTTCTGTGCGCTGCTCTGGTTTGCCAGAAGCGGCTTAGTCATGCTGGCCACATGACCCGGAAACTGCACTCCGGCTTCCTCAACCAATAAAGCGAGATGAGCGCCACAACCCCAGAGTTGGCCACGACTGGACCTTATGGTCAGGGGTCCCTTTTACTTTACCTTTTAGCACACTATTATTGTGCCCCCCCCCAAAAAAAAGTCACAGAAGACACTCACAATAGAACACCAGTATGCAGAGGTGCCAGATTGAACGAAATATTGCAGGGGCCCAGGTAAGCCCCGTTCCCATAATCAGTCACATGACACGATGCACGCACACCATTTGAATGGCAATGCCCATCAACTTTGTGGTGCCCGGCCCTTTCAGATGTTTTATTGCGGGTGCCAAAGCTCCCACGGCCCCTAGGAGTTTGCTCCTATGCCAGTATAGTATGGCCTTTATTCCATATCCAGCAAGCTGATTGCAGAACTGAAAGGATTCAGGGCCTTTCTATGTAAGCAGCACGCATCCAAACACCTCCTTTCATTCTGCGACTCATCCTTCTTTCCTCTTCCTTTCTTGATGCAACGCACTCCCACTCTGTTCAGCTAAAATGGGTGGCCAGCCTTCCTGTTACGTAAGATTTCTTATGCCGGGGTGACATTACGCAGCCACACATAGACTATTCCTTTTAGTAATGCGTAAAATGGGATTTAAAAATACTACAGAGCGGACTGCCAAGGCTCTTCCCTTTTTTGCAGACGTGGGCGGAAGCAGCTCTCGGTTATAGCGGTTTCCACCCATAAAGGGCAAGGAAGCTGAAGAGAATGTGGAAGAAGCCATTTTCTCAATATGTGTTTTTGTGTATGTGTACGTAAAAGGGACAGTTTCTGACGCACAAACCTGTTCCCAGCCAGCTATTGCCTCTTCCACAACAGGGAACAACAAGCCATCTCCTATTGACACTTCCTTTGCACATCCCCCCCCCGCCCCATGGCTGGGCAAGGTAGGCCCCTGAGGTACAAGCCAACTGTCAAAATGGCTTCTCTCCCTCTCCTCGCATGTTGTGAGGCTGAATATGCCAGCCCTTATTTCAAACGGGTGGACAGACGTCCCGACTCTCTCTTGCCCCATGCGGGGAAGAAACAGGCTAAGAAGGCACATTGGTTGGCGCAGCCTCCATGTGGCTTTAACAGCCCCCCCCCAATAAAAATAAAAGGCTAGTCATGAAGCAATCAAAAGACACCCCTGAATCCAAATTACATGTGCAAAGAGGAAGAGGAATATCTGGACTGGATCATAGTGGGGCTAAAAGGGTAAAAGCCCTGATCCAAATTGGGCTCCCCATGTGATTTTTTAAAAAAACTGCACTTTAAAGGCACACCTGCATAACAACAATGGAGCGCTGTCCTGAGCTGTCAGGGGTACTCCCCATCAAAGGAAGGTACCCAGAAGATAGGTAAAGGTAAAGGTACCCCTGCCCGTACGGGCCAGTCGTGTCCGACTCTAGGGTTGTGCGCTCATCTCACTCTAGAGGCCGGGAGCCAGCGCTGTCCGAAGACACTTCCAGGTCACGTGGCCAGCGTGACGAAGCTGCTCTGGCGAGCCAGCACCAGCGCAGCGCACAGAAACGCCGTTTACCTTCCCGCTATAAAGCGGTACCTATTTATCTACTTGCACTTAGGTGTGCTTTCGAACATCTAGGTGGGCAGGAGCTGGGACCGAACGACGGGAGCTCACCCCGCCGCGGGGATTCGAACCGCCGACCATACGATCGGCAAGTCCTAGGCACTGAGGTTTTACCCACAGCGCCACCAAGATAGTTAACACTTTATTGTCAAAGATAACACACCCAAGCTAGCATCTAGGCAGCTTTCCCAGGTCCACACTTTATGGAGCAGTTGCAGCAACAGGGGAGCACTCGCCCTTTACCAATTTATGTACCTTCCCCCGATGGGCTGTCAACACGCAGCCAGAGACTGTGCCTGCATGGCAACTTCCTCTGCTCTTCCCTTTTCAGCCCCCTCCTGGTTCTGGGAGACAGTGGTGCAGGAGAGGGTGGGGAAGCACCTGGCCCTTCACTTGCCTGATCTGCCTCTTCCTCTGACCCATCCTGTGCTCCACCCTCCAGCTCTGAAGCTTCCCGTGCCTCTTGACTCTTGCCTCCTGGCTGATACAGTTCCCCGCAGATCACTGACCCCCTCTCCCAAATCAGACTCCAGCTCCACTTCTCCCGGCGCACATTCGACCGTGTTCGGCAAGCCCCTGACCTGAGAAGTTGTTTGTGCATTACGGTGTATGAAATAATGTGTTTGAGGTCGTTACGGAAAAATCTAGGTGCGAGGCTGCTGAGTCACCCAGCTCGTCGGGCAGAGCCCGCGGGTCGCTGCGGAATAAAGGAAGGATTCCAGCCAACCGGAGCAAATAGCTGTAGACCAAAGTTTATTGCGCAATAGGTTCAAAGAGCAAATTTGAACCCCGAGGATGGGGCGACAAAGACTTTTAAAACTTTCCCACCATATCCCAGAATACAGTTCGTACAGCATCATTGCTACATCACTGACATGTCACAAAAGGGGAAGGGTTAACCTTGGCAAACAGGTCCAGACAAGTCCTTGTTACGAGATTAGCATAAGCAGACATGGCAGGGCAAGACTCAGGTATAAGATTAGCATAGACAAATATGTCTTAAGTACCTACCACCCAAAAGTACAATAGAAGTTCCTTTGCATGTCTGGAGCCTGAGGCAAGTCAGGTGATGAGATTTGGCTTCCCTTGGCTAACAATGAGCCCAGCAATTGTCACCTCTGGGAACTTCCTGGAGTCCTTTTTCAAGGGGAAAATAGCTTTGGAATGGAGGAAACTGGGAAAGGAGATGATTTTATATTATTTTTAAAGCTAGGTAACTTCCCTGAGCTGTCAAGTTGAAAGGATACATTTAGGCATAATATTTGTAATATTTAATTTAAAGATGTGGCCCCCCCGGTAATTTCCGTAACAGAGGTGTTATGTCTTTGCTCTTGTTTGTAACATCTGTTTTAAAATTAAAAGACTCCTGTTTTCTGCTTTGTTTGCTCTGTGTAGCCTGAAACGCGTGTTAGCAGGTCTGCAATGCATGCTTCGGCATCCGCAAGAATCATAAACATTTCCCGACCGGTACAGAAGAGAGAAACCTTGTGCTATGACAGCAGATACAAAGAGGCTCCGATCCGACACGTAATTCTGTTACTTTGGTTCTTTGGGATTTGAACTTCAGCCCCTGCCTTGTTTTTCAGGATTGCTTTTGGGAGAAGGGGAGGGCGGGGCGGGGAGGAGTAAAGGCACCCTAAATCTTTGATGAAGCACCTGTATATTCTCCTAGTTTTGTTAGGAATATACAGTGGTACTTTGGTTCTCAAACTTAGTCTGTTCCGGAAGTCCGGCCCAAAAACAAAGCTTTCCAAAACCAAGGCATGCTTTCGCATAGAAAGTAATGCAAAACGGATTAATCCGTTCCAGACTTTTAAAAACATCCCCTAGAACAGAAATTAAACATGAATTTTATTGTCCAACGAGACCATTGATCCATAAAATGAAAGCAATAAACAATGTACTGCAATCACACAATCAATCAATCGGTAGCTGAACGGGGTTCCACCAAGTCACAAAAACAAAACAAAAAGAGCCGCAAAAACAAAAACGCAAAATAAATAGCAAAAACAGACAGACCTCGGCGTAACACTCAAAACGGAAGTGTAACTCTCAAAATGGAGCATGTTCAGCTTCCAAAAAAAGTTTGCAAACCGAAACACTTCCGGGTTTGCAGTGTTTGGGTTCCAAGTTGTTTGAGTACCAAGGTGTTTGAGAACCAAGGGACCACTGTACTGAATATAATCAGTTGTGTGCTGTTCAGCAACAAACGCTCCTCCTTTGTTCCACAGGTGACCCGGGCTGCCTTGAATGCGGTGGCAAGTCCGAGGATAATAGAGCTTGCGAGAGCGAAAGCGCTGGCTCCGGGGAGTGCCCCTGACCGTCCCCCTGAGTGGCCTGTCTCAGCAGCGGCAAAACATGCTGTGGCTTCGCCTAGACTTGGTGAACTTGCTCAGCCTGTCGCAAGGTGGGACTTCCTGGGATGACTCGATGAATATGTTTTGCTTGCGCTCAGTCTGGTTGATTCTCAGATTTGAGGCGGCGGGGTGGGGTGGGGGTCAGGATAGAAGGGATCTGTTACCATCTTCTTCTGAGGTGCATAGCTTCACCCAGAAACTCCAGTGGGTGCAGAATGCCGCGGCGAGACTCCTTACGGGGTCCCCGCCGCAGGATCACATTTACCCAGTGCTTTTCCAGCTGCACTGGCTCCTGGTGGAGTACAGGATCAGGTTTAAGGTGCTGGTTTTAACCTTTAAAGCCCTATACGGCCAAGGACCCTGGTACCTACGGGACCGCCTCTTCTGGTATGCCCCACGGAGGACCTTATGGTCTGCAAATAACAACACCCTGAAGATCCCAGGCCCCAAGGAAATTAGACTGGCCTTGACCAGAGCCAGGGCCTTTTCGGCTCTGTCCCTACCCCCACCTCCCACAAAAGCCAGGGATAGCCACTAAGGCAGAAGCTAAAACAGCTAGAGGGAGCCCTTCTCCTGCCAACCTAGCAGTTCGAAAGCACACCAAAAAGTGCAAGTAGATAAATAGGTACCACTCTGGCGGGAAGGTAAACGGCGTTTCCGTGCGCTGCTCTGGTTCGCCAGAAGCGGCTTAGTCATGCTGGCCACATGACCCGGAAGCTGTACGCCAGCTCCCTTGGCCAATAAAGCGAGATGAGCGCCACAACCCCAGAGTCTGTCATGACTGGACCTAATGGTCAGGGGTCCATTTACCTTTACCTATCCCCGCCCAGCAGGTATAACAGGGTGGGATTGTTCTGTTACTACTTCAGATCCATTTTGTATCGCAGATCACTGTTTAGACTGACGACTACCTTCCCCCCGCAGGGCTGCGACCCAAATTGTCCAGTTTAACCCAGAAGCCTTTGTGGTGAAGGAGACTGCTAAGAAGGCATACTGCTCAGAAAGGGTCAAGGAGCTAGCGAAGCCAACCCAGCGCTGAGCTAATTCATCAAATGTACCTACCTCTCTCTACCTCCCAGGACCTAATTTTAAATAAATTAGGAGAATAACTGTGATTGCCTTCCTCTCTTTCTTTCCGCCACTATTTTGGGCACACTGGCAGACCCTCCAACATTTCTCCAATGAAAGTAGCAACGTCCTATTCCAAACCTTCCAACATTTCTCCAGTGAAAAGAGGGATGTCCTAAGGAAAAGCGGTACATTTCGGGAGCAAATCAGAAACTGAAACCGCTTCTGTAAATCCTGGACTGTCCCTGGAAAATAAGGACACTTCAAGGGTCTGAAATGGTGCTCAACTATTTAACAGCACAGAATAATTCTGTTAAATGTGTATTTTCTTCCACTATTTATTCAGTCTGTGCACACACTGCATTTTAAAGCGCATTCTGCATGCTGTACGCGCTGATCTTGACGCATCATCCTTATCCCAAACACATCCCACCCTTTTCAACTAAATGTGTTTTTTCTTGTTCTCAGTTTAGTGCAAAAGTGTAATGCTGTATACATTTGTATTGCTCCCTTGTGAGAATGACAAGGAGTGCATCTAGAGAAGATTTGTTTTGTGTGCGGGGAAATTTTTAATGTTAGATGTTTTATCGCCATATTATTATTATTATTAGTAGTAGTAGTATTAGTATTAGTATTAGTATTATCATCATCATCATCATCATTCTGTTGGGAGCCACCCAGAGTGGCTGGAAAAACCCAGCCAGGTGGGCAGGGTATAAATAAATTATTATTACTATTATTATTATTACTACTACTACTACTGCTACTACTCAGGGGCATAGCTAGGTGCTCCAGCACCCAGAGCGGTGGGGAGACGGGGCGATTCGCCCACGGGGGTGGGGCAATTTGCACATGGGTGCGCCGCAGTGATCCGTCCAGGGGGGCGCCACGGCAAGCTGCCCACGGAGTCCGCCTAGCGGACTCAAACCCCACGTTGCCATTTGGGGCAGCACAGGGCCCTGAGACACGCGTCACTCCCAGGAGATACGCGTGGATCAGGCGTGCTGCAGGCCAGGCCCTGCGGTAAGTCCCCCCCCCCGTGGTGTGCCATTTTGTCACCCCCTCAGGGATGACATCCGGGGTAGATCGCACCCCCTGCACCCCCCTTCCTACACCCCTGCTACCACTACTACTACTACTGTCACCAGTTTAGGACATAATGGCGATGTTCCTGTTGGATGTTCCCAAAGGTGATTCCTCCCCAAGTCCTTTACTATGCATGACATTGCAACCAGCATACATTTTGCTTCCAGCAAGCTGATTATGTGGTCATACCTTTTGCCTTTTGCTGCTCCCATGCATTGAGGAAGGAAATGGCAGAAGTTTCCAACAATGCTCCCACTGGCTGCAGCTGCCAGGGTGTTTGGGGGCAAACCTGGATATCCACAAAGACAACTACGTGATAGCCTCAGGAGCTCCTGGGAGCAAGTGCTGCACAAGATGGCCGTTCGTGGACCTCAGCAAACGGCAACAGAGTACTGCAACAACTCCATTTGTAGTGCAAGCATGGTGGTTGCTCATCATTTCTGACGTCCTCGAATCAATCCAGTGAGACAACACCATGGGATATTTTTGCTCCCATGAGTGTAACTCAAGGATAATGGAGAAAGTACTGTCCCATCTCTCCCCCCCCCCCCCAGTTATTCTGGATTTCCTAATTTCCATACCGTATGCTTCATTTTGGTGAAATGCGTATACAAATCCTCATTTGTGAAATAGTGATGTTAACATTCCATTTTACAACATCTTTCCTGTTACGCATATCAGCATGCAATTAATTGGCATGGTTTGCTTTCACTGTCTTGTGGCTTCACTTTTGTTTTCCGTAATTAATGGATGTAGCAATACTGGCTTCCAGAACTTTAAAAAACCCAACATACAGTGGTACCTCGCAAGACGAATGCCTCGCAAGACGAAAAACTCGCAAGATGAAAGAGTTTTTCGTTTTTTTAGTTGCTTCGCAAGACGAATTTCCCTATGGGCTTGCTTTGCAAGACGAAAACGTCTTGCGAGTTTGTTTCCTTTTTCTTAAAACCGTTAATACCCGTTAAAACCGTGCTTCGCAAGACGAAAAATTCGCAAGATGAAAAAACTCGCAGAACGAATTAATTTCGTCTTGCGAGGCACCACTGTATTTGCAACCAAAAATATTCGTTTTGAAACGCAGGTTCTATTTCTGATTTCAGCGACTGATTTTAATGAAACTCTTTCCTGAATTCCAGTCCCAAGCCCTAGTTACATACAAGCACATTGATTTAATAAGAACCCTGCTGGGTCAGGACAAAGATCCTGTTAGCATGCTGTTCTCATGGTGGCCAACCAGACACCCATGGAAAACGTGTAAGAAAGCCCTGAGTGCCACAGCCCTGTTCCCACTTGTGATTCCCAGCAAATGATAGAGCCGTACTGCCTCAGACAGCGAAATTTCAATGGCATGTATCCAACTCACTCATGGGAATAATTTTTAAACATACCATTACTTCACCTCAGCTGGCTCTGAGGGGGGTCAAGTCACCACCAAACATTTCAAAACACTCTTCTTCAGATTTCTATCAAAATTCACAGTGTATTGGTTTAAACATCAGTAAGTGCTTAATCAGCAAGCCCCTTCTCCAACTAGAGATATAAATGTGGACTTTGTAGTGGTTGAATGGACTTGGTTCTGGCTATGCATAATATTATAGAACTGTGAAACTGAGGTGAAGAGGTGAGCTATTCTTATCTGTATAGACCAGAGGTTTCCAAACTTATTTGGCCTAGGATTCTCTTTTCCGGGAAAAAAAATATATTACTCAGCACTCCCTTGGAAATCTACCTTCTTTAAGGGAACAAACAGAAAGATGCAGTGACAAATTTGCATTCTCTTATGTATCTCTATTTCTACCTATATTTCTCTGTAAGACAGAGTTGTTCCGCCTGGCCTTTGGCTTGGAATCAATTTGATTCCCTTCCCCTCTTTCTTTTTTCCTTTCTCCTCCTGTGATGGAGCTTCTATTTGGGGACTTCCCTGGTTTTTTCCTGGCCAATGTAGGACCAGTCTGGATAGTTAGCCTTAGTGAAGACTTGATGTTTTCATCCCCAAAAAAACGTTTTTGATTTTAGTTTCCATTGAAATGAGGCTGCATTTTAATTTTAATGTTTTAATGTTGTATTTTAATCTTGTTTTTTAAGTTATATTTCAATCAATTTGTTTTTATATCAGTTGTTAGCCGCCCTGAGCCCAGTCTTGGTTGGGGAGGGCGGGGTATAAATAAAATTATTATTATTATTATTATTATTATTATTATTATTATTATTACCTACCCCCTACAACATTTTGTGTGTTGATTTGGAAAATAATCACAGCGACTTTTACTCTATGTTACATGTACAAATGGTTTTCCAACATTTTCTTCTTTCATTATGCTTCCACCACTCCCTTTATTTTTATTCAACACTTCCCAATTGCATCCAAGGCTACTACCGCCCCCAGCACCCCGCAGGGAGCAATACAGTGGTACCTCGGGTTACATACGCTTCAGGTTACATACGCTTCAGGTTACATACGCTTCAGGTTACACACTCCGCTAACCCAGAAATACTGCTTCAGGTTAAATACTTTGCTTCAGGATAAGAACAGAAATTGTGCTCCAGCGGCGCAGCAGCAGCAGGAGGCCCCATTAGCTAAAGTGGTGCTTCAGGTTAAGAACAGTTTCAGGTTAAGAACGGACCTCCGGAACGAATTAAGTACTTAACCTGAGGTACCACTGTATTACCTACTTTGAGAAACCCTGCTGCTGGCCCTTCTTGGCTTCTGTTTCTTGGTCATACGAGAACACCAGGGGTGGACTTTTCGATGATAAACTGACAGGCTGACCAAATCAACCAGAAGCGTGCATATCCAGTCTGATTTAACTTCCATTTTTATTCACACATCTGGAGGGAAATACTCCTTTTAACTTAGAGGGCACGCCTTTCGGAAGACAATAAAATAAATGCGGCAACGGCGTAAGCATGCACAGGTTTTCATTCAGTAACACTGGCATCAAATGAAGTATGGGCACGATCCAATCCTGATACTGGGTAGCATGGGCGCTCGTACCTGCATGCTAGGCACTTTACACCAAACCATCCAAGGTTAGTGGACTAACGTCGAACAAATTAAGGCCAGGGATCTGGGGAGTGGGGCTGAAGAATCTGGCTGCACTGACCAATAGTGGGTCGAGATACATTGATATCAGTTATCAGTTTGCACCTGTCTGGGGCTAGTGAGACTAGATGTCCTGCTGCAGGGATTTTCCCTAGTGTGCCGTGGTGGAGGGTGTCTTCATGGTGCCCAGGGCATGTGGGCATGGCCCAACCCTTGCTGCCGACGCAACGCCCAATGTTCAGTTTGGTTTCCTGCAGGCTACCTCTCTGCATTCATCATTGCCTACACACTGAAATCGCACCCCAACTTTTTGTCAATGCAGTTGGTTTTCTCAATGCTGTTTTCCTGCGCTCCGCAAGTGAGCTCGTTTTTTGAGATCCGGTGGCAGGCGATGGACAGACCATTTTCCCCTGCTAAGTCTTCTCATTCATATTATTAGCTTTGCCACGAATCAAGGGGAATATTACATTAATCCTAAACTACTCCATGCCACTTTGAAAGGAGCCGCAGCCAGCGGCAGTTGCAGCTCTTCCTTTATAATTTCTATACAAGAATACATTACAACTTGCATATATATATCTATATGGTTTTATATAATTATTTACCCCCCCCCTCAGGTTATGTACATTTTAAATAAGGCAGCAGGTTAAATAACAGACACAATTAGTTTTGATAGTAACATGTTCCGCAGCATGAATTAATTGTTGGACGCCATCAGCTTTCTGGGATTGTCTCTGGAAGGAGAGTTCAAGTCAGTCTCGGACAGACCCACACTCCGAAGGCAGCCCTTCTGACCTCCTCCACTCCGCAAGGCGCTTCTTGAACCATTTCTGGGGAAACAAGAGACATGGCAGGATGAAAACAGAGAAACTGAGCTGGCACAACAAATGCAGATGAGGGCATATGGTAATTTCACTGAGGGTGAGCTGCTGGGAGTGCAGAATGCACAGGAAGAAGAATGCTGAGTCAGGGATGGTCTAGTTCAGGGTTTCTCAAACTGTTCTTGAACTACAGTTCCCATCATCCTTAGCTAGGAGGACCAGTGGTCAGGGATGATGGGAATTGTAGTCCAAAAACAGCTGGAGACCCAACTTTGGAAAACACTGGTCTAGATACACAGCAGAATGTGATGGTAGATCCGGGGGACGGGACAGTGAGTGGACTGTACCACTTCCACTTCATACTGCAGGGGGGTATTATATATTTTAGAATGTCCTTTGGGGGGGGAAGGTCCTGCAGGTGAGCAAATTCACACATCAGGGAGAAAGGTTGCCGCACAATCCACTTCCTGCTAGCTTTCTACATGCAGAGAGGGTCCTCATCCCAGGACAAGAGAATTTTAAAAATATGGTCCTCCACTTGCAGCTTGAAGTGGTACAGTCCATTCTAGAACTGCAAGACTCCACCACTCCATTCCTACTTCCTTCTGCTGCATTGTAGATTAGGAGCCAAACCTAATCTACACTGCACCTGTGCCTTAAAAATTACACTTACAAATTGCAATTCTCGCTCCTCAGCAAAAGCTGTTATGGGAGCGGGATAATCTAGATTGGGACTACAATGCGTCAGCGAGAGAGTTTAATCCTTCCTCTTTGTGCTATTTTCCTCTCGTCTGTTATTTGCTGCAAATCGGGCTGTCAAAGGTAGAAGGGAACATTGCTCAGTAGTTATGAATTTCTGTCCCGTGCGGCTGCAGGCTGTTGTTTTTGGACAATAAATATAATCAGACTAAATAGGAAGCAGTGACTTTTTTAGAACATGGAGGAAACAAGACATTCTCAGGAAAGGAAAAAGAGCAGAACCAGAATAGCAGACTAGGGGCTGCTATCTCAAAACCCATATTGTGTATACTTTAGATTTTCATACATTTTATACTGCAATGGTTTGGGGAAAAACAAACCTTGAGTTTCAGTGCTGAAAAGCCTAATTTGGGCTTCAGCTGAGTGACGTAGATCTGACATATGTGACTGAAGGGAAGGCAGCCTCCCCTCGGGCCTGACTTGAGCCAGCGAGAGACCTAGAGTTTCTGCTCATCACAACGGGGATCTCATGTTTGTATCAAGTTTCCCACTCACAATCCTGGCCAATTTGCTCTCTTATTGCTTGGAATCATGACAGTTATAAAATAACCCCAACTCCTTGTTAATGGCGGGTGCCGTTGGCATTAGAAGTACGAAATTCACCACATGGTGGGCAGGATGAACCACTAGCAACATGATTGGAGATACCCTAGAGAGGTACTGAAACCCTGTTAGGCCAGCGCTGTGTCGCTTGATTGCTCAAAAAGTTGATGATTCATAGCTGAATGAATGGTCCCTAATGGAATGAAAACCACTGAGGGCCAGATTAGATTCACCTTTAAAAAAATAATTAAAAATCACATGCCTATCTTGTTCATTAAGAGGCTTGTTGGGGTGGAAGTCTAATTTTAATTAGAGACAGGGGTTGGATCTTCCCGCCAAACCTGCTTTTCCTTCTTTCAATCCATCACTACAGACACATCATGCTGGGAGGAAAAGCACAATCGGGGAAGTAAGGAGAAGTTTTTTCTATTTATTGTGATTCAGCAATCATGGCTGGCCTTGTCACACCCCCACCCACCCACCCCCATTCACCACTTCTAGTTTGGCCCTGAGGTAATGTGAGGTGGGGACATAGAGACCCTGTCCATGGTTCTGCTGACCAGTTCACATGTCCAAGTCACCACTTGCTGTTGCAAACGTTGAGAAAGACAAACATCTTTCTTGGGAGAGAATCATAGAATTGTAGAGTTGGGAGGGACCCTGAGGAATATGCACTATATAAATGTCAGGGAACTGCCATCGGAAGGAAGGGAGGTGAAAGGACTCAGACAGGTTGGAAGAGATTCAGCAGCTGAAGAGGGAACCAGCAAGGGGAGAGAAGCTGAACTGAGGGAGGTGAAAGGGCTCAGACAGGTTGGAAGAGACTCAGCAGCAGAAGAGGAAACCAGCAGGGGGAGAGAAGCTGAACTGAGGGAAAGGGAGCTGGGGGGATGGCTCAGAGATACTTCCAGCGAAAACAGTGGTGAGGTTTCCGGACCTCCTGTAGCGACACCCACTCCTCGCCGGAAACTGTCACGCAGAGAGTCCAGAAGACGTGTTTCCGTTAAGGAGCTTTTATGTTGGAAGCGATTACGAAAGCAACCACTGTCGGAATCTTCTAGTGACTAGAGGAGCCATGTCAGAGGGGCTCAGTCACAGACAGAGGTTTGTGGACTTGAACAAACTCTGAGGGAATACGATTTTACGCACAAGCAGCTCATAATCCCATCACAATAAAGGTAAAGGGTAAAGGGACGCCTGACCATTAGGTCCAGTCATGACCGACTCTGGGGTTGTGGCGCTCATCTTGCTTTATTGGCCGAGGGAGCCGGCATACAGCTTCCGGGTCATGTGGCCAGCATGACTAAGCCGCTTCTGGCGAACCAGAGCAGCACACGGAAACGCCGTTTACCTTCCTGCCAGAGCGGTACCTATTTATCTACTTGCACTGCGTGCTTTTGAACTGCTAGGTTGGCAGGAGCAGGGACCAAGCAACGGGAGCTCACCCCATTGCAGGGATTCGAACCACCGACCTTCTGATCCACAAGCCCTAGGCTCTGCGGTTTAACCCACAGCGCCACCCGCATCCCTGAGGATCATCTAGTCCAGAGCTTTTTAAACTTTTCATGTTGGTGACACACTTTTTGGACACATATCATTTCATGACACATTAATTCAGTTTCAATAGCAAACCGGAGGTTAAACTAACCCCTTTCCAGCCCCGGGAGCATTCGCACAAAACACCTACACACTGCAGCTGACACACTAATGTGTCGCCACACACAGTTTGGAAAACTTTGATCTAGTCCAACCCCCTGCAATGCAGGAATATATAGCTGTCCCATTTTTAATGGGTCTTTTTTCGATGTTTGATGTTTTATTATGTGTTTATATGTGTTGTAAGCTGCCTGCCAGAGTGGCTGGGGCAACCCAGCCTGAATGGGCAAGGTATAAATAATAAAATTATGATGATGATGATGATTATATGGAGATCAAACCTGCAACCTTGGCGTTATCAGCACCACACTCTAACCAACTGAGCTATCTCCAGCCAGTGGGAGGCTGTGGTTAGGAAGACACTTTGAAAGCACTGAGACCAAGGGAGAGGCTATGGTCCCTACAGGCCTGGATCCTGGGGTCAGAGCTGGCCTTTGCGTTCTGCGGCTCAGTCACTCACCAGAGTCTCTTCCTCAGACAGTCCTGCCTCAGCAGCTATGAGGCAAAGGGTGGCTGGGTCCGGGTGCTTGTTGACTTTGTTGAAGTTATACTCCAGAATCTCTATCTGTTCCTCTGTGGGGCTGGTTGCCGTTTCGGTGGACATCTTCTCTTGGCACAAGTTTGCTTGCAACAGGGAGCTGCGGAGAAAAGCATAGGGACAGCAGAGTCAAACCCTCATGTAGTTAATTACCCAATCACCCTCTTTGGTGCAACTGAAACAATTTTTGAGGGGATGCTGCCTTACTGAGTTCTACTGTTGGTCTATCTAGTTCGCAATTGTCGACACTAGTGTTCTTCAATCTTTGGTCCCCCCAGACTTTGTTGGACTACAACTACCATCATCCTTGATCATCTGGGGACCCAATGTTGGAGAGCACTGGTCTACACTGACTGCCAGTGACTCTTCATGGGTTCAGATAGGAGTCTTGCCTGCCAATGCCAGACAGGGAATCTGGGACCTTCTACATGCCAAGCCAGTCTACCACTGAGCTAAGACCCTTCTCAAAAATTGTCCAATCTTGCCATTCATCATTTAAACGTGAAATGCTGAATTTGTAATCTGCATGTACGATCGCCCTGTGTAAAATCCAAAGCACGGGTGCTTCACCGTTAATGACAACTTCAGCTCATTTGTGGTGAAACTATCAACTGAGAAACAAATAGCTCTGAAGGCTAGATTCTGCTCACGATTCGCAAGACCATTTTATTTAGCATTTCCCACTTTGTGTTTAGAGTGAATGAAGAGATCAAGCTCCTTGCTGAGAGGACCTGGGCAGGCCAATCCGATGGTTTCTGCTCATAGCTGTCAACGTTTCCCTTTCTTTAAGGGAAATTCCCTTATACTGAATAGGATTCCTCGCAAGAAAAGGGAAAAGTTGACAGCTATGCTTCTGCTACACCAGCCCTGCAAGCTGCAGTTTAAGTCACCGTCCTCTGTACACCTTGACAGCAAAATACAAAGCACGGGAAGAGTTGTGGTGTTGATGCAGTGCAGCCACACCGACAACAATTCCTGCAGAATCTCTGGAAGTTCCTTCAAGTCACTCGCCACCCACACAACATGCCCAATGCATAGCACAAAAGCAACATGTGGCAACGACCAGGCATCACCATGACGTCAATGCACCCAAAGGCCTGCTCCTTCATATATTGTGTGCATTTGTGCAGAAAGACGTCTCGCGAGCGCACGCACAAGCACTCGGACATCCCATTCTGTCCCTGTCAAGGTCACCCACTTTTTGAGGTGGTGCTAAAGCGAGGCGGAATACCCGGAATTGGCTGTTCTGTTTATAAATAGCGTGTTGGTTTTATGTTTGCTGAGCTGCATCTGAAACCAAACCCATTTCCTCATTTCTCAAAAAAGGACTCTCCTGAATTAGGAATGGGTAACTCAGTAAATAATTCAGCAGACAAGGAAAGAATTATATTGTTAGGGTTGCTGTGGCTCATGATTCCCTAATGGATTGCAATTTCTCCTGCTTGGTGGCCGGTGTGGTTTTCCCCCCAGTTTTAGAAATTTAAATGTGTAGGACTTAACAGCATATTATTCGCAAGAACTTTCAACACAGTCTTTAAAAAAGAAAAAAGAAAGAACAGAAGAACAGCCTCAGCGGGGGGAAATTTGGAGCTGAGAAGCAGCTCCAAAAGTTTAGGGGGGTGATGTTTAACCTATAGCTTTGTCACCCCCAAATCACCCTCCGAGCTGCTGTTCAGAACTGACATTTGACCTTATTTTGACTTCAACAACTGGAAGGGGAAAAAAAATCACTGGAGGTAATTGGGAGTAGAGAGTCTAGTAGGCAAGCTTTGGCCTTTCATATAGGACTTCTTCCAGAGTTGTAGCTACGGGGTGGAAGGAGGGTCTGGCCAGGGTTTTTGCCCCAGGTGAAGCCTCCAGAGGGGTGTCATTAAGGCTGTGTGTGTGTGTGTGTGTGTGTGAATGTGCATGGGGGCGCCAAATTGGGTCTTTGACCTGGGTGAAATAAAGCCTACTTTCGCCACTGCTTCTTCGGGGATGAATACCAGGGATGACTGAGATCTATACCATGCATTTAAGGCACATCCAACACACATTTAAAACACATAACTTCCCCCAAAGAATCATGAGAACTCTGGTTTTCCCCTCACAGAGCTACAATTCCCAGCATCCTTAACAAGCCACAGTTCCCAGGATTCCTTGGGAAAAGTCATGTATGTAAATGTATGTTGGATGTGCTTTAAACATATGGTTAGATCTGCCCACAGAAATACAGAAATTCATGGAGGAAAAATGGGATCTGTGACGCCTGCCTAGAACATCCTTAGAGTTCTGGTTACGGTAACTCAGTCCCTAGTACCATTTTTCAATATCAAACTGCTCTGTGCTGGCATTATTTGGAAACACAGTAAAACTGCTAAAATGTAGTAAAACTGGTACTGACTCTCACTCATCCTCCCCAGGCTTTTCAGCTGTTCCTTCCCACCTTCAGAGGTTTCAACCACAACCCTTGAAAGCTTTTTGGGGGAAAGCAGGAAAGCAGTTTTGGGGATGTTGATGCAGACTCTGGTATCAGCATTTCAGAAGCAGCAAAACTGAGACGCAGAATGGCAAAGAAACTTCACCAAGGTTAACAGAGAAGCGCAAAGCCACAGAAGGAAATTGATTACATCTCCTGTCTCCAAATCTATCTAAACCACCGGACGTGATGCTCTTTGGCAATATTTAAGCCTCTGCAGAGAGATACAAAAATAACACCAAGATATCCTTTGTATCCTTTGAAAGTGATTTTCTTTTTTTACCGTTATATGACTTTGATGCTGTTGGTGGATCTTCTTTGAAGTAAACACAACAAAGAGCCTTGAAGATTAATGAACTGTTGCACAAACTTTGGTGGACTAATGTCCACTTCATCAGATGCGTGAAGGTTAATCCTGAGCATGCATGTACACGGTACACATGTTCAGAAGGCACTGGAATCCCAAAAGTACAGACAGTCAGCTCTTTCAGACGTCCTCCTTATTGCGCATTCATCAGGATTTGCACTCACAATGGTATTAGGGCAATCATCCGTGATCCTGCTTTTAATATTATTTGCACCTGCAAAATTTTGGGGGGGAGCTCATACCCCTTCATTTCCATTCAGTGCACATTGTGCAGCTTTATTCAAAATCCTATAGCTTTTCATGCCACTAATGTCTGTGAGTCTCACTTCTTTTTTGCACCACAGGCCTTCCAGATAGCAATAATATGGTAACAATGGAGAAGCATGTGTATAAAAGAGGGTGCAGAGAAAGGTTTCCAAGGAGATGGGAAAAGCTACAGCCCAAGTCCTGCCCATGTTCTGTCATTGCCCATCCTGCTAGTTGAACAAAAGGGATAAAGCAGCAAAGTATCGGACCTGTAAAAGGGATGGCGAAAACTGATAGCGATAAAACCAGCAAGACTTGCACACTAAAGCCTCTCCTCCTCCCAGAAGGGAGGGGTTGTGAGCAGGAGCCGATCCCTGCATCACGCAGGAGGCGTTCTGCCCCCTGCCCTCTCATCATCGCTGGCGCGCCACGCCTCCCAGTTGGGCACCCAATTGGGTGACACCGCGGGGGCGTGGTTTAGCCGCTCAAATGTGGCCGCGTCAGCTCTCCCTGCCATTGCACCACTCATTTTCACGAGTCACCCACCCACCACTCCCTTTAGTGCGTAGCTTCTCGCTTGACCTTGCTATGGGCCCATGGTTGGTCGCCCTGGTTGCCCAGGGGGCCCGGTAGGAGTTTTTTTGAATTGGCGAATTGGCACCGGCCTCTTGGTTTTTCCCCACCTACCTCGTAGCAATCGTCACAACTTTCTTGGTATTTGGCGGTTAGGCATTGGAATGTGTTGTTGGTGTATGGAAGGGCAAGGTGTGGCCATCGCCTACCCCTTCACTTTTGGGTATTCCATTAAAGGAATCCGGCGGTCGTGGATCCTGTCCGATGCCCTGTGTGGCGGGGGGGGGGCATGGCACGACCCCCGGTGACGTCAGGGGAATGCTTGTAGTTGTATTTGCATCAACAGGCTCCCCCTACTGGTGGTTAACCCCTTGTCAGACTCACCCCTCTCCGAGTGGGTGGAGTCAAATTTGGAGTTGTCCAATGCCTAAGCCAATACCTTCTCACCTGCTGTAATCAATAAAGTTGTGGCCTTTTCTTGCCCATTAACCTAATATACTGTGTCCACATGTCTTTATTATTCCCAAGCGGGGGACGGGTCCTCGAATCACAAGCCTCCTGCCTTGAAACACCCTAATAAAGCAAAACAAATGCACCACAAATGCTCTATGACAAGGACAGGTACTATATATTGCAGAATACACCTGCAGTAAACATCAGTCTGGAGAGACCCAATGATTGTTATCTTATTAACCGTGATTGTTCACAAAAGAGGCTTTTGTAACAGATAGTGCAGACAACCCAATAAGCCAACTAACAAGTACTTTAGTGATAAAAATCCACTGGGCAGAGACTGTTCCTTGAAGCGACTTGCCTAATTCACTCCCCCGGAGAGCCAGTGTGGCCTAATGGTTAGAGCGTTGGACTCAAACCCGGGAGAGAAGGGTTTGAATCTCCACTCAGCCATGAGGCTCACTGGGCATCCTTGGGCCAGTCGCAATCTCATAGCCTGTAAATCAGGGTTCCTGTGAGGATGAAATGGGGAGGAGGAGAACCATGTACACCACCTCGGGGTCCCTGGAAGATAAAGGTGGTGTATTAATTAATTATAATTAATTAATTAAATACCCTGAACATGGCAGCTCCCATCCTGCTGATTCTCCCAGGTTTAAAAGTGAACTGGGGATTTAAATCAGGGATTTAAAGTAAGGTTAAAAAAAAGGAAAAGGACCCCGGATGGTTAAGTCCAGTGAAAGGCGACTCTGGGGTTGCGGCGCTCATCTCGCTTTCAGGCCGAGGGAGCCGGCGTTTCTCCACAGATAGCTTTCCGGATCATGTGGCCAGCATGACTAAACCGCTTCTGGCGCAACAGAACACCGTGACGGAAACCAGAGAGCACGGAAATGCCGTTTACCTTCCCGCCACAGCGGTACCTATCTATCTACTTACACTGGTGTGCTTTCGAACTGCTAGGTTGGCAGGAGCTAGGACAGAGCAACGGGAGCCCACCCTGTTGTGGGGATTCGAACCGCCGACCTTCTGATCGGCAAGCCCTAGGCTCTGTGGTTTAGACCACAGCGCCACCCTCGTCCCATTTTTAAAGTGCAGCATGGTTGGGTGGGTTGGGGAAGATGACTTACTTTTTTACCTGAAACTGATGGTTTCTGCAGAGTTTCGTTCTCCCCTTCCTAAAGAATGCAAAACGAAGCAAAACAAAATGCACAGTCAGCTGATCTGTGCTCATGGGGAAAGATTGAAGTTGCTCCTCATATCCAAATTCAAGTCCTTGTGGGTATGGACTATTCTGGTCTAATGTGAAGCGGAGGAAATTGGATAATGCTAACTAATGCTCCAAGGTGGACCAGCCCGGTATTTCTAGGGTTGAAGACTTAATCCTGCACACGAGCAGATTGGCACATCCAGTTTGGCTGGCAGCAAAGGTTCATGTCAGTAAATTGTGACACCCCCACCACAATGCGTTCCATAAATAGAACCTGCAAGAACCAATTCGGAAGTCAGTGAAGCAAACAACTCTGTAGGCAGGAAGCCTATTGAAAGAGGAATATCTTAGACATCCTTCATGCTACACTTAAACTGCAGGTTTGTTTCTTTTATGAAGATGGCATCATCTGTGTGGGTCTGATAATTATCAGGAGCATAGTAGGAGTTGGTAGGGAAATTTAACCCCTTCCTCCCCATTTTGTGGTCCCAAGGGGCAGCCCTCCTCTGACCTGCTACTTGCATTAAGAAGAAACCCCCCATTGATCTCTCCTGGGGATTTTCAAAGCAAATACTAGCTTCAGAAGAGGGATCCTCCTCAGGTCTGTGGCAGGATTAATTTTCCAGCCCATGCCTGCTGCAGTCCAGATAATTATTAGCACCACAGCTGATGCCATTTGCATTTCTTTTAAGCCACACACAACTGCACCTTACATGCAAAGAGCTACTTGATGCCTACTTTTGTTTTCCCCTCAAGCCGTATCTACCATGCTGACAGAGCGCTTAGCAAACTCGCATTTTAAAATATGAAATCCGTGTTTTGCCTAACAAATGCGAACGGGAATGTTGAGGACTGTAGGAAGCACGTGCAAGCTTGGTGATGCCCCCTTCAATTCTGTCTGAACAGCCTTTACTCAAATACAGTTTTATATACCGTATTTTTTGCTCTATAGGACGCACTTTTCCCCCTCCAAAAATGAAGGGGAAATGTGTGTGCGTCTTATGAAGCGAATGCAGGCTCCTTGGCTTCAGTGAAAGCACTGCAAAGCCTCCAAAGCGCAGAGGGAGAACTCCCTCCGTGCTCCGGAGGCTACACGTTGCTTTCACTGAAGCCTGGAGAGCGAGGGGGTCGGTGTGCACTGACCCCTCTCACTTTCCAGGCTTCAGGGATAGCTGCCTGAAGCCTTTGGAGTGCAGTGGGAACTCGCGCTGTGCTCCAAAGGCTTCGGGTTCCTTTCGCTGAAGCCGGGAGAGCAAGCGAAAGGAACCCGAAGACTTTGGAGCGCAGCGCGAGGTCCCGCTGCGCTCCAAAAGCTTGGAGTTAGCTGCGCAAAGCCTCCGCAGGGCAGCTGGGTGCCTTCACCCTGCTGCTCTGCAGAGGCTTCAAAGGCTGTCCCCAAAGCCAGAACAGGGAGACGGAGTGCTGCGCAACACTCCGTCTCACTGTTCTAGCTTGGGGTTAGCTGCGCAAAGCCTCCGCAGGGCAGCGGGGTGAAGGTACCCCGCTGCCCTGCGGAGGCTTGAAAGGCTGTCCCCAAAGCCAGAACAGCGAGACGGAGCGCTGCACAGCGTCTCGCTGTTCTAGCTTGGGGATGCCGGGGCTTTATGGGGAAACTCCGGGCTTCCCCCTTCAGCCCCGACACTGATTCGATTCAAAATATTTTTTACTTGTTTTCCTCCTCTAAAAACTAGGTGCGTCCTTTGCTCGGGTGCGTCCTATAGAGCGAAAAATACGGTAACTCCTGCATTCGCCCCAATGATCATTCGCTACCTGCTAACAGCAACCGGCTGACCTGGCACTCCCAAGGATGGAGCCGTAGAGCACACTGGGCTCATTCACCAAAGGTTGTTTTGGGATTGTTCTGTCCCCAATTTGAATAGAAACTTAATCCCGGACCAGCCTGTCTTCCAGGAAGCCCAGCTTTGTTGCTCGCTCTTCCCTGCCCTTGTCGACACTGGGCTCACTCAGCAACCCTTTGGCAGCTCTTGGGTCCCGAGGAGAGAATAGCTATGCTGTGGTGCTCAGCCCCCCTGCTAAAAGCTCGAGTAGGCCAAGGTTGGCTCTGCATATTAATTCGCTGAGCGGTGCCAGCAAAGAGCCGTGGCAATGTGTCAAGTGCCACAGTGTCTTCTTCCAGTGAAACCAAATCAGCGAGAATAGGTTGGAGAGTTAGGGCTCTTCCGGACAATTCTGTTGTGATGGCCTGGGAATCCGATTCAGAGGCTGAACCGGAGGAATCCCAGCCTGCACAGGAGTCCCCGCCTCCAGGGCCGGCTGAGCTGGGGCAGGGCCTTGATTCTGAAGCGCCTGCACCTGTGCCGGATCCTCAGGAGCAGGCACCATGTGAATCCACTCTGGCTCCGGAGGTGGTTGAGGACTCAGTGCCTACAGGTGAGTCTCCCCCTGGGTCCAGTAACCCTTCAGCCTCTCCTGAAATGCAGAGGCTCAGGGCAGAGAGGCGGAGGGAACTAGTTTCTCCCAGGAGGAGTGCTTGCCTTAAGGCCAGGAGAGGCGGGTCTCCTGGGGGCCGGGACCGCCCCTGGCCTCAGAGAAGATAAAGGCCAGTCAGCCCGGTCCCAGGTTGCGGGAGCAACGTCGTTGAAGAGCTGTTTCGGCCAGCATCCAGTCCTGTTCCCCCAGAGTTTCTGTCCTTGCCCGGCTTCTCGCTGTGGACCCCGCTTCGCCCGTGGAGGACTGTCTGCCGACCCTCAACTCAGGTCCTGGACCTCGCCCCACGGTAATCTCCCCCCTGGACCAGCACATCTGTTTATCGTGCACTCATGATTCTTTCATACCCCTCAACTGCCCCAATTAAATCGGGACATCCTGGTTTGGGGCACCATGCATAGTGCACAAAAACACGCAGGATCGCAAATCATGTGACTCACATGGGAGCGGGGCCAGGAAGACACGAGTCCTGGTTTTTGGCATTAACATGTTGGAGGGGGTGCTATTAGTGCTCATGATATATTATTGGGGTGGTTATGCATGATCCCACTTTCAATGTCCGTTTGAACATACTGAGTCATTTCCAACCCAAGAGTTCAGTGCATCATCATTTATTGGTCATTTATTGGTTTTTAATGGTCTTACATTGGCTTGTGTGTGGTCTATCGTCCTGCTGTATTTTTAGGGAAAGTGTGGTCTGTAAACATTTAAATAAATAATTTATACTGATGTTTTTATTGACTTTGTTGTCATTTTGAGCACTGCATACTGCCTTCCTGCATTTTTACAAAAAAGTGTGATCTATACATATTTTAAATAAATACATAAATAAATTTATAATGCCTGAATGGGGATGAAACTAATATAGAGATTTATGTGGAATGTCAATTGGCAGAGGGTTGGTGGGGTGTGGGGGTTATGGTCTGGCTGACTACTCCTCTCTCTTTATTTTTATTTAATTTCTTGCACTTCTATACTACCCAATAACCAAAGTTTTCTGGACTGTTTAAACTAAAAATATTTAAATCATGATGCACAATGCACATGACATCTGAGATAGAGCACAGTATAGAGTCAAAACGTACAACAGAAGAGACAGCTGTGCAAATGATCTCAAATGCACTTTCTGAAAGGCCTGAAAGGACAATACAAAAGGTTTCACCTGCCGCTGACAATACTACAATGTGGGCCTTAGGAGAGCCTCCCTGGAGATGGTATTCCACAACTGAGGCACCACCCCTGAAAAAGCCCTATTCCCATTAGTCATCTGTCACCCCTCATTGCATAGGTATAGCTGGAGAAGGGCCTCTGAAGATGACCTTACGGTCCAGAAAGGTGTGGATGTGCGTATCCTCCAGGTCGCTTGGCCTCAAGCCACTTCTAGCTTTAAAAGTAAACATGAGAATTTTGAACTGGGTCTCCTGGAAACAGACTAGTAGCCAGTTCTGACAGCATAGTGCCAGAATAATCTATATTGGCCAGTCCCAGTGAACAGCGTGGTGGCGCTATTTTGAACTAACACAGGTTCCTGTGCCCTTTTGAAAGGCAGCTCCATGTAGTGGCCTAGCATGGGTTGCCAGGGCCCAGGGCCATGCAGTTGGGTGTGGGAAATGGACAGAGTACACATGCGCCTAGCAGCGCCCGCCTCACCCAGGACGAAATGTTGGCAGGTATGTTGGAGTCATGAGGCCCCAGAGCCAGGGAGATAAGTAACTATACAACCTTCAGAAGACATCTGAAGGCAGCCCAGTATAGGGAAGGTTTTTTTAAAAAATGTTTGATGTTTTATTATGTTTTTATGCATGTTGGAAGCCGCCCAGAGTGGCTGGGCAACCCAGTCAGATGGGCGGGGTATAAATAGTAAAATTATTATCATTATTATTATGGAATAAAGGTAAAGGGACCCCTGACCATTAGGTCCAGTTGTGACCGACTCTAGGGTTGCGGCGCTCATCTCGCTTTACTTGCCGAGGGAGCCAGCATACAGCTTCCGGGTCATGTGGCCAGCATGACTAAGCCGCTTCTGGTGAACCAGAGCAGCGCATGGAAATGCCGTTTACCTTCCCGCCGGAGTGGTACCTATTTATCTACTTGCACTTTGACATGCTTTTGAACTGCTAGGTTGGCAGGAGCTGGGACCGAGCAACGGGAACTCACCCTGTCATGGGGATTCAAACCGCCGACCTTCTGATCAGCAAGTCCTAGGCTCTGTGGTTTAACCCACAGCGCCACCCGCGTCCCGATATTATGGAATAGGACATACCTATTTTTATCAGAGAAATGTTGGAGGGTATGGTACATGTGTGTGCACCAACTCCGACACACCCACACCCCAACTGAATTTTTAGTCTGGCTGTGCATCTTCCACAGCTGGCTGCTGGCCCAAACAGTAAAATTCTGGTCAGGCCAGTAAAATCCCTAAGCAAGTGGCACTTCTTAATTGGCAGTTGAGTTGCCAACACAGTGTGAGCTAGCCCTGCACGCAGCAGGAAGCCATTACCATCAGGCCCGGGTTGTTTCCAATGTAAGTCCTACTCAGACCAGACCCACTGAAATTAATAGATAAGGCTCTCTTAGCTCCATCATTTTCAGTAGCTAAACCCTGAGTACAGGTGAGCTGGAGACAGTCATCTGTGGGCAGAGAGCAACTAATGTTTTAAGACATTGCTCAGGTGATACCTTGGCAAACGTGTCTTCATCCCATGTTTCCTAAGATATTGCAGGGGTGGAGGCTGCAAGAGGGTTGGGAATGTGGAAGGAAGGGAGATCAGGCCACTGGGATGCCTGCCAATCCTCTTCTGCAAATGCCATTGCCTGTGGTTGTCCACCCCTCTCCCCAGGCAGATCACGTCCATGTTTGGAGTCCAGTTGGGGTAGATGTTTGAAGGAAGATAATTGTCCGTCTAGTTAAAGCTATGGTTTTCCTAGTAGTGATGTATGGAAGTGAGAGCTGGACCATAAAGAAGGCTGATCGCCGAAGAATGGATGCTTTTGAATTATGGTGCTGGAGGAGACTCTTGAGAGTCCCATGGACTGCAAGAAGATCAAACCTATCCATTCTGAAGGAAATCAGCCCTGAGTGCTCACTGGAAGGACAGATCGTGAAGCTGAGGCTCCAATACTTTGGCCGCCTCATGAGAAGAGAAGACTCCCTGGAAAAGACCCTGATGTTGGGAAAGATGGAGGGCACAAGGAGAAGGGGACAACAGAGGACGAGATGGTTGGACAGTGTTCTCGAAGCTACCAGCATGAGTTTGACCAAACTGCGGGAGCCAGTGGAAGACAGAAGTGCCTGGCGTGCTCTGGTCCATGGGGTCACGAAGAGTCGGACACTACTAAACGACTAAACAACAACAACAACAAGCTGCAGCAGGGGAGAACTGGCCTGTAGGAAAATGTTGAAGCAGCCTTCTCTTACCCATTGTGCCAGTCCTTCAACTGCACCTTCAACCTCCACGTTAGCATTACCAAAAAAAAAAAGGTAGGGAAACAAAGGGGTTCAACTTTCCACCAACATCCACATCTGCCCTGAGCCACAACAGTACGATTAACAAGGAAATGGATTGATGTTACAGGTACACATATCAGAAGCACATAACTCTTTTTGAAAAAAGATGGTTCTTTGACCCCACTTGATAATCTTGCAATGACAAGCTAGCACCAAGCAACCGCAACAAATGCTCTTCCAAAACACTCTTTGTATGTGTGTGTGCTTTTTTGCAATTTAATCTTAACGATCTTCAGGAACAGGCCTTCAAACCTTGCCAAGAACCTTGCCCCACCCCAACTGAAAGGTGAAAAAGCTTCCGGGAGCGTTAATATGACAGAGATTGGCACTTCTGAAACTGGGCACCTGATGCATTCAGTAGAATCCTCAAATGTCACCCTGGCCACCTGCCTCAGTGACCTGTCCCTGGAATTATTTTTGCTGAGGAACCTAGGGAACAGGTGCAAGAGCATCAAACAAATATTGCTTATCAAACAGCTTGTTTGAATAGCAGGTATTTGGCCGGCGGTTGTCTTCCAAGAACAAACAGCAGGCTTCTCATTCCGCCGGAAAGAGAAACCGCTCTGTTAACACCCTCTTTTCTTCCTAGCTCTGTCATAATTTGACAAGTGTACACCTGAATAATGCATGTTTCTGGAGCCCTGCAGCACTCAGCACAGTCTTTCAATGGTCCCTGGATCTTGCTGAAAGCCATTGCTCAAGTTGCTATTCTTAGCCTCTGTTTATTTCTCACTCCTTCCATCCTCCTCAGAACAAACTGTTGGCAAGCGCTATCCTCATGGAAAGGGCCATAGGCTATCTCTATAGGGAAACACATACATTCCATGGTTTTTCTACCAAACTCTGGTTTTCTCAGTTTGCTGAGCTTACAAGGGACCACAGCAGAATAACAGGAGCTGTGTATACCCCGTGCATTTAAAGCACATGGTTTCTCCCAAAGAATTCTGGGAAGTGTAGTTTCCCCCCTCACAGAGCATCAACTCTCAGCAGCCTTAGCAAACTACAGTTCCCAGGATTCTCTGGAGGACCTCATGTGCTTTAGATGTGCTTTAAATGTATGACATGTATACAACCTGGAGTTTGGCAAACCATAAGCAAAACTCAACAGTCACAAAGTATTATTTCACACATGATTTTTCTATATACAATATGATCGCCTCTCGAGGATTTTGCATAGTTTGTTGACTTTTGATGGCTGGTGGTTACTAGTTGGTAAAATTTGCATCCATTAAAAAAATTAGAATCTCAACAGTTGGAGAAAACAAGTCTGACTTTCGCGGCTGATTTGAAAGAAGCCGCTTTGCGGATACGAAGGGGAAACTTTTGCCTTTGAAGACACGCCAAACGCAAAAAGATCCTCATTGCCTGCTTCCCCTGGCTGAGCTGGTACATTGTAAATGAGCAGTTTCCTACAAAAGGTACCATAGATGTCCAATACATTTTTGCACAAGGCAGGATCATGGAGCCAAAGCGAATACTTGCAAATATTTGAAGTCTGGTACACATGTGGAAAGTTACGTTTTGAATTTAGCAGTCAAATTGCCTTTTTGAAATGTAACATTTCCCTCTCCAGATCTGAGTACTTTGGACTTGCGGGCATCTTTTGGGTGTTCTGTCACTGTCACATCATAAAACACCATTTCACGCCAACTGTCTAACGCTATTAGATGCTAAAACCAATGACATGTCAAGACGTACTGTAGAAATATTAAGGTAATCTTTATCCAGGCAACATGCTCTTATCAGTACACCTATGAAAATGTCCACAAAAGTGAGCTGGCCATCACCTCTCCCCCACCTCTATTATTTGTTCCTTTTGACTCTTCCTTCCCTATACCATCAAAAGGTAGATTGTAAATGCATCTTTCTTTTTCCTCTTCTGCTGTTGCTCTGCGAGTGTGGCAGTGCTTTATAAAACAGCATCCAAAAAACCTACAGCAGCAGCAGCAGCAAAGATGCAGGAAGAATGCTCTCTGTCTGCAGCATGTAGTTTGGAAGCAAATGACATTCCTCTCCTCCTGGGTCTTCTTTCCTAAAGCTGCCCCGGCTTCATTGCAAATTCCTGACCTCTTTGTGCCTTCCATCAGAGAAGAAGCATCAATGAATCATTAACTTCAGCCTGGGCTCTCAGGTCAGATCATTGCGTTCTGCTCAGTTTTGCACTTACCTGGGGAAGGACCGGATCTTCTTTAAGCAGCCGAGATCCTCCAAGAATGTTTAAGTACCTGTGCAGGCGGTAACCTCAAACAGCTCCTTTCTGCATGTGTGTGTGTGCGTGTATGAATGAGAGAAGGAGTGTGTGACAGGCAGGGGTGTGTGTGTGTGTGTGTGACTTGAAAAACCTGCACCACAGGCAGACTGAAACTCAACAGCAGCTGCCTTAGCTGTTCAGCCGCTCTCCCTGCTGCAATTCAGGTTTGGCAGTCAGCTTGCTTATGCAGGAGTGTGTGTGTGTTTGTGTGTGTCCTCTCCAAATATATCTGCTAAACTCTTCTGCGTTGCAATTCCACCCCCCTCTTCCCATATAACAAAAGCAGGATTCCTTAGGAGCGGAGGAAAGCAGGAGCGAGAACAGAAGGGTGCGGGTTCTTGGCTTGTTTCTGCGGAGTGCGGCGGGTTATGGAGTGCAAGGGAAAGATGCTGCGGCCGGGCCAAGGAGCCCTCGCCCCCCCCGAGGAAGTCGTTTTCATGAGTTCTGCTGGACTTCTGCCACTGCGAGTGTCATCCTGCCAGTTGCCTAATTAACCTCAAGTTGTTTCCCTTTGGGGGATGGAATGTACATATAGACCAAACAGAAAAGGGAGGCAGGTCTCTGTTGCAACTTCCAGCTCCTCCACAAAAGCCGTGAGCTCAGTTTGGTGTGGGCACACCCTGGCATCTGAGCAGGGCACACCGGAACCCAGAGAGAGAGAGAGAGAGAGAGAGAGAGAGAAACAATATGCTGTGTGCATGCGCCCAGCGCATGAATGCCGTCACATGTTGCACAGGGGAAAACATGTGCGAGGATGACTTACCTGCTTGGTACTCGGGAAATGTAGCTACATGTGGGAGGAAAGGACCACTCCCTCCACATCGCCATGGAAGAGGCATGAAGCTGTACCCCAGAGTGTTTAATTCAATCTTCTCCAAATTTCCATTTCCCTTTTTATTTCTTCCCATTTTTTAAAATACTTATCTTCAAACAAATTTATAATTTTCATTGTTATTTGAATTCCTAAATATTTCACTTTAGGGAGCTGTGGTGAGAGGGAGCAGGACTATATTTTGGGGGGAAAATTAAATGAATGAATTCCTATGCCCCACAAATAACCCAGAGATGCATTTTAAATAAAAGCACACATTCTATTCATGTAAAAACACCAGGCAGATCCCACAAATAACCCAGAGATGCATTTCAAATAAAAGGACACATTCTACTCATGTAAAAGCATGCTGATTCCCGGACCGTCTGCGGGCCAGATTTAGAAGGCGATTGGGCCTGATCCAGCCCCTGGGCCTTAGTTTGCCTACCCATGCACTATACCTGGATAGCTCACTTGGTTAGAGCGTGCGGCTGCTAATGTCAAGCTTGCAGGTTCAATTTCTGTATGGGATATTTTCCTGCATCGCAGGGGGTTGGACTAGATGACCCACAGGCTCCCTTCCAACTCTACAGTGCTATGATTCTATGAAAGCATATCCCCCTGCTCAAAGGATTATGGGTACTGTAGTTTGCCCCTCACAGAGTAATCGTTCCCAGAAACCCTTAACAAACTATAGTGCCCAGAATTCTTTGAGGGGGTGGGGAATGTGCTTCAAGTGTGCTTTAAAGGTAACATAATGCTTTTCAAAGAGCCATTGAAATCTGGAGTCTGGGAATCTGGAAAATGAATCTATTTTCTCCAGATTATATTTCCAGTAAGGGACGCGGGTGGCGCTGTGGGTTAAACCACAGAGCCTAGGGCTTGCTGATCAGAAGGTCGGCGGTTCAAATCACCGCGACGGGGTCAGCTCCCGTTGCTCGGTCCCTGCTCCTGCCCACCTAGCAGTTCAAAAGCACGTCAAAGTGCAAGTAGATAAATAGGTACCACTCCAGCGGGAAGGTAAACGGCGTTTCCGTGCGCTGCTCTGGTTTGCCAGAGGCGGCTTAGTCATGCTGGCCACATGACCCGGAAGCTGTACACCAGCTCCCTCGGCCAATAAGGCGAGATGAGCACCGCAACCCCAGAGTCGGTCACGACTGGACCTAATGGTCAGGGGTCCCTTTACCTTTACCTTACATTTTCAGTAGGGTCATAGGACGCTGCCTTATGCCATCTGTACCTCACAATCACTTACTGGTAGCATCTGTCCAGGATTCCTGATCCAAATCTTCCCCCATCTGCACCTGGGGATTGAACCTAAGACCTTTCATAGGCAATGTATGTGCCTCTCTGCCACTGAACTACAGCCCAGTTAAGGTTGGGCTGAATATTTATAATAGGCTGATCCATGGATCACTGTCAATGGCACAAAGTCCATAATGCCCTTGTGTAAGTGAACAATGTTCTCAGTTCACCCTGACGCTCTCCAGCAGTGATAAGGAGAGTATGGGTCCCTTCCTCCCCAGTTCTGCAGAAGTGAGAGTCACACCAACCCACCCACATTCACCAGTTTGGGAAGCAGCTGCCCTCTGCCTTGTCTCTCACTTCTCTGCCTTCCCAGTTAAGCTGCATCATGGCCCAAAGCGAAGCAGAAGGTGCCATCACCACTGCAGGCAGACCTGAAGAGGAACACAGGAGGCTTCAGAAGGAAGCAGAAAGCAAGCACGCAGAAGCTGTCATCACCGTGAGTCAAGCTGCAAGGGCTGTTGCACCCAGTCACCCTCGTGGATGACTTATGTCATGGAACGTATGTGCAACTCCGTTGACCCTCCTAGACCTCTCAGCAGCTTTCAATGTCATCAGCCTTGGCATCCTTTTGGGCCGACTGGCTGGTTTAGAGCTTGAGAGCATGACGTTATGGTGGCTGGGAAAAGCAGAGTGCCATGGATGCAGAGAAACGGTGGGAGCAACCAGCTGGGGAACCACCAAGAGAAGGAGGCTCAGAGCCCAGGGATTGGTGGTGGTGGTGGTGGGGAACAACAATGAGTGGCCAGAGGGAGAAGACGAGGAAGAGTTGGTGTTGGAAGCTGAGGAGGTAGCAAGGTTTAGTGAGCTGGGAGAGTCTGAGGCAGAGAGAAGTCCAGAATCAGGACAGAAGATGAAGCAGAAGAGCAGGGAAAGGGAGGCCAAGAGGCAGAGATGAGCCAGGCTCCTCTCCACTTTTGACTCCCAGAAGCAGAAGAGGGGTGAAACAGGCAGAGCAAAGGCAAACTGCTTGAAGACATAGGCTCCGATTGCTTGGGAAAAGGAGGAAGGGACATAGATAGCTGTGGAGAGGCAGGGGCTTTCAGTCTTGCCAACTGATTTCATGGGGCAAGACCACCGGGAATGAGCTGCTGTCATAGGAGTCAACTCCTGGGAGACAAGGGGTCTTTGTCTCTCCCCCCCCCCAAACTATAGCAATGGATCCAGAAGTAGCCCCTAGCTATGTGAAGGGCAACCAAAGCAGTTTCTGTGCCAGATCTGGGCCTAAACCCTGATTGAAATGGATCTAGAAGGTCAGTTTTCTCCAAAAGCATCCGGATCTTATCCGCAACAGAGATGTTTTAAATTAATTTTTTAAAATTGAATTTAAATTTTTTAAATTTAAAATTATTATTTCTACCCTTCCCATCTGGCTGGGTCTCCCCAGCCACTCTGGGCGGCTTCCAACAGAAGGTTAAAAATACATTAAAACATCAGTTATTAAAATCTTCCCTAAACGGGGCTGCCTTCAGATTTCTTAAATTTAGATGTTTTAAATGCAGCAAATAAATGTTTGCTACACTCCCCTACTGACACAGTTGGTTTGATCAAATGTAGCATTTTAATCCTGAACCTTGTCTGTCTGTTTTGGGGATCACTTTTGCATTTCCTCAAAAAGCAAAGTTGAGGAAGCTTGCCTGAAAATCAGGAGATGCTTTTAAGCTCAGCTGTGCATGCATTAAAATCTTTAGTTTAAGAATGGTTTAGGGCAGCTGTCCCCAACCTGGTGCCCTCCAAATGCTTTGAACAGCAACTCCCATCAGAATTATAGTCCAAACAGATCAGGAGGTCCTAGGATGGGGAAGTCGGGTTTAAGATACAGGAAGACTTTTGCTCTTCGTGCAGAGTTCTGATGGATGAGGTTTTCTCTGGTCTTTCTGTGCTGTAGTTCTAGATTCTTATAAACGCCCACATACTCTCTCCCAAGCAGTGTGAAAAACAGCAATTTGGGTGGACGTTCTGCAGATACGAAGCAAAAACCCTCCTGTCAAGGCATAGCTCAGATTTGCCGTTGCAGCTGATCCGGGGCCAGCTGCGGTGCTATTTTAGCCGGTCCCTGGCAGCCAAGTGGATTCAGGGTCTTTTAGCAGCAAGAGAAAAAGTGTGCAGTAAATGTCAGGGAAATGCTAAAGTCTCTTTTCCCAGCCTCCCCCGATTCCTTCCCGATTGAGATCTGACCCTTGGGAACGAAGTGATTTGGAGACGGATTTAACAGGCTGGACTAGACTTGCGTCTGGTTTTGATTACTGCACATTTCACTTGGTCCCAAGAATTGTGTCACTGCTGGGCAATGTTTTGCTGCAGAATTTCCAGGGAACTGTACCTGGGAGCAGACCAGGGGCAGGAGCTTGTGTCTTCTTGGTAGTGAAAGGAAACAAGCAAATCTCACCACTTCTGTTTTCAGGGGTCCTTACAGAAGCATCTTTCATTCTGTCCCCCTCGTTAAGACCCTAATACACAATGCTAGCTTTCTCCATGCCTAAGGAGAGTGCATTTTTAAAGTCTGGACTGTTAGAAAATTCTACATAGCTCAGTAATGTAAAAGGAGAGATAATGCCAAAAATGTCTTGCATTCATCTGTTTCCTTGGGAAGGAACTCACTATCTGGGTCTGCAAAAGACCTTAAGAATCACCAGGGCGTTTTTTTCTGGCGGGGAAACGGTGGGGGAACTCACTACAAAGTTAGTTAGTTAGTTAGTTAGTTAGTTAGTTAGTTAACTAGTTAGTTTATTGCAGGCCCAATCGTAGTGCCACCCCCATCCCTAAAGGTAAAGGTAAAGGGACCCCTGACCATTAGGTCCAGTCGTGGACGACTCTGGGGTTGCGGCGCTCCTCTCGCTTTATTGGCCAAGGGAGCCAGCGTACAGCTTCCGGGTCATGTGGCCAGCATGACTAAGCCGCTTCTGGCGAACCAGAGCAGCACACGAAAACGCCGTTTACCTTCCCGCCAGAGCGGTACCTATTTATCTACTTGCACTTGGATGTGCATTCGAACTGCTAGGTTGGCAGGAGCAGGGACCGAGCAATGGGAGCTCACCCCATCGTGGGGATTCAAACCACCAACCTTCTGATCGTCAAGCCCTAGGCTCTGTGGTTTAACCCACAGCGCCACCCCCACCCCTGGCAGTGGCTAAATGTGAGTAATAAACTCAAGCAGACAATGACCTAGCTTAGAAATGGCCACAGTTTTATTGATTACAGATACAGGTGAATTTTTGGCTCAGGCTTTGGATGTATATCCATTCCAGCCCCCCCCCATCAATTATTTAATTATTGTTTTTTTTTTAAAAAAAACCCTGAGAATCACCTTTATGGATGAGAGAGGTCCAACGGGACCGCAAGGCACAAACGGGACATAAATGTAATGCCCCCCCCCCAAAGCTGTAGTTTGTTCCCTGAGCTATACTGCCCCTGTACATGGAGGTTCCATTTAGCTAATTCGGCTAAAAGCTGCATAGGTTTTCTGTTCTCCACAAATTTAAACGCTTTGTTGAATGCAAGCATCTACTCTGTATGACAAACACGGGTGCCGTCCTCCCTAGTATTACATTTGGCAAGCCGCTGATGACATGGGCATGTGCCTCCATGCCTTGGTAGGGAACATGGGGTGCAGTCCCATGGCAAAATTCGAACCCCTGACTCCCATTTAGAAAGAAATGATAAACAACTGGGGCAAACTCTCCTCTGAGTACTGACATTTTATGGCGAAGCTACCCAATTGCTACAAGAAGCATCGCAACGCAGGCAAGGGTGCCTGAGGTAAGATCTGTTCCTATGGTTTAATTCTGTGGAAAGAAAAGTCAAATGATCCAGGTGTTTTCGTTTGGCTGCTTTCGACTTTTAAAGGGGAGGGTGGGAGCCCTCAGTCCTGGAGGCCAAATGTGCTTCTCCAGGCCTTGATCTGGGCCTCAGCACTCTTTCCAGGCCATGTCCCACATTTGCTCTGCTCCAAATATTTTGGTCTGGCCGAAATGTGTCCTGGAAATGTGCTAAGGCCTCTTGCTTCTCTGGCTGGATGATGGAGAGGGTCTGGACTTATGTTGCGAGTACGGAGAACCTTCTGATTTCTGCATGGCAGGAATGGGGCTTCCTGTATGTACGGTAGTCTGAAATATACTCAGAGTCGAGAGTGGATTTCATGCTCTTTAATCAGCTCATAGCGGCGAGGAGGAATGGAAGTTCCTCCAGAATGTCTGCTTTATATACATTATTTACACAATGGGCCCCGCGTGATTGGCTAATTCCGGGATTCACCTGTAGGCCAATCAGGGATTCACTTGTAGGCCAACCTGGAGCTGGATTGGGTGGCTCCTGTGGACCAATCAGACTGCTGCATTCTGGACCCTATTGTTCTAGGACCAATCAGACTGCTGCATTCTGAATCCTATTGTTCTAGTGTTAGGATATCTGATCCTAAGGGGTCCGGATCCAGTCACCTGCCCCTGCTGTTAGCATGAAGGAGTCAAAAAAATACACCAGGGTGGGTTCCACAGAGAAAAAGGTTTATTGCAAATCTGCGCAGAGGTAGCCAGTGGAATAGCTTCCAAAAGACTGCCCCCCCCCCATTGTCCTCCAAGCATTCTTATACTGAAGCTGCAAGCTTGGCCCCCAGTTGCTCCCCAATCAACAGGCAGAGATACACTTTATTACCTTATTGGGCTAGCTAAGCCCTCCTCCCCCACCTTTGCATATTGTTTGCTTTGCCTTATAAATGTTTGCATTTTGCACAGCTGAGGTGAGAAGCTAGCTCACCACAACTGAAGCAGATAGGAAACCACTACCGGCCTGCCGAGCTGAGTTTCTTTTGCTTCAGCTAAGTAGGACGGCAGACAGGAAACCCACTGTCTGCCCGCAGAGCTACATGTTAGCTAGACAATTGTTAGCTGAAGCTAGCGAAGCACGATGGAGTTTTTACCTTCCCCCATCTCTTCACTCCTCTTCCTTCACTCCCTCCTCTTCTTCTTGATCACCGTCAGGTGCATCCAACCGGGACAGGGCGATACTCCCTCAGGTAAGCTATCACACGGGGGCCCATCATGCGAGACATCATTTTCTCCATCATATTCTGCATGCATTGCATCAAGCAGGGAATACAGAAGCAGAGAAGCACTAAAAGCACCAGGGGGCCCGCAACCATAGTAAATATCCTCCCCATCCATCCCGGGGGCGTTCGTGCCAGCAGAAATACAAAAGCATCAAGAAAATCAGGGGCATACACAGAACCCAAGCCCACCAAGCCCCGGGAGTCCAGGGCTCCTCCCACCACATATCAGGCATGATAGGGGCGTGGGGAAGGGCTTGGCTATCAGGAACGTTGGGGGTACTGGCGTTGGGTACCCCTCCCATCCTTATCTTCGGCCGTGCGTAGAGCTATCAGCTTCCCGGAGTGACAGCAGCAGGGCAGTCGTCCGTCGGGCGCCTGGAGATGGTCAGCCGAAGAGGATCTTGCGGGTTAGGAGACACAGTCCAGTCTGATGATGCCGCCTTCACACGAGTATGGTGGACCCAAGGGGCGATGCCAGCAACCTTGACAGCAGTGGGTGTAGAGAGAAGCACAGTGTAGGGACCCTTCCAGCAAGGCTGTAGCGGAGTTTGGGCCCAGTCTTTCACCCACACATCATTGCCTGGCTCGAAACGGTGTAGGGGCTCGACCAGTACACACGGGGTACGAGCCTGGGTCCACCTGTTGAGAGAAAGAAGAGTGCGGGAGAGTGACTGCACATAATGATCTGTTTCAACATCCTGGACCGGGGTGGGGGAAATCATGCGTACATAGGGAACAGGTCTCCCAAACATCAGTTCAAAGTAGAGAGATGGGTTCGCTTGGATGGGAGACTTCGAACCCGGAGCAGGGCGGGGGCAACAGCGCGACCCAATTGGACCCTGTCTCCTGTGTCAATTTGGACAGTTGATTTTTCAAAGTCCTGTTCATCCTCTCTACTTTTCCAGAACTCTGGGGTCGGTATGCACTATGTAACTTCCAATTTATCTGCAAGAGCTTAGCTATCTCCTGCAAAACTTTGTGCACAAAAGCTGGACCATTGTCCGACCCTATGGAGCGGGGCAAGCCATAGCGGGGAATGATTTCCGGAGCAGACACCTAGCAACTTCAGATGACCGCTCAGTCTTGGTGGGCCAGGCCTCCACCCACCCTGTATAAGTGCACACAGCCACAAGGAGGTAACGATATAGGCCACAACGGGGCAGCTCGGTAAAGTCCACAACCAAATCTTCCATGGGTGCTGTGCCACAATGTTGAATTCCTGGAGGAGGCAGAAGGCCGGCCCTAGGGTTGTTCTTCTGGCATAGGGCACAACGCTTGGAGACTTGTGAAGCCAGTTGATAGAGCTTGGAGATGTAAAATCACTTTCCCAGCTGCTTGGTCATGGCATCTGGTCCTGCATGTAAGGAATCGTGGTAGCGCTGAACCACTTGGCGGGCTAGGGATTCTGGGACCCACACGCGGTCATCTGGGGTAAGGTACCAGCCATCCTTTGAAATGTCCAGTCCCTCAGTGTTGGCTGTCATTTCCTCCTGGGTGGTATAGTGGGGCTTGAGGCTGGTGTCCAAGACTTGCTCAGGTATCAAGGCAGCAACGAGGGGGGCCGGGTTTGGCCGTCGCGCCGCCTCTTTGGCTATTCGATCTGCCAAACGATTTCCTCGGGCGTCATCACTGGATCCTGTCCGGTGGCCGTAGCAGTGCACAACGGCCACTTGGCGGGGTGCCCACACTGCATCCAAGAGATCCAAGAGTGCTTGTGGGTGGGCCACAGGGCTCCTTTCGAGGTCAGCAGTCCTCGTTCTCTCCAGAGGGCGCCATGAGCGTGCAGGGTAAGGAAAGCATACTTAGAGTCCGTATAGATGTTAATATCTGTACCTTCAGCCAGGCGCAGGGCTCGTGTCAAAGCAGTAATTTCTGCCAGTTGAGCTGATGTTCCTGGTGGGAGGGGGCAGGCTTCAATGACTACATCCTCGAGGGCCACGATGGCATATCCTGCTCTCCGTTGTCCCTCTTCCACGAAGCTGCTGCCATCCACAAACCAGGAAGGCCACGCTGGATTGGCTTCATCCTTAAGGTCTGGTCTACTGGAGTAGACTTCGTCCATGACCTGTATGCAATCGTGGGCTGGCTCCTCTTCCTCTCCTACAGGTAACAGAGTAGCTGGGTTGAGGGCCTCTGTGACACGGAACCTCAAGCGTGGGTGCATCAGCAAAGTCTGGCACTTCATCATCTTAGCTTGGGACAGGAAGTAAGTGCCCTTCATATCCAGTAGGGCGGGTACTGCGTGTGGGGTGACGCATGTGATGTCTTGTCCAAAGGCAAACTTGTCAGCCTTATTAAGCAAGCAGGCCACTGCTACTACTGCCCGCATGCAGGGGGGCAGGCCTTGCTCCGTGGTGGTCAGCCTTTCAGACAAATAGGCTATAGGCTGTTGCCAACTTCCTAGTTTCTGGCAAAGGACCCCTTTCGCTGTTCCTTGGTCCTCATCCACATAGAGGGTAAATGGCTTCTCTGGGTTTGGGATTCCCAGTGCTGGGGCCTGTTGTAGGGCCGTCTTGAGGCCTTGGAAGGCTTGTTGTTGCTCAGGGCCCCAGATAAAGGGATCCTTCTCTGTTCCTCTAGTAGACTCATGCAGCGCCGTGCAATTTCGCTGTAGTTGGGAATCCAAATTCTGCAAAAACCCGCAGATCCCAAGAAACTGCGGAGCTCCTTCCGGTTTCGTGGCTCTGGGATCCGAGTGATTGCCTGCTTGCGTTCATCCCTTAGGGTCCGTCGCTGGTGAGAGATGTCAAAGCCAAGATACTTGACAGTTGTCTTACAAATTTGAGCCTTAGACTTGGAGACTCGGTAGCCTGCTTCAGCCAGGTGGTTTAAGAGGTCCCGCGTGGCTTCGTGGCACGCGCTTTTTATCATTTAATTGTAACTGCCTCAGATGCGCCCTTGCCTCACTATGGACCCTCCGGACTTCTTCCGTTGTTAACAGAGAGTCCAAAAGATATTGAACATCATCATAGGTAGGGTCATAAGTTTTAAAGATCCCTTCAAAAAGTTTGATGATTTTGGCTGGGTTCTCCTCAAAGGAGGGGTTTTGATTGCGCCAATTGCAAATATCAGCAGTTGAAAAAGGCACATGTTGAATTGTGTAGGTGCGCGGTGCTGCTGCCCCATTCTCCCCTGGCGGTCCCGGGGGGTCATAAACTACCCGGAGGGGCATCAAGGCTGTAGCCTGATCTTTCTTCCCTCTCTCTCTCTCATGCTGGGTGGCGGCTCTACGTGCTGCCTCCAGCCACCTCTTTTGTTTCTTCTTCCAGTGCCCATCCTCACAACGTGCCACTTCTAAGAGGTGGGGACTAACATCCACTTGGTCTTTATAGGGGTCTACATAGTCCTTTATCCATTTGTCTTGCTTCTTACTCCACTTCTCCCCCTTCTGTACCTTCTCTTCCAACATCTTTAACAGTGTTTCCTCATCCCCCTCATCATCATCACTTTCATCCTCCTTAGCTGTCTCTGCTTTGGTGGGGTTTTTATCCTCAGGGCTTGGGTTGATAGGGCTGCCAGCAACTGGGTTGGGGGGGTTATCCTGGAGATTATTCTGCAGGGGTAGATCATTCTGTGGTGCTGGTGCCGGTGTTGGGGGTCTATAAGGAGGTGGCCTCACAATTAATTCATCTTCCTCTGTGTCTTGGACCCCAAGAGGTAATTTCTGCTGCCGGACGGCACAGATCCTTGCCCGTGGTGGAGCAGTTCGGCAAGCCTGCAGCCAAGGGGGGTTTTTATCCACATTGGTTTTCCACATGGAAATATAGGGAATTTGATCTGGATGGTTTGCAATTATTCTCTGCCACAAGGGATTGATCAATCGCCCATCAAAACTGCCCTGGGACGGCCAGCCAGTGCCCTGCGTCGGCCAGTCCACTTCGCAAAGGGTCCTAAACCTCTCCTTCTTCAACTTGAATCCCCAATCATCATCCTTTGTGGCCAATTTCCAGTTGTTCAGGAAGCATTCCAAAGGGGTACATTTACTGCTTCCTGAACCCATGTTTACCAGAATACTCCGCTCCTAGCCAAAATCAGCACCTTGCCCACTTCACACGCTACAGACTGTGGCTTGGACGACCACAGCCCTAGACACGCTTGGCCACGGAGACGCTAAGCCCCGACCTCTCACACATTCATCCTTTCACTGGAGTATTTGGTCATACAACACACAGTCCACCTTCACACCCACCACCCTTTTCCTTTCCACACACTGGCAGCAGGACCCCACTGTCCCGGCCAACCCTTCCTGGGGGCACTTTATTGCCACACTCCAGGTGAGATTGATCAGATCTCCAGCTCTTCTCTTTCCCCAAGAGCTTACCTCTATGTCCTGAGACACACCCTGTGTCCTCCCTCGGCCGATCCTTTTTCTCCCACGACCGGACGTCTCCACTCAGGAACGGAGTGATTGGTTCCTCCCGCAACTGGCGGGTGCGCGCTGGAGCCGTCTACGCCGACCCAAGCTGTTCGTCCAGTCGAGCCTGGCCTTCAAGCTCAAGCAGCAGGAGAGGTGGGTTCCCGGCCAATGCACCAGATATGTTAGGATATCTGATCCTAAGGGGTCCGGATCCAGTCACCTGCCCCTGCTGTTAGCATGAAGGAGTCAAACATACACCAGGGTGGGTTCCACAGAGAAAAAAGGTTTATTGCAAATCTGCGCAGAGGTAGCCAGTGGAATAGCTTCCAAAAGACTGGCCCCCCCCTATTGTCTTCCAAGCATTCTTATACTGAAGCTGCAAGCTTGGCCCCCAGTTGCTCCCCAATCAACAGGCAGAGATACACTTTATTACCTTATTGGGCTAGCTAAGCCCTCCTCCCCCACCTTTGCATATTGTTTGCTTTGCCTTATAAATGTTTGCATCTTTGCACAGCTGAGGTGAGAAGCTAGCTCACCACAACTGAAGCAGATAGGAAACCACTACCGGCCTGCCGAGCTGAGTTTCTTTTGCTTCAGCTAAGTAGGACGGCAGACAGGAAACCCACTGTCTGCCCGCAGAGCCATGTTGCACACTGAAGCTGCGAGCACGATGGAGTTTTTACCTTCCCCCATCTCTTCACTCCTCTCCCTTCACTAGGACCAATCAGACTGCTGCCTTTTGGATCCTATTCAACTCAGTACATAACATAGTCACTGCAGCAGCAGAGACGGGTTGACAAGAGCATTGAGCCCACCCGCCACCTCCGGTCCAGCGGTGAAATGCCTCCCCCACGCACAAGGGTTCCACTCCACGAAGATTCCTCTGCTATGTAATAACCTGCCATTTCCTAAGAGTATCTATTTAAAGTAGATAATTAGATGAGTAAATTAAATGAATCTGGATATGCAGAAGCTAATTAAAGAATAAATTTAAGGAACCACAGAAAGAGGGGGAAGGAAGTCAAAAATTTTGAAATGTTAAATTGATTGTAAAACTAATGAAATGTATAAACTTGAAAAGTATAAATAAAATAAAAACTTTTTTAAAAAAGTTTCTGCTGCGAAGTGCAAGCACCAGTTGCAAGCAGTGGCTCCTTCTCCTCCCATCTCAGTGCTGGAGAGGGAAAACGGGACATTCCTGGATGAAATCAGAAGCCAGGGTTGCTTGTGTAATTCAGTGAACGCCCCGGGGAATTAGGGGTGCTTGGAGGGTATGCGTTAGCCTTTTATTTTTTTTTTATAAGATATTTATTGAAATTTTCAAAATATTACAAAATAAAAATAAAAAAAGGAGAAAGTACAAAATGAAAATAGTTAACAAAGTAAAAAAAGAGAAAAACAAACCCCTTCCAACAATACAAATACAAATACAAATTCAAAAATAAAAAAGAAACCGAAAAAACAAAAATACACATAGAACATTTAAGAACATTTAAAAACAAATTCATTATTCTCAAATCCTCAACTATCATTACCTTCTTTCTTTGACCTCCTCCTCCTCCTCCCTTTCTTTGTATCCTAGTTATTAATTATCCCAGCAAATCCTTTCCATATTTCATAATATTCTGTCATTACATTACCTTAAACTGTTTTAATCTTATCTTTCTATATAAAAAATTAAACCTTGAAACTTAAAGCTTAGATCTTATCCTTACCAACTTCTCATAACCATAATATTCTTTCATAATTCTTTAAACATCTTTACTAAAGCCAAATAATTTCATTCCAACATTTTTCTGACATTCATCAATTTTATAAAACAGTCCTAATGGTAAAAAAAGAAATACAAACAGATCCCATCTTCATCCAGCGTCCCTTCCTCCTGGTTCCGGGTTTTGTCAGTCCTTATTATCCCATCGATCTAACCCATTAACCTGGCAACCTTATATCCGAGGCCCTCAAGTCTCTTCCATGTCCCTTCCGCAGCTCTTCTTCCTATTTGTAACTGTATTTTCCCTTGTCTCCTGCTCGTGGTAACTCCAGCTTGGCAATATTTTTGACCCTTCTCGACAGATCAGCCCCTTTTCCATATTCAACATTAAATTCCATACGGTATTTAAAAGCATGTTTCAAAAACCCTCCAAAATTAAGAGCCCCCACAATCCCAAACATCTCACGGCCCATTGCCAGATTTGAAGAGTCCAAACATCCCAGCATAGGGGGGTCAATCCAGCCCCCCATTTCCAGGCCAAACCAAACTTTTTCTTTCCAAATCTGGCTTTTTCCAAGTTCATTTGTCAAATCCAAAAGCTCATATTCCTGTTGGGCCTGTTCTGTCAGGACACACTCCTGATTTAATTCCTGGGTGGGCTCCACATATTTTCCCACTGTCTGCTCAAAATTTCCCACTGCCTGTTCAAAGTTTCTAGTCGAAGTCGCCATCAAATTCATCTTCTCATGTAACTGCTCCAGTAGGGCATTTGTTTTATAGAAAGCACACAACAGAGCTTCTGAATACATTGTCCTGCAAGGTCAAATGTCTGTTCCCACGATTGTAATCTGTAACAGCTGCCGGCTCCCTGGAATTGGTTACAGTTTCACAGTCTCCCTCTAGGGGGAAAGCTTCTATTTGTTCTTGCAACAAAGTTTCCCTTTTTGAGATATTTTGTCAATATTTGTTCCTTTAAAATGCGGAGGGAAACAGTGGAATCACTATATTTCTCTTCTTTTAGCTTTCTGTCAAAAATGTTTGTCTCTGGTCAATGAGCTTCAAACGTCAGTCCTGACACCCCGCTCCAGGATCAGGACGGAGGAGAGTTGCTTTACATTAAACTCACTTTAAACAGTCCGAAAAAGATCCCCCTTCTTCTCCTACTGTCGAAGAGGGGTTCCACAATTTTAAATGATGAAATCCAATCCTTTAAAGGCGATTTTCTAAGCTCTAGCTTACGTTGTCTTTGCTTTATTCTGTCTACAAAAGAACGGAAGGCTGACTTCCTGTTTAGACCTTCCCGTTCAGTACCAAATTGAAATAATTTTTTAAAATCCAATTCCTTTCTGATCGCAAGTCCTTATTTAAGGTCCAGTTGTTCAAAGTTTAAATACTCACGGGTGCTTATTTTAGAGTCCAAATTGTCCCAGGAAAAAGGCAGCGCTCTCCAGCAACGGCTATGCGGCTTTGCTCCACGGAAATAGCAGTTGACTCACAGCCCCGCGCCACTTCCCCCTCTTCACTTCGGAGCCCGTTAGTGGGTTCCTTTGCGAGTTGGGGGGGCGCTAAAGGTGCCCGCTGAGTCCCATGGTCACAGGCTTCATCCGCCTGTGATTTTTAAAAGGGTCCCCGCTTCGCCGTAGCAGAGAAGACCCGTTTCACGCGGAGCTAGTCCCTCCAGTTCAGAGGGAGTCCGCCATTGCCGATGGCGCCACCCCGGAAGTCCCCATGCTTTAGCCTTTTACTACAATTGCCTCTGGCCTTGAATCCCACTGGCATCCTGCAGCCCTTGGAAGGTGTTATGCGAGGGAATGTAGGCCGTAACCCCCAGCCAGCTTAGCCAACGGTCAATGGCACAATGGGAGTTGTAGTCCAACAACATCTGAGGACCAAATTTGAAGACCACTGCTCTAGATCCATCTACCTCTTTGTTCCAGGCAAACCTATTAGAGTTTTCTTCTTTAAAACCTCAGTGACCAGTCTTCTAGGTGCATTGGTAGGAACAAAGTAGGTAGCTGCCAGGAAACAGTAAGAGCATTAAAGGCAAATAAAAAATATGGACCCAAGGCAGGCACCACTGCCATGGTAGTGGAGGTTGACAGGTGCCCTGACTAGGGTTGGGCAAAATATGGTTTTCAACATCGCAGTTTATCACCAGCGAAACATTGTGATATACTGTTAGGTCACAACAGTGCTTTTATCTAAAAAATGTTTAGGGGTACTCTCATTTTGACGATTCACCATGCTAGAGAAGAAACTAAAAATGTTAAAAAATTTAGTTTCTTCTCCCGTTAGATTCACAAAATGTTTAGGGGTACGCGTACCCCTGCATCCCCCCAGAAAAACGCACTGGACCATGATGTCTGAAATAAGGATGGAGCTATGTTGAGGCATGTTGAGGGTTTTCCCAGCGCCCGCTCTTGTGATTCGCTGCCTTCTGCATGAGGCAGGGGGATGTTGAGACAGCAGAGTTAATAGGGGCTGCAGGAATCAAGAGACGCATTGGCTTAATGGTTTCCCCCATGTTGTGATTTTTGCATAACACACACACACACACACACACACACACACACACACATCATGATTTGCGATATATTGCCAGGTCAAAAATTATGGAACTGATATCACAATATAGACTTCAAACCGGTTTGGACAATATATAGATGTATCGTCCTGACCACATATATCCTGCTACCCACCTTGCCATGAGGATGATGATGATTAATTATTTGTACCCCACCTATCTGGCTGGGTTTCCCCAGCCACTCTGGACGGCTTCCAGAAAGACCAAAAATACACTAAGATGTCACACATTAAAAACTTCCCTGAACAGGGCTGCCTTCAGATGTCTTTTAAAGAGAAGATAGCTGCTTATTTCCTTCACATCTGAAGGGAGGGCGTTCCACAGGGCGGGCGCCACTACCGAGAAGGCCCTCTGTCTGGTTCCCTGTAGCTTTGATTCTCACAGTGAGGGAACAGCCAGAAGGCCCTCGGCGCTGGACCTCAGCGTCCAGGCAGAACGATGGGGGTGGAGACGCTCCTTCAGGTATGCTTCAGGTATACATGAATAGAATATGTGCTGTGAAACGTGGCAGAAGTGGCCCATCTTAGAAAACTGGCCAGCAACAGCCCAGATGCACACAGGTGAGAAAACCCAAGCAGGTGGGTGGAGACAGCAACATTTTCCAGAGCATCAGCCAAGCCGCCCAGCTCATGAGTTTTATCGGTGGGAACGAAACACTGGGCTGGATGAAGCTTGCTTAGGCCTGATCCAGCAGCAATGCTCTTCATACCATCCCTTTAAAAATACCATTTTTTTGTGTGGTGGTGTGTGTTTTCTTTGCAGTGACTCCCTGCCACAGCTGTAAAAAGGCAAGGTTACAGCTTTATGCGCACATCAAAGGCTCGCAAAAACCTACTGCCTTCGCCTCTGGCCACTGTGAGACGGATGCAGTTCTCCCTCGACCTCTTTACTACCTTCTATGGTAACAAGAAGGAACCTTCTGCGATGAGGAAATTCCTTACGAGGGAACCAAACCTCTTCACAGTAGCGGCAGATATGGATGTTAGTACCTTGTGTACAAGCAGCTCCTACAAGGAACAACAACAACAATGACTGTGTAGCAGTCACAGTAGTAGATACAATAAGCAGAAATAAGTAGTAAAACTTTGTGAGTTTCTATCACTTCAGCTGCTGGCTGAAGTTATATATTTGAATATTTTCCTTCACCCAACACTGGATGAAACGTCATTTTTTAGCATCTCAGAGAGGAAATGGCTTCATTTTGCTACCTTTCTGTCTGGAGGGGTATCTTCCCATGAGGGACTGTTTAAGGGTGTGGTTCCCCCACCTCCAGCATCTTAAATTTGTCTAAGAGGAAGTAAGTCCTAATAAATTCAAGTGAGGCAAGTGAGGTTAGGGTTCCTGCTTGCAGCTGTTTTTCTTCTCCATCCTCATCTCTTTTTCTTTTTGTGCTGTCTTTCACATTGGAAGCTTGAGGGTAGGTGCTGCCTAGTTTTTCATTGATCTTACGTAAGCGGCTGTGGGAGTCTTTTCAGCCTCAAAGGAAGACACAAACAAGCAAACACACATCTCATTCCTGTACCGCAGAAAGGGACAGAAAATCTTAGGGTGAGAGATCTTTCCCAACTATTACATTGCTATCCTGCCCTTCTTTTATGGAACTGTAATATGCATAGTTTTACCCTCACCATATCCCCATGCCAGGGCCAGCCCAAGACATTTTGGCCCCTGAAGCGAACCACAAAATGGCGCCCCCTCTCCCCACCAGGGATGAAGGTGTGAGTGAAGATCTACATCAGTAACAAGGGGGAAATAAAGATCTTCTTTGGGACTGCTGTCTCTGGATCCTGCTGCCTGAGGCAGTTGCCTCACCTTGCCTCATGGGTGGGCCGTGCAGTAGGTCGACCTGAGAGATAGTGGCTGGTGCAAGGGAGCACAGCAAGCATCATCATGGCTGACACCGACCACCCTCTTCAGGGAGAAACGGGCTGAGATTTGAACCCAGGTGTCCTAGCTCAAAGCTCAATTTCTTTACTGGTTCTCTCCCCTCCAGCAGGACAATCTTGTCCTTCTTTGAAATGCTGGGATCCCCACACCTACAGCCTCCTCCCCACCTCACAATCCCTCAAGGCTTTAAAGTTGCCATCCTGATTTCCAGGTCATGCAAAAGAGCTGAGAGCAACAGACATCTATACAGTCATACCTCAGGTTACAGATGCTTCAGGTTGCTTTTTTTGGGTTACGGACGCGCCGAAACCCGGAAGTACAGTGGTACCTCAGGTTAAGGACTTAATTCATTCCGGAGGTCCGTACTTAACCTGAAGCACCACTTCAGCTAATGGGGCCTCCCACTGCCGCTGCGGCGCCGGAGCACGATTTCTGTTCTCATCCTGAAGCAAAGTTCTTAACCTGAAGCACTATTTCTGGGTTAGTGGAGTCTGTAACCTGAAGCGTATGTAACCTGAGGTACCACTGTACTAGAATGGGTTACTTCCAGGTTTTGGCAGTCGTGCATGCGCAGAAGTGCCGAATCGCAACCTGCACATGCACACACGCGGTGCTGCGGGTTTTGTGAACGCTGCGGGTTGTGAACGTGTTTCCTGCACAGATCACGTTTGCAACCCGAGTGTCCACTGTACACTTCTGGCAAACAATAACACTAGCGAACCAAGACCGGCATTCTTTGTGCTGAAATACACAGCCTCCCCCAGGAAGCAGTTCAGAGCTGAGAGTCAATCCCTCCGAAAGGACAAAGCACCAGCGCTGACCTCGGCCTTCCGTTCAGAGCGCCAGAACTCTGACATCTCTCTAATCCTCTCTCTTAGCAGCACACCAAACACAGCAGAGCAAACAATCCTTCGCAAAACCACAAACCAAACACGCTCTGCTACCAATGCAAGTCTTGTGCCGACCCAGACACTCCTTGTTGTTGATGTCATCACCTGAGAACAAGCCAATTGGGGTGGGTAGCAGAAAAATTATTGAGGTAATGGAAGGCAGCCAGGTAACATGAGTGGAGACCTTGCTCCCCTCACCTGCACACTCAGTTTAAAACGAAAATATACACGGCTATCTGGTCATGTCTAGTTGGGCCTTCCAATATCTGTTCATCTCCAAAACAAGAAGCAGGTCTGTTAGCATCTTATCCGAGATGAACAAGATATGGGCGTGTGGCAACATTCCCATCTACTTCATCAGCTGCATCTTAGATGTAGGGTCAGTATAGCTGCTGATCTCTAACGCAAGCCACTTGCAGTCATGAAAGAAGATACAAACCACAAAAGGAAGGGTGGAATTGCAAGCTAGGACACTAATATCAGAGGCCAGGAAGGTTAGCCTGGTTCCTTCCCACGTCATTCTCATAACATAGGAATTAGGTCTTGCAATAAGCATGGAAAACGGACAAGAGGCCTTTTCACAACCATCTGAGTAATGCCTTGATGAGCAACGACTGAGCCCTTCTGCCCCATCACTACATAAAACATGGAGCTGACTTCTTTGCCAGCCTGCTCAGCAATTTTAGAACAGTGAAGTATTTCCATCAGGCTTCAGAAGTTGGCTTCAGAGCTGCCCCACCCAAGCTGCTCTGGGACAATGAGGACCAGCTTGTCAAGTGGACTTTGAAGATCACATCACTGATATTAAAATAGTGGCAGAGCCACACACCACACAGCACACGTGACTTCACCCAAAGAATCCCTCATGGCAGAGCAATATTCCCAGCTCCCTTAACAAACTACAATTCCCAGGATTTTGTGATGTGCTTCAAGTGTCTGGTGTGTACCCAGTCTACACATAACATCTGTGCAGAGGGCAGAGAATACTTCCATTCCTAGCATTCCTGGTGCAGTATGAACCTAAGTGTGTGTGGAAAAGGATATCAATTCAGGGATGGGTTGTGGCTTCTGATTTTTATTTTATTTTTTCTATTCTGGTGTGAGGGTTTTTTCCCTTTCCCTTTTACTTGGGTAACTGATTTTATTTTGGATTACCGTGCACCGAATTCCTTGTAAAAGTGACTCATTTGTTGTGGTTTAGTCGTTTAGTCGTGTCCGACTCTTCGTGACCCCCTGGACCAGAGCACACCAGGCACTCCTGTCTTCCACTGCCTCCCGCAGTTTGGTCAAACTCATGCTGGTAGCTTCGAGAACACTGTCCAACCATCTCGTCCTCTGTCGTCCCCTTCTCCTTGTGCCCTCCATCTTTCCCAACATCAGGGTCTTTTCCAGGGAGTCTTCTCTTCTCATGAGGTGGCCAAAGTATTGGAGCCTCAGCTTGATGATCTGTCCTGATTTCCTTCAGAATGGAGAGGTTTGACCTTCTTGCAGTCCATGGGACTCTCAAGAGTCTCCTCCAGCACCATAATTCAAAAGCATCAATTCTTCGGTGATCAGCCTTCTCATAAATTCGTACAATTTGTCGTACAATTCGTACAAAGTGACTCATAAATTTGTACAAAAATGAATGGTTAAGCACTGAAAAGTATATGAGCACCATTGTTGGTTTTTTACTGAGTGCACATACTGTTGCAGAGAAAGGAAGGAATATTTAGGGGAGGGATGGCCAAAGTCCGGCTGCTGCTCCACTTGCAGAGCAGATTGTGCGGTAAGTGGAGACAGGAGAGAGAGGGGGGAAGCCCTTTGCACAAAGGGAACTCTGCTCGCAGGCCCTTGGACTGTTGCAGCAGCTTCTCATTTGCTTTGTGCCTGTAGCCTAACACAGCAAAACCTATCCAGCTATATCAGAGAGTAGCATCCAGCAGTGTTTTTGTGCAATAGCTTCTGGGCAGGAGCTGTCCACCTAAGCAGTGAAGACTTGAGATTTCAGCAGCCATAATCCTGGCAGATTCACAGAGATTTTTAACTATTAACTCACCTCAGTGGCACTTCTTAGAACCTTAGAATTGTAGAGTTGGAAGGGACCACGACGGTCATCTAGTCCAACAATCTGCAATGCAGGAATCGTTTGCCCAACATGGAGCTCAAACCCACAACCTAGAGATTGAGAGTACAGTGGTACCTCGGGTTCCATACGCTTCAGCTTACATATGCTTCAGGTTACAGACTCTGCTAACCCAGAAATAGTGCTTCAGATTAAGAACTTTGCTTCAGGATGAGAACAGAAATCATGCTCCGGCGGCGCAGCAGCAGCAGGAGGCCCCATTAGCTAAATTGGTGCTTCAGGTTAAGAACAGTTTCAGGTTAAGAATGGACCTCCGGAACGAATTAAGTACTTAACCCAGGGTACCACTGTATCTTGCTCTACCGACTGATCTATCCTGCAGAAGGAGATGCAGGGGTGAGAGCTTGCCCTATGGGTAGAAGTGGCAGGTTATGGTGCTGAAGGGAATTCCTGAGCGAGATTCTGCCCATCTTTTCCTAGAAGGGCATGTGCCCACAAGCCAAAGCAGTCTGACAAAAATGCATTCAGTTGCCAAACCCAGCCAGCCCCCCCAAAACAGCTCCGCTTTAGTAATGACATAACCAGAAGCACGCTTTATTTTCACAGCCTAGTTTGTTGTCCCTCTGGGAGGGACATGTTGTATTTCTCAGTGGAGCATATTTCAGGGTGCTCACAAGAGCACACCCAACAAGGAACTGTAGCTAATCAGAGATATCTGATTCATATACCTGCATGACATGTTTTCAAGTATGCATTTGTCCTAATTCGCATAGCAGCTGTATGCTTATATATATATAAGCATACTGAATATGTATTATTTATTGTTGTAGCAGCTGCTATCATATTTATTATATTTATATTGTATTTTATTGCCTACACTTCACCCTAAGGTCTGAGGGCGGGTTACAAAAAATTAATGCAATGTGTGAACTGTGCCTCTGAGATACTGTGGGAAGTTGCTGTGGATGCATAGCTGACAAGTTGATTTCTGTCCACTCTTTACTGCCCTTGCAAACCTTTTACTGCCTGCACAGTGCATGATAAGCTGGCACCCATAATTGCAGCTCCCACTCTGCCCCCTGGTGCTCTTAACTCGATCTGTGTCGGTCGCTGTGAGAGGCAAGCAGAAAGCAAAGTTTGCAGTTAGTTCAAGAGGAAGATTTGTTATTGGCATGGCGCACTGGGAAAGTACTGGTGGGCTAGCACATCCTGGTTTAGCTTGGAAATATTGATGGCCAGATTAGGAAGGGAATTAATCTTATCCACAGTGCCGAAGCAGAACTATTTAGCATGCAAGGAAAGATTCAGAAGCATATAAAGGAGGGGAAGTAATCTACAGAGGAATGAAAATGCAACATCTGGGTTTTCAGAACTTTCCCATTAGGCAGAATGGAGCCAGCTACCATTCCATTCTACCCGGTGCAGTCCACTGAGTTTATAGATCAGTAAAGGAACTTACGTCTGAGACAGTGAGAGGATGCAAAAGCTGCAAAAGCTGCCATCCAAAAATGGGGTCATTTGGTGCATGGGACAGATTTATGCCCCTAACCTAATGGTGTTGTTGAGTGCTCCCTTTTTACACTCTCACATGTTATCAATAGGGGCGTGGGTGGCGCTGTGGGTTAAACCACAGAGCCTAGGACTTGCCGATCAGAAGGTCAATGGTTCGAATCCCTGCAACGGGGTGAGCTCCCGTTGCTCGGTCCCTGCTCCTGCCAACCTAGCAGTTTGAAAGCACGTCAAAGTGCAAGTAGATAAATAGGTACTGCTCCGGCGGGAAGGTAAATGGCGTTTCCATGCGCTGCTCTGGTTCGCCAGAAGCGGCTTAGTCATGCTGGCCACATGACCCGGAAGCTGTAGGCCGGCTCCCTTGGCCAATAAAACGAGTTGAGCGCTGCAACCCCAGAGTCAGCCACAACTGGACCTAATGGTCGGGGGTCCCTTTACCTTTATGTTATCAGTGATTCCCAGGATGACACAAATCTCCATGGGAAGAAGATCCTGTTATGCAAAATGCAAAGAGATGTTCTACACCCTCGAATGCCCTACGCACTCAAGTGTCCTTGCATTGCAGGCCCTCCCCACATACCACAATGAGGAGCATTTTGCTAGCTAGACAGAAATGCTGGAAGAAGACAGGACACGGCTGTCAATAGGTGAGATTTTTGGCAGCTGGGTCCCAAAACAAAGGTAAGATTATTAGTGCAATCCTGCCCTCGGAAATAAGGTTCGCCAAGTTTGGTGGCACTTGCTTCCAAGGTAAGTGTGTACACTTTGCACCCTAAATCAATGACGGAGCAAAGAGTTTTGGAGCCATGGAGCCAAGTGTAGGAAGGCTCACCCAGATCTTATCTGCCCTGCACATTTCCTTTGTCTCCTGGAGGCAAAGCTTGGGCTCCGCGCTGCACAGTTGTCAAGTGGGAGTTCACTTCCTCGCGGAATGTTGATAAGCAACTTTCCTCGCGCAGCTCAAGAAACAGCTTCCAGATTGCGGTGGAGGGCAGCTTAGCATATCCTGCTGCTGTCAGCTTTGTGGCGCTGCATGCTCTAGGGTCTGGGGCAGGGCTCCCTGGCGCCTTTCCATGGGTGTACACAATAAAGGTTTTGCTGTGGGTTTTGTGAACATCCATCAAGTTCTGGTATTGATGGTTTCTGTCAGACCTGTTTGAGAGGCCGGCAGGCACTGTCACAATGCAACGAACGAGGTAAATAAATATGCTCTGCGGAGGCCATAATATAACATTGCTGTAGATATTTTGCTTTGAACAGCCCAGTGTGTAACACATTTTGATAATGACCTGTTGTAAATACAGCTGGTGGCATCAGAAGAACTTCCTTTTTGAGCAAAAACGAGGACAATGCTACAGTTCTGGAAGACTGATTGTGTGGGCCTCTTCCCACATAGCAAGATGGAAGACAAGTAGTGCCTGGTCCTTGTCAAACTGTAAACAGGACACAGCCAGTTTTCCTGATAAGGCAGGGTGATTCCAGAAGGGTGCTACCCAATCATTGCTCTTTGGCTGTAAGCAACAAGCAGAATCGCAATTGACTTCCCACACTATTAGGCTTACAGCTCTTTCCCTATGCATATATTCCATTATGCTCCACCATTACTAGTGGACGTGATACAACTGCTGTGGGTGGGCCGTATCAACCTCAGCACACATTCATTACAACACTTGCTGTGGTTTTGATATGAGCTGTGACATGAGAGGAGATGAACCCAGCACACTATCATTCCAATGTTTGTGGCAGGCGCCATTTTATGACCCTATAAAAAGTCACAAAATTTTAATTATATCTGAAATGCTTTTCCAGCTTTCTTTTCTTTAATGACATAGAGAAGCTTCACATTACACCATAATTCTATGACGTTCATTTCTGTATTATGTCTTATGGGACTATCGATTCCGTTTTTCCCTTTTAGCACTATAGAAACCTGTTTGGTGCTTGGTTCATCTATGGTGGCCTGATATCGTGCAATTGGGATTGTTTGGTGGCAAAGGACTTACAACCCCATGAAATAGCTCTACACCTTAGGTGAACAGATTGGTTTGGCTATGATATCTGCCTCTTGGAGGTTATCCAAATTTACTTCTTGCCTTTTGCCCTGCTCTTTTCAGGCAGAGGTCCACAATTTATGTCTGAGCTTTGTTGTTGCTGCTTCTGGGGCTGGGCAATGTCTGGTTTTCAACATCAAGATGTATCACCAGCTAAACATTGTGATATACTGATATATCATGATGTCTGAAATAAGGAGGTAAGGAACAGCTGAGCCGGCAGAGTTAACAGGGGCTGCAAGAATCGGGAGAAGTATTGGCTGGTTTCAGTTTTTCTCGCATTGTGATTTTTGCATAGCACACACACACCGTGATTTGTGATAAATTGCCAGGTCAAAAATTAAGAAACCGCTATCGCGATATGGACATCAAACCCATTTTGGATGCTACATTGATATTTTGCCCAGCCCTAATTGTTGCCCTGAGCTTTCCCTGAAAAACCCACTCTTTAACGCTGAATCGAAGCCCACATCAATATGGGTTTTCTGCAGATTGACGTTTGTTCCGACTGAGTGTTAAAGTGAAAGCTCCGGAGCAAAAAAACACAAAAAATGGTGATTGGACATGGAGCTTTAAACTGCAGAGTGTACCTGGAAAGAGCGGAAGAAAGGTAAGTGTGGATAAACCGTTGAAACTATGCATATATCTTTTAAAAAACAAGGGTTAGCAACCCTTTGGAAATTGCTTCCCATTTCCCCTGTTCAGCGTCAGGTCCATCTTTCTTTCATGGGCACACTAGTGCCCTGCATGTATATTGTGCTGTGGAATCTTTCAGTAATAGTTCTATCAAGGGAATGACATGGCTGTGCCTGGCCAGGGGGCCTTGAAAGAGCCAGGCTGCTTGTATCTGGGTGTAAGTTGCTTTTGCATTAGCTACCCTCTTCTTGACTTTTAGAAGGGGCGAGCGCCCCCTTGTGATTAAGCTCCATAAGTAATACTGAACAGGACAAGGGGCTCATTTCACTTTGATCCATGTTACGCTGGGTGTTTCAGAGCATGTTTTTATCTCCACCAAAATTTATTGTCTCTAAGAACTGGCTTCTCTGAAAATTAAATAGTCTAGTGATGATGGACCGCACCAGCCTAGAATGCAGTAAGTGCTATCTGTATATGTAAAGCACTCTCAATAAATTAGGGTTGTAAGCAAATTGGGCTACAGAAATGAGACAACTTGCAAAATACAATATACATGAGTTACAACTCAACAGTATTATCAGCAGCTCTCCCTCTCATTTATTCTATTCTACTGTACAATATGCTTTCTGCTGAATAGACATGCCCAAAAATGGGCTGTAAACCCCATTGCATGTGATAGAGGTGCAGCCTTATAGGACGAGTAATAAGCTGGAGACACAGCCACAAGACCAATAATAACAAACTATTGGCTTACTCCATAATCATGAACAAAAGTTTGTTTGCAAGTTTGCTAATAAATTATTACTGTTTTGTGCATCCCCTGTTTTATTCAAATGTGTAATTATTGCAGCAGAACAAGAACGGGAAGAAAGCCATTTGGAATTTGAATGTACGTTTCATGTTTTCATTTGAACTGAAGCAAGTGAAAACACTCAGAGACTATCAAATTGGGAACAGCTTTAAATATGAAAATGCAAAGTCCAGTGCGACTTTTGCATAAAGTCATATTTTTAGAAAAGATACAGCTTAACCTTTTATGGTGGCCCAAAATAGGAAGAGAGTAACAATTAACCCCAGTAAGAGCCAGATTTGACATGGCTCCCCCCCACCCCTTAGGAGGTTAAAAAATAAAAATAAAAAGTCAGGAGACTGTTCACAGACTTCCCATGTTGAATTGCACTTAAGCTGGCACAATGTAAGTCAAGTAAATGGATTTTTGTGGAGTTCAGTATGTGTTTACAGAGTTTGGGTACGCTTGGGAGTGGGGTAGAACAAATGCTTCAGACCAGAGGGTTACAGAACTACCACTACTTGCCCTTCAGACAGTCTTTCAAGACAGAGCTAGTCCCTCCCAAGATTCCTTCTTGGCCTTCCTCGCTTCCTTTGGCAGCTGACGAAGCCATGCTAACAGCACACATTCTTTTCCTCTCCCTGAAGCCCTGTGAGTTCATGCATTCTTTGCTCAAGAAGGAACAACCCCTTAACCAGCGAATGATGTTGGCAGTCCCAAGTGGGCTCTTCCCACTGCGGCCACCCACCTGCATGTTCTACAACAGCTTCAAGTAGCCATGTGATTCCTGGGTGTTCAGCTTGCAACTCACCCCATGTTTATATGTAGAAGCTAAAATCACCGGGACATGGAACACAATAAAGAGAAGATCAGAATCTCCAAAGATTGTAATTTATGGCTGCATCGCAACACACACACACACACACACGAAGCAACACACCTGTTTGTTCAACAGAACACCTGTATTAAACAAATTCAAAAGTTGGGTAGAGCAAACGAGTTTGTTTCTGTTGCAGCAGTTGGAAGGCACTTTTAAAATACGGTTTCAGTTACTAAGCAGGCTACAGAGGTCTCTTTCTTGAAGCTTATCTCATGAACACGATGTCTTATAGGCAATTTGTACACTTTTTTCATGTTCTCTGTAAGAGAATGCAAATAAAGGGAATGGCAAAGCATTAGTCATCTGCACTAAGCTACCTACAGAACCATAATTGACTTGTCGTGTGTTTGTGTACAGGGGGGGCGGAGAACAGCACTTAGCGTATTCCTCCTGCTACATTTCATCTGCACTAGAGTGCATGATAGACATTTGGGCGGGAAAAGGACAATTTTGAGCATGCAATTTCTCCAATTTTGTATCAGCATGTAAAGTGCTTTGTATTTAGGAGATTTTACCCAATAATTGCTACAAAGTGTTTTATAACTAAGCAATTCGTTTACAAAAAAATAAAATAAATCAATTTGGTGTGCTAATCTGGTGACTGGAAAGGCAGTATATTTTTTAAAAAGTAAATTTAAAGTGCTATTAATATTTAAATAAAAAATGTGTGAAAAAGCATTTTAGAGCAAATGAAAAAAATATATTTTTAACAACCACAATGACAAAATGGCACTAACAGAAAAAGTAGTTGTTTCGTTGTATACTGTGTTGGTATTATTTTAATGAGAAATAGTAAATACGTATATTGAATAAATAAATAATAATGAAGGTTTACAAAAGCAAATGCATAGTAATAAGCTCAGTGACCCAATGTGTCACTGCAGTCATCAAATGGCATGTCTTTTTTCAAAAAGGAAAGCAGCCTTAAAGAGATCTAAACCTCTTGGAGAGAGTGCTTCTTTTCCATTTTTCCAAAACCAAGCCCAATTTTCTAAAGTCTGAAAAGAGACCCAAGAACCGGGGTGCGGTTGGAGAGACACAAGAGAATAACTGTTTGATTACAACATTATGTAGATGCTTCATAAACAGGGATTGAATAAAACCCTAGCTATTCCAAGGAATGTACCCAGTGTGGAAACAGCCAGACTCCCATCTCAAGAGAAAAAAAACATTTTTGCAAGGATCCTCATCCAGGTATTATTGTAGTAGTGTTACAGGCCTCACAAGGAAACAAGGGAATGTTGAGGGATAAAAACTCACTTACCCAACTAACCTCGAGGAAATGAAACGGTAGAAAGATGATGGAACATTTTAAGTGCAGCAAAGGTGGCAGAAAAGCACCTGTTTTCCTACAGAGCCCATTCTGCTAACATGTAGCTGAGGTTAAGTTTTATAAGCCTCACACTCTGTTCTGACATTAGGACCAGAGACAAGGGTGAGGCGCACGGCACTTGCAGCCTCTTGCTGCTCCCCTCTGCCACATCCCCCTCTGTACCACTTCATGGGTGGGCCTGCTCTGGCCAGAGACATACTTATGGTGCAGCTAGAAGCCATGGCATGGAGGTGAACACAATTAAGTTTCCCCTGGGATGACTCCACATCTGGATCCACTGGCTGACATACTTGGAATAGAAAATTAATGACTTGGGGGCTCAAAGACCTACTACTTCCTTCCCAATGAAGAGCTTTTATGCTAGCAAGACAAAATGCTTTCCCCTCCGCAGTGACCACAGGTGACCACTTGCAAATTCCTTATCAAGTCCGCCTGTGTGCCTGTAATCAGGGAGTACCAGATTCACTGGACCATATTCTTTTGGACAGCCCTTTGCACAGCAGACTCCTCAAACAGATGCTGAGCAAGATATTGGATCTGCAACCCAAGGGTCTGAGAGAAAGCCAAATGAGGTTCTTCCTAGCGGATAGGGACAAGGACGTTACTGCCCCGTGGTTTCCTTTTTAATCTCCATCTTACCTGAAAGGGTTCTTAATGAATCATCCCTCTAGGGAATAGACAGGGTGAAGCAGAACAATCAAGTACCTTGTGACCTTCAACAGCCTCACTCCTGTCCCTTTTAAATTTATCCTAGTGTTTTGAAATGTTTTAAGTCGTAATGCCAATGAAGGTATTTGTATTTTATTGTATTGTTACCAAGTCACCATCCTGAGGTTCAAGGTGAGGAGTGTCACCTCCCTCCACTTTGTATCACTCGAAACCTGATCACTATAACTGTGTATCATGGGGTTGTGCAGCAAGGTGTTCAGGTGAAGTGGTACAGTGTTGGAAAGGAGTTTAACCTCGCTCACCATCTGGGCAGCTGAGAATTTGCAACTGATGTTCTGCAAGACGAACAGTCCTTCATGAACCTAAGCACTGCAGTGCTGTAAATCAGTGGAGATCTTCCAGGTCCAATCACCCATCCCTCTTTTCACTGCTGTAGGATTTAATTTTTTCTCATGTTCCATTCCTATACGATGGTGTTATATGTATGCAGCTCTTCTTATTCATTCTTCCAAGTATGCAGAAACCCCTCCCCTGCCTGTTAGTTGGCACAGGGCCACCAAGTTTGCTATTAAAATGACCTGGAAGCACCTTGTTTGTTTTTCAAGCTTTCCTTCCACCTGCAGTGTGGGGATTGACTTGATGGTTAAGATTCCCATGGACCTCCGAATCTCTTCTGTAGTGCATGTACACCATTTCTGAAACACTATAATTTGAATTGTGCATTTTGAACTGGGAATGTACACAGGGAATGTACCAAGTGGTCTTTTGTCTCTTTCAGTGCCATGATTTTCTGAAGCTTCCCATCTACTTCTCAGAGAATGGTTAACTCTGCAGAGAGGATCCTGACGTAAAGAGATGGTCCATTTAATCAAGTATGAAAGTTCTGAAGACTTCTTACCAATAGCTTCAAAAGTATGAATTAACTAAAAGCCCAGGTTGACTATCTGTAAACCTAAGACTTCTGCAGCCAGAATCAGTTAGTTTCTAGTTACCTGTTTGCAGCACAAAGCATACACTCATTTGCGTAAGTTTCTCCATCAGTCCCACAAACAGGATTAAAGTTCCTTGGGCATCCAGGTAGAGAATATAAGTCGCATCTGGGCTGAGAATGAACAGATTTACAGTACTGATGTTTACTCAAATTGTATTTTTGAAATATTTATTCAGAGTAGCATTTCTTCAAGTCTCAAAAATCCCAATTTTCATGAAGCAAGCCTACACACAGGATCAGTTTACACAGATAAAGTAGCATGATAAAAACGTGTGGCTGTGAGGAGTGATAGGTATGGTGAAAGTTGAGTTCACAACTCCATCCACATATTGCATGAGTTCCATTAAATTCACATTTGACAACTTTGTAGGAATGCAATTATTGCAAACCTAACTCCACACCATGCATGCAGCTGGGGGCAGGGGCGGGCAAGGGGCTATCTGACAAGCTAGGTGGTACCCATAACTGCATGCTGAGCTTCGGTGTGGTTGAATCACTTGCATCAGTTTTCTAATTTGCATCAGTTTTGTACGTGTTAATTCATATGTCTGTTCCCTTCTGTTTCTTCATTAATGTGTTTTTAAAAGCTATACAAAAATTCATATATATTGATATACAGGTAACTTACAATTTACATGCATTTAGCTTGCGCAATTTCAACTTTATGTGGTTCAAATCACGCAAATTAAATGTGCAGAAGGTGGAGAGCTTAAAAGCTCTTTTTGCACAGGGTTTTCCTGGTGCAGAAAACTTGCTTACTGGGCACTGGGAGGTTCTAGCAAAATCTTGTACGGCCCTGCAAGATCCCACAAGCCTTCCAGAGCCTTGGGGGGTGGGGTACAACCTGTTCAGCATGCTGGGTCCAGAAGGAAAGATTGCTCACACAGAGGCGCTTCCAAGGAGGTGGTTTGACATATATGTGCCATCCCCAGAACTTAACTCCTGCACAAGTTTTAAGTTATCTGTATTTAAGTACATTAAACATTATTTTTCTCTCAATGTGCATAGTTCAACTTCTAAATATATTTTATCCTAAAACACCTTTTAAGAAACCCACTTGGGGGTGTTTTTGAGCAGGCAACTGTACTGAAAAATTAGCAAGCGTGAAATGCAGAGGATAATTTATGTTCCTATCCATGTTTTAGCCGAGGGATGTGAATTAGTTCCACTTATGAATGCAGACTGAACAAAATCCACTGCACCATATATGTGTGTGTGTGTGTGTGTGTGTGTGTGAGAGAGAGAGAGAGAGAGAGAGAGAGAGAGACAGACTAGAACAACCTTCCTCAGTCTGCTGCCCTCCAGATGTTCTGGACGATAACATCCATCAGTCGATGAGAGTTGTCCAAAAATCATCTGGAGGGCAGCAGGTTGGGGAAGATGACACAAGAAGATGGGGATGGTGGGACACCGATGGGAGTCCTTCTTGTTACTCCCCACTTTCCCCGCTATCCCTAAACTTACCTCGGAGAGGCCTTCCCCAGAAGGAGGCATCAACAGGAGTCCTGAGGGAAAAGAGCAGCCACGGGTTATGAGAGCAGCACGCCATTCCTACACCTGCCATGAACACACCTCTCTCCTCCTTCTCCCCTTCCCTAAACCCTGTTGCCAACTGATTCAGAAAACTGATCCACCCCCCCCCCCCAAATTCTGGATCCACTACCCCACCATTTGCAAGAAGTAACACGAGCCATTTGCTTGCATGCATCGCAGCCAGTGCTGGATTTACGTATAAGCTAAACAAGCTATAGCATAGGGCCCCACTCTCTTGGGGCCCCCAAAAAAATTCAAAGGAAAAAAACACATGGATGTACATTTCCAAAATATAAGATAAAAAAACAAGTAAAATAAAACCTACATACAGCAACGGTGTTTTGTGTTGTGTAGGCTCCTATGATGTAAGGCTAGTAAGCCTGCTAGCCTGCTCCCTAAAATATCACTGGTTTGCTCATTTCTATATACAGGGTGCCTACATTCTGCATGGACTGGTTGTAACAATTACTTTCATAAAATACATATTTTGTTATGTGCAAATGGCTTTAGATACATAAAGGTAAAGGGACCCTGATGATTAGGTTCAGTCGTGGCCGACTCTGGGGTTGCGGCACTCATCTCGCTTTACTGGCCAAGGGAGCCGGCGTACAGCTTCCGGGTCATGTGGCCAGCATGACTAAGCCGCTTCTGACGAACCACAGAAACGCCATTTACCTTCCTGCCAGAGCGGTACCTATTTATCTACTTGCACTTTGACGTGCTTTCAAACTGCTAGGTTGGCAGGAGCAGGGACCGAGCAACGGGAGCTCACCCCGTCACGGGGATTCGAACTGCCGACCTTCTGATCAGCAAGTCCTAGGCTCTGTAGTTTAACCCACAGTGCCACCCGCGTCCCATTTTAGATACATATGATGTCCATAAATTACTATATAGCATATATTCAACACAAAAAACAGCGGCAATTTGTTGTTGACAAAGGACAGCTGGACATATAAAGGGCATAATAATAATAATAATAATAATAATAATATAATATTTATACCCCGCCCATCTGGCTGAATTTCCCCAGCCACTCTGGGCGGCTTCCAATCAAGTGTTAAAAACAATACAGCATTAAATATTAAAAACTTCCCTAAACACGGCTGCCTTTGGATGTCTTTTAAAGAGAAGATAGCTGCTTATTTCCTTCAAATCTGAAGGGAGGGCGTTCCACAGGGCGGGCGCCACTACCGAGAAGGCCCTGTGCCTGGTTCCCTGTAACCTCACTTCTCGCAGTGAGGGAACGGCCAGAAGGCCCTTGGCGCTGGACTTCAGTGTCCGGGCTGAACGATGGGGGTGGAGACGCTCCTTCAGGTATACTGGGCCGAGGTCGTTTAGGGCTTTAAAGGTCAGCACCATCACTTTGAATTGTGCTCAGAAACGTACTGGGAGCCAATGCAGATCTCTCAGGACAGGTGTTATGTGGTCCCGGTGGCCACTCCCAGTCACCAGTCACATTACCTCCAGCAGTTTAGGGCCTCATCAAACCTAAATCCGACCCTGCCCTGTTGCCAACTGATCTAGAAAACTGATCCACACACTCCCCCCAATTCTGGATCCCCCCCCCCCATTCTCAAGAAGGGACACGAGCCGAGGCGAGCGTTGCCATTTGCTCACGTGCGCCGCAGCCCGACCTTTCCCAGAAGGAGCAGAGGAGCAGGGGCTACTTGAAGAAGGTGGCAACCCAACCCTCCCCTGGTTACCGTGGCAACGCGGCCTCACTCCTCCTCCCCCGGTACCTCAAGAGTGTGTGTATGTGAGGAGGGGAGTGAAGGATGGAATAAGGGGGCAGAGGGCGAGGGGCGCTCGCGGCGGGGGTACCTGCCACGAACCACCACAGCAGCAGCAGCGCCGGCGGCGGCGGGAAGCCCGACCGTCGCATCCCGGCGGCGGCGGCGGACGGACCGGAGGGACCACGGAGCTCCTCCCCCCTCAAGGGCTTTCGCGGCTCCGCCTATAGCGCCCGCGAGAGAGAGAGGGGGGAGGCCCCGCCTTCCTCCACGCCACGCCCCCTTCGCCTCGCGCCCCTCGGCGTGCTCGAGCAACTGACTGCCCTGCCCACGTGACCTGCCCCGAGCGCTGAGGGGGCCGGTTGGCAAAAGGGCCGCGAGGGGAGAGGGCGGCGGCGGCGGCGGCGGAGGGATCGCTGCTGGACTGTGGTGTTTCTCTCCCGCCTTTTTTTTTTAAAAAAAATGAATAAAACATTTCAGTTAAACAAGTTCAAGGAAAAAATAATAATGAAGTAAAACGTGCAGTTTTAAAAAAACCACAACACCCCTCCATTATATATTTTTTTTTATAATGATATTTATTAAAGTTTCACAAAAATACATGAAAATACAAAACAAAGAAAAAAGTATAAAGTTTTAAAATACAGCAAAAAAGTAGAAAATAAGAAAAAACGTACAAAATAAAACAGTTAAAAACACAATAATGTTCCATAACCTATCTTCCTTACTCTTATTTCCCCAGACCTCCTCATACCTCCCTTCTTTGTATTCCAATTCAGTTTGTTGGTTCAGCAAATCCTTACCATTAATCTTTTACCCAATTGTTAACCTTTTTTTTCATGTCTCTTAAAGCATTACAGCTAAAAACCTCTTAATTTCTATCCAACATCCTTCTAAAGTTCCTTAATTTTACAATATTTCTGTAAATAGTCCTTAAATTTTTCCAGTCTTCTTTCACCGACTCTTCTCCCTGGTCTCGGATTCTGCCAGTCATTTCCGCCAATTCCATGTAGTCAATCACCTTCATCTGCCATTCTTCCAAAGTGGGTAGATCTTGTGTCTCCAATACTTTGCAATAAGTATTCTTGCTGCTGTTGTAGCATACATGAAAAAGGTTCTGTCCTTCTTTGGCACCAGTTGGCCGACAATGCCCAAGAGAAAGGCCTCTGGTTTCTTCAGAAAGGTATATTTAAATACCTTTTTCAGTTCATTATATATCATTTCCCAGAAAGCCTTAATCTTTGGGCACGTCCACCAAAGGTGAAAGAATGTACCTTCAGTTTCTTTACATTTCCAACATTTATTATCGGGCAAATGATAAATTTTTGCAAGCTTGACTGGGGTCACGTACCACCTGTATATCATTTTCATAATATTCTCTCTTAAGGCATTACATGCCGTAAACTTCATACCTGTGGTCCATAACTGTTCCCAGTCAGCAAACATAATGTTATGTCCAACATCTTGTGCCCATTTAATCATAGCAGATTTCACCGTTTCATCCTGAGTATTCCATTTCAACAGCAAGTTATACATTCTTGACAAATTTTTAGTTTTGGGTTCTAACAATTCTGTTTCTAATTTTGACTTTTCCACTTGGAAGCCAACACCCCTCCATTATAATTGTATACATACTTGTCTAATACAAATATAAATGAAAATATTATTCTAAGACGTATACATTTATTTATAACCTTTTAAATATATAAATGCTTTTCAAATATGCCTACACACAATCTATAAGTTACCCGTTCCTATGTTTCAAGAGTTGTCCTGACTTCTACTCGTTGAAGGTGACTATCTTCCCAGTGGATTTATTTATTTATCTTCCCAGTGGATCAGTATCAGCAATATTTATCAAAAGCTACAGGATACATTGTGGCTTCAAACACTAGCAATTGGGAGCGCACCGGGGCTGGAATAAACTCTTAAAAATTATTAATTTTATTTCCTGTTGCAGAACACCTCAAAGTGGTTTAATGGGTACACAGCCTTACATATCAGAATCCATGGCAGTAACACAGATGGTTAGAAACCCATTTAGGGCAGTACATATTAGGGCTGGGTATGTTTTTTCTAGAAGAGACTGAGAGGAGATAAGCTAGCCGTCTTCAAATATCTCAAGGGCTGTCACATGGAAGATGGAGCTAGGTTGTCTTCTCCTGGTCTGGAGTGTAGGACTGGACTGGAACTAATGGATTTGAGTTACAAGTTACACTCGGAGGAATTTTCTGACAGTAAGAAGTGTTAAAGACAGTGGAGCGGGTGCTCTATTGGAGGTGGTGGACTCTTCGCCTTCCTTGGTGGTTTGCAGCGGAGGTTGGATGGCGATCTGTTGAAATTCCTGCACTGCAGGGGGCTTGACTAGATGACCCTCGGATCCCTTTCCAACACTACAATTCTATGATTCTATGAATCCCTTCGATAGGCCAACTGGCTCCATTAACTTCCTAGCACCAGGGATAGATATAAGATACATGTTCAGAAATACAGTAAAGGTTCACTATCTATGCTAGCATTCGATTGACGTCGGAGAGAAATTGAGTTGAGAAATAAGATTAAGGGTACATATTGATATAGGAATGTATTAGATAAAATGTAAAGAAATATACAATAATAAGAGTACATTCATTAGTGAAAAAGGAATATACAACGTGATTGACAGGAAGTCTGTAGTGTTGGTACATATATGATTTTGGAATAGTTTTTTTGTCTTTTTGTCTTTTTTCTTTAGGTATATAAAGTTTGTATATAAACTTTGTATACATGTTGAAATTTATATTGTAATACACCATGTAATGTAATATGACAATGTATACACATGTAACACAAGAACATTTAAAAAAACACAAAACTTCCTAGCACCAATTGAGTAAGCACAAAACTGTGAAGCATTCGAGGGAAGAATAACACCAGAGGGGAATCCTGTCTCAGCTATTTGACAGCCGTAGCTCTCTATGGCTGGTAACACATTTTCACCAGTCTAAAAGGGTCCTCAATATTGGCTCTGGTCACCTGCTTGCTTCCACGTGAGCCAATATAGGCAAAGAGCATATTGGTCTCAACGGAGTTTCCATCTGAAAATTAGATCCTGTAAAGTAGTTTTGCCTAACTGACACTATTTCGGGCTTTATTGGGGCATGGGAATTACTTGTATAGCAGCACTTATTTGGAACTGCATAGAAAGGAGTTCAGTGGAACAAGGGACAGTGCCAAACTGATGCAGATGTAGCTCTTGTTCACTGAAATCATTCGGATTACAAGCACATGTGCAGTTTTGCTGTGCTGAAAATTGCACTGGACTGAAGGGGCAGGTTCCTTACTATATAAATCCTGTAAAAGCTGTTAGGAATGTGCATGAATTGAACCTCAGGTGTGCCTGTTGTTATCTCCTCCCTATCTGAGGATTTATTCAGATACAACTTTATTAAAATATATACAAAATATATTAAAAGAGCATAGAAGAACTGGTTGACTTAATTATGGCACATGCTTATTGGTACAAGTATTTCCAGCAGAAAATGAACTTATTTGGAATTTCCGGTCTTGAGAATCTTACAGTCTGTGTCCATGTAAGATTTGTTTCTTATTTAAACACATTGTCTGCAGAAAAAAAGAGATAGAAATACTGTTCCTGATATGTCTGATATACCCTGTAGCTTTACATCACTAGCTAGAAAATTAACTTGTATTGTGTTCCAGCTCTTATCTATGTGCTAAAATGGTCCAGGTGTTCACTGTCCACCTTCCAATAAGCCATTCATCCCAGAGTCCAACAAAGCCTCTTTGTAAAAAGTCATCAGGGAATGCCTTGCAGATATTTTAGTTCTTCGGGCCCTTAATCTCAGCAAACTTAGACTTCCAGTCCTACATAAAGGCAGTTTTTTTTCTGTTTAAACGTAAAAAGAATCCAAATCATTTAACAAAATGCTGCCCAGAGTGGCTGGGGGCGAGGTACAAATATAATGATAATGATATAATGATAACAACAATAACAGCAGCAGCAACAGCTAAGGGATTTACTGTGATATGAGCTTTCACAAACTAGAGTCCTGTTCATCAGATGCACAAAGTATTATCCTGGCTGGCATATAGGAAAGGTTTTTTAAACAGCTTGACCAAATGAACAGGAAAATCAAAAAGTACTGTTTGCAACAATTCTATGTAAAGCTTAAGGGCCAAACTACATGCCAGGATAAATATGCTTCACAAAGAGTGTATTTAAATGGGCCTCTTTTAATCTTGAAGAAAATACGACCCCGAGGGTCTGGTCTACATGGGGTTCCCTATGTGAGCTGGGATCCCACATCAGTTTTCTGCTGAAAATCCCCTCAAGTCAGCTCTTTTTGATCCCAAATTTATTTGATCCTAAAGGGGCTTATTTGCAGTAACTGGCACAGGAGTGGGGGTGGGAATAGGAGCTGTTTTTTGGCAAGAAAATGACAGCTTTCAGAATAGGGTGTGCATTTAAGCACATTTTTACAAAGTCACATTTATCTTAAATAGCAGTTTGACCCTAAGATAAGCAAAGTTACTATTCACAACCATAGCATTTGACACTGCAGAGTGATACAGGATACCACTTTCTCCATCTTTGCCTAAAGAAGCGAAATAGGCTTCCTGTCAAGTTCTTCTTCAACAATTTCATGTTGCAATTTCCCCTTGAAATTCCTTTGTTGAAGAATAGCAACTTTCAGGGCAGCAGCAAAGTGTCCAAGGAGACTGAAAAGTTCTTGCCCTAGTTTCTGAATGTTGCAATTTCTGGTTTTTATTCTGTATTCTTTTGTGCACCTGATTCTTCTGCATGGAGTGCAAATCAAGCATTGTTGGAATATATCACCTATATATGCTGGAATATATCACATTCCAATATATCACATTGGAAGATGAACATGTGAATGAGCCCTGTGTTCGCATCATAACATGTTGTTCCACCCCAGTGAGATTATGGAAAAGCATAAGCTTCACTGTCAAACATATATTTTACTCTTGGCATGGTGAGGCAGACCAACAACGCTTTAACAGTATCCCAAAATGTGATACCTGATCATGACATTTTGGGATACAGTTAAAGCACAGTTGATTGTTTATCGTTTTATTTTAAACCACCAGCTTCAAACGCCAAAATATTTTTGATAATGTTAGCCACTAGAGGGCACAGCAGCGTTAAAAAAAAAAATGCTGGTATGAGAATGATATTCTAACCTGGAACAAACTAGAGGAAGCAAAGGGATAGGTTGTTGTTGTTGTTGTTGTTGTTAAAAGAAAGGATCACTTTGGCC